GTCAGCAGACTACAAACAGGATTTGTTTTGACAGTTTGTTGAATGGAGGCATGACTGAGTTGGCATGCTGTTTGAACTCCTCGAAGCCTCGGGGAGTTAAAATCATCAGGTACAGAAACATCCAAAAAGATGTTTGACATATGCGTTGAGATGCTGCTCTGTTCGATGAATCCTGCTCCTGAAGAGATATCTGTTTGTTGATCACAATATTTTTATGCGATACAAGTTTCTCTATCAGTGTAAATGTGAAGAATACTGAAATAGCTTTGTTGCTTATTTTGCATTCCTGACTTAACTCCAAGCTGTTTAGCAATACTAATACTAAATTGTGACTTGTATTTTGATTGTTAAATCTCTGCAAAAGTTTCCAGAGTCGTCCACATTTCAGCTCCTGCTTGTTTAACTGGCAACAAAATTAAACCTGATGCTTTTGTTTCAATAAATCTTTTTTTAACGATGGAACAGACCTTTTAAAATCCTTTTTGAATTGTGGTTGATAGCAGGGAGCTAAAAAGCTGACCCAATAAACGGCAAGTTATCTAAGGCCACCAGATGACTTGCAGAAACAGGGCTGATGACTCGGGGAAATGGTTTACACACACACACACACACAAGCTGACATTCTCACACTCTCACAGAAAAAGAGTCTCAAGAAAGTACTGCAGCTGCAATCTGGTGAAAAGAGTCGTGAAAACACATTAAGATTTTACATTTTGGGGATTTCACCTCCGTCATGATTCACCTGAGACAAACACAGAGGCAGGGTGCTTATTAAGCAGCATCCAAAATGTCTGTTGTGTATTCACCTTGTGCCCTAAACCCTTTTAATGATGACATAAGTCTTCCAGAGCAGACCCACTATAAGATTTTTTATGTGTTTGCACGAGCTTTTGTTAAAGTCTGAATGTCCACCAATGTGCTGATGCCCAGTGCTCCTAAAAGGCCTTTGACTTACATCCTTTAATAAGGAGGCATTGTGGAAGTTTTTGCAGCCTTGGCTCTTCTCCAGGACTATAAGCCCTTCCTTAGAGGTTGTGCAGTGATAAAGTTGTCAGCTGGATGTTCCCAACACTGAGAGGATTTACTCTCTTTTATAAGTGTTTGTGTGTGAGTTTGCTTAGCCTTGTGGTTTGGTCGTGATATTTACATTGGTAACATTTCTAGGAGTATTTTTTTTTCTTTGTTTAAAAGATGTCTGATCTCTGCTTATGAAAAACTCCAGAGTATAAGTAGAGACCCACAAGTGCCCTCTCTATGCCCAACATTTTCACCATGCAGCCTCAGAGTCATGCTCTCTCAGTGGGTTAAGTTCCACATTTAACCCCCTTGTTCTTCGTGAGTTGCTGGACCACTTAATAGTGGTAAATCTGTCAATGATAAAGGCTCAACACATAAAAAACAGTGTGTGTATTTGTGTGTGTGGTCCCATAATTGAAGTCTTTTATGGGGAGCAAACTAGGGTGGTATATTGAGTTTAACCACAGGCTGAGTCTCTTCACTGCATGTGGATGGAAGTTTATGATGATTGCAATAGTATAACAGTAACAGTAATAGCATGGGGTAGATTAATACACAATGAACAGACTGAAAGACCGTACATGAATTCAGAGCTATCTTTGTTTTATTTTCACCAGTGAGGTCAATTTGGGTGGAAAGTTCCTGGCACTTGTTTTCTTTTCAAGAGCAAAAATGGACAAAACATAATTAGTCATAATTGGTCTCTCTTTTGCAGTTATACAATTTCACTCGTTGACACTGTGCGCTCTGACTTACCACTACACCTCTATGCAGTCAATGGAGAAAAAAAAGGAATAATGATATCAATGCGATTTAACATAAACAGATGCAGCTGTGTGGATTAGGACTGTGCTCCATCTGGCTGACCCTCTACTAAATTCACTTTACAAATGGTTAAAAAAGAAGCTAAAAGCGGGGAAGGCTTTACCTTCTCTTGAGAGTCCCTCAATCTATTTTCCCCGGAATGGCAAGGGGAATTCTGGGACTTGAAGGCACTTGAGTAGTTTGTTTTTATTTATTTATTTTTGCTAAACTGAGCTACAGCTGAGTTCCCAGTGGATTAGCCCAAAAGCTGCAGCTGGCCTGACTGTCAGCTCAAAATCATCCTCACCCGATGTCACTTCAATGCCCAGGGTATGATACAGCAAAGTCCAGCGTAGCTTTCGCTGCAGCGGTGAGACATTTTTAATGGGTCATCAGCCTTCTAACACCTAATAGTGTTGACGGGGAGATGGACTTTGACTAGAATTTTCCCTGACAGCGTGTCTAAATATGTGAGAGATGGTTAGAGAGAGGGGGAGTGAGTGAGAGAGGGTGATGCTATTAAAAGGATTTAAAGTCTTAAGTGGGGAAAAGGTGGAAGATCAGGCAGATTTTCAGAGAGTGCAGTGGCTTTGCTTATTGCAAGGATGCACACTTTGATGCATCATGCAAGGACCCACTATCATCAGACACACCCATCACCATGACTTTCTTAAAAAAATTAATATTCCTATTCTGAATATCTGTTTCAGAATGGTAGAAACTTAAAAGATATGTCTAGCTTTTCTGACTAAGTTCACACTGACATCTTCACATGAAAATGCAATGTGGCACTGAGCACGTTTTTCCCAACACAACATGAACATGGCGACAGCTGGGAGACAACAGAACAACAGAGAAATCAGATTACCATGACGACGCAATCTGTTTAGGGCCTTGTGACAGTTGTTATGAATTTGTAGACAATTGGAGTCCAAAATTATTCATTGTCATAGCTGAAGGATCCAATATTCTAAATGTCAAGTTAACAGCAGTGTAGAAATGCATTGTGTTGACACATATCACCTGTCACACCTGCCTGACTCTTCACAAAGTTTGATTCGTCTCCCCCAGCACTCCCGAAGTTTGCACCAATCTACAGGCAAGCCCCTAACCACATGCTAATATATGATAATCCTCTCTGAATTTACATGCCACTTTTAGCCAATGAGCTCAGCTAGAACAAAAGGCTGGAGGTAACTTTTCTCTCATCACTCAGCCTCTGCTGCTCAGGATAAAAGTCTTTTCAGAGAAGAAGAAGAAGATGTGCACAGACACATCCAGCCTTCAAAACAGCTCCTGCTGTGCATGCTTGATTTCTTCACCACACCCCCTAAACGTGTAAAAGTGAGAAAATCCGCTTTGAGATTTCAGAGCAGCTAAAGCGTTTGTAGGCTCTGTTTTCATAGCTGTGTGCATTTCAATAGTACTTAGGTTAGGAGACAATCCCAATTTGTCTTCTGTGGGGATCGCCCAGTCGAGTGACTTCTTACTTGTCTTTTCATTTCATTTGGGTGTATTTACCAGAGCATGTGTTCCTGCACCACTCAAGTTTTCTTTCACCCCTCTCTGTGAGTAGAAGGCCAAGTGTGAAAAGCCTGGTTAACCTCAGTCAGGGCCTTGGGGGATACCAGAGTGCTGTATGCTTCATGTCAGAAGCTTAATGATGGCTCACAGTCAACTCCAGCTCCACTCAGCTCGACCACTGTGAATGCATGTGGACTTTGTGTGCGCATCGGCTGTTGTGTGTGTGTGTGTGTGTGTGTGTGTGTGTGTGTGTGTGTGTGTGTGTGTGTGTGTGTGTGCTTATACATCTGAATGTGCCGCTATGTGAGTTACTGAGATCAAGGGTTAACTACATAGGGCATGATGTCAAAGGCAGGTCTTGGTAGGTGAAAACACTGGCAGCTCCACTCAGCAGTTACCATGGAGACAGGACTGCTAATTCTTGACTGTTCCTCAACAGCTCTGATGCTATCTGCATGGATTTGATGTTTTTTTTTTTTTTTTAATGCAAATGAACATTCAAGTGAAAAGGTATTTCTAATTTAAAGCTATTATGGCTCACCTCAATTATTTCACATTGAAAACAGATTTTTTTTTCTTTTACAGTGGAAATGTCTTTCAAAGTTTGTAATTTAGGAGTGAAGACACACCCAGAGTTTGATTTCTATCAAGAGTAGCCTTGATTTGTAGTGGGACATTATATAGCTCTTCTCAAACTAGCTAATTAAGTGTCACAATTCAGGTAAATTTCATGGGAAGTCGCAACATAAAGACAAAAACTGATGCCTTGACATTTGTCTCTCTCTTAAAATACCAAATATAAGAAGATGTGATGCACTAAGAATAGTGTCTACACACAAATCAACACAAAAACTTAAAATAAGGTCATTTGTGTTTTTTCACCAACATTAAGTCACTGTAGCCTTTAAAAATGTCATTTGGTGAGACTGTGATTAATATTTAAATTACTTTGTTTCCCTAAAAAGCTTAACTTAGATTTTAAAAGCTCTCATTAATATGAAGTGTGAAAAAAAGAACTAGTTGCACATCTATGACTTTTTGTAAATTTTTATCTCCAATTTTTGCTCTAAAATGTCACACCCTCTCAAATATAAGAAAAGACTGACTTTTTCAGTTATTCACATAAAAACCATAAAAATGAAAATGTACCATCCACAGACACAAACCATATGGGTAACTAATAATTTACAGACAAAAATACAACTTTTTATTTTGAAATTAAAACAAGAAGTACCATTATTAGTTGTACTCAATGATAAGTGGTCACTTAAAGTGACACGAGGACCTAATATCCTTAAAATCGAGCAAAAAAAAAGGGGTCAATAAACAAGTGCTACACAAAATAAATATGAACAAGGTTTTATTTGAATGTCATACAACTTTGATGAACACAAACATTTCATGGACTTCTTTTTGATCAACATGTCATCACAAACATAAGCGCTTCACCTGTCCGTGGCTTTGTTGTGAACAAAGACTGTATTTCATTTACCTCAACCATGGACTCGAGGTTGAGGTTAGAAATAGGCATCAAATGAATCATACCTCACTACTGCAGCTGACGGTTTTAACGTTCTTTTTTCAGCACGTTGGGCTTTTTTTTTTTTTACAGGTTTGTTTTGAACTATGTGTTTTTTACTCACCATGGTTAAGCAGGCTTGAGCGTCTTCCTGCTGCCACTGCTAAAAATAACACGACTGCACTTTGAACTGGCACATCTTACTGTAAAAAGAAAAGAGAGAAAAAAGAAACGAAAAATCACATGCAGTTCAGTCATCAAAGTTAATTAGAACTTTGTGTTGAACCGATTAAAAAATGTTCCTACTTTGAGTTTAGGCTTCACCCAGAGCTCATCGTGCAGGTCCAGCAAATCAGACTGATGTCAGCAGGTCACTTTCACACCAAAGCAAAAGGCCCATGATTCAGATTCCTGTCTCCAGATGGATTTCAACTTAAAACTGCCATAGTGATCATTTTTAATGGTCGCACCACACAATATTTCATAAGGTGGACATAGCTGGACTAAATTCATTTGAATACTATGATCCAGGTATAAAAAACAAATCTGAAGATTAAAACGCAACTACAAAACACCAAAATTTTGCCACTGAACAAAATCAAGTAAATTAAAAAGAAGTTTTCAAATAAAATATATTTTTGCATATTAAGTATCAGAAAAGTGGGTAGGTCTTTTTTTCATTTATTGAAACCTTTTTTAATTGAAAGAAATGCAGTTGGACAGAAAATTCAGGCGTCATGGCAACGACACATATACATTACACTATATACTTTAAACATCCTCTTCTCTTAAAGACTCAAGTCTCTCATTCACAAGGATGCTGCACAGCTTAGTTAGCTTGGTCTTTCAAGGGTTTAGGTCTTGGTTTTGATCTGCACTGAACAGACCAAATGTCTCTTGTCAGACTTGGTCAGCAGGACTCTTTCTCAAGGAACTATGGGGTCAACTACTACTGAGTTTCCCTTTATGATCCAGTATTTCTCTCAGAGCTGGGGGACCATTTTTGGATGTTTTCAGCTTGGAGGATGGAAATGTGATCATCTTTGGGTAAGATTCTGGGGTGTTTAGTTTTATCTAGGACTGCAGATCTATGAAGCCCACCTACTTTATTGATGCCGTCATCTAGTAAAGGATCAAGCCTACTGATCTCACTCTTCTCTTTCATCTTAGAGCGATTGTCTCTCCATGTAGGAGATGACTGACCCTCCTGTCTGAGAGATATCCTCCACTGAAAGGAGCTGTCTACATGGTGTGGTCCTGAAGGTGTCCATTTCAGTGCTCATCTTTTTAAAGGATGAGCAGGTAGTTATGTGACCTAAATTGGGCTCTTTTCACTTTCTGACAATCAACATCAAAACTGTCTTTAGTCTCAGGTTCCAAGCCACTGATTTGAGCAATCTCATGCAATCTGAGAAGAAAGAAATCAGCTGATCTGGAGGGATTACAGTGTTTTTTTTTCTACTGTGGTGAATACAGAAGAGGTTTTTCAGACCTCTAGATCATCAGGTGACACTGTCTTGGAGCCCAATGCTTTTTCTACAAGCCAACTATTCTTCTGCCCCCATTGAAACTCTTGGGCACCTGCTTGACTAAATGAATTTCACTGCGCTCAGCCCTCTGGAGGCATCATCAGCAGGATTGTCTTCACATATCTCCACTGTGCAAGTCCTGTGTTGTCACGAATCATTGATTCTCTGTAGGCTACATGGGTTTTGAATCATGCCTGGTTATTTTGCTATATATTTTAGCACAGCCTGGCTGTCTGTCCTAAAGACTGAGGGTTTGAGCTTAAGTTTTCCTTTCCTCAGCATGTTGTCTACCTTTTACTAAAAGAACTGCTGCAGTCAGCTCCTGTTGAGGAATTGTGACATGTTTTAGTAGAAGAACTCCGGACTCATCCCCTGAAGAGGGGTGGCAAAATTAAAAGGAAAAATTAATGCAAATAGAAATGAACTAAAATGTGGCTTTGACAATCTGTCTGAAAAATGCTGGAGATTCTTCATCTTTGCCTTGGGCAATGCAGGGCAGTTTTGTAAAGGTAGTAACTACACAGTACCGCAGTGATTTTCAGTGATGCCAAAACAATGAAGGTTCAGAGGGGTTATGAAGCAGAAAAGGGCCAAAGCCATCAGTCAGTGCCCACCTCCTGAGACCAAAACAGGGACTACATTGTAAGAACCTGGACTCAGAAGCAAAACCTCTTTGCTGCTGTATTCTCCTTGATCCCTCTTGTAAAAACCATCCATTACAAAACTGTCAGTTTCAAAGGACAGAGCTGTAACATCAACACTCCTGGGGCTCCAGGCCACCAGACAAGGCACAGTCAGCTAGCTGCAAGGCTAATAGTGGGGATGCACCTTGGCACCACATTGGTCCAATTGTGACTCAAATAGCTAGATCACGTATCTGTCACAATCGACCAAATCATGGGGCTGAACTGTTTAAACGGAGCTCCTAAAGAACAGCATGTACAGTATGTCCTATGTCGTGTGGCATTAGCGTGCTAGTAGACTGATGTATTTTATAGGATAGAGCCAACATAGCATAGAGGGAGCTGTCAATTTAGGCTTTCAAGTGGTGGTAATGGTGGCGCAGCTGGATATAACATAATTATGTCAATCAGGCATCACGCCAAAGACAACAAAATGTTCAACCAAATGAAGAGGCACACAGAAATGCAAGAGGAGGGTAGTTTGAAAGCATCAGAAGAAAAACCTCTAGAAGTCCAGTATAAGGGATTCTGCTGATTGGATTATCCACAGTTTATAGTGTACTCTAATTTTTCTGTAATCACTTTGTCTGAACTCCATGAGAACAGGTGTGAGCTCTTATCAGCAGGGTAAAAAAGTGTAACTGAGATATCCTCACATCTTTCTATTTAGATATGACATTTTTAATTGTTTCATATTATTTTTTGTTTACCAAAATAGCAACATTCAAGAGACGAGAAAATTATTAAAAACGGAGACTGAAAGACCAAATCTTTTATACAGCAGATTACAAAAGCACAACCCCAACCAAGAACTCAAGGCTTAATAAGACTTAATGTGATATATACGAGCTGCTAAATGGCACCCTCAGCCCCTTTCATCTGATATTTAATTTGATTTTTAAACTATATTTTATTCAGATTTTAAATTTCTATCAAAGGACAAGTGATAATTCTCATGCTGAGGACACAAAAGACCTTACTGTGCACAAAGTCGGAGCTTTGGATGATTTTGAAGATTTTGGTCTGTTTTTTTTTTTTTTTTCAAATTTATCATCTCATCATGTGAGAGGAAGTAGCATTGTTGATGTTGTGGTGAGCAGCTCAGTACTAATCCGTTAACAGGTTAATCTGGTGGACAACTGCAATAACAGTACAACACTACTAACTACTACCATGAAAGAGACCACAGTACTTAAATACTGTAGTACTAACAAACTACTGTGTAAAATGTATGATTTAATTTTCAGGTAGTGTTGTAGGAAATTTGATTTGTATAGTTTTTCAGAGATATTGAAAAACCAGAAACAGGACTAGAAATGAATAGTGAAAAGAGCACTGATCAGTTTGACCCGTGCAAGTAGGCTTGAACAAGAAAGACTTAATCTACAAGAGAATAGATATGGCAAGAGGGGATGAAAATATGAAGACATGAATTAAGTTCTCTCAAGTTTTCTTTATTTTTAGAGTCAAATTTTGAGATCTGAAAAATGCTAATTGATGGTCTACACCCACAGGATCAGCTCTATAAGTCCGTACTCAAGGCAAAGTTAGGGCCCGTGTCCATTTTTTCCTCAGTTGGTGTTACCTATCATCTATTTAAAACCAAATACAATTCTGCCTTTTATATTTTCATTTTTAAATTGAATTTCCCTCGGAGGATCGATAAAGTTCCTCTTATCTTTCAACATCCCAACCCCCAAATGCCCTCAGCACCAGCAGTTTTCTGTCACTGTGCTCACAGTTCAGTCCAGCAGTCGGGCGCCCTTAATGTGGATCTTTCCATGTCTCATGAGAGTCACATTCACAGCAGCATTGCCTCTAGTTTAGGCCTGCAGCACTGCATGCTCTTCAGGTCCATGGGTCCCATTAAGCAGAGCATGTAACACAAATTATATGTGAGAAAGTCAGATGGAATGAGCTGAAGATATATCAATTTTGTACACAACAAGGATTTTTAATAGATTATATTCTGTAAATACAATATGGGAAATTCAAGCATCAGATTGGGTGTCTGTATTGGCAGCAGGGATCAGGATAGAGGCCAACAAAGCTTAAACCTCAGACTTAACAATCTCTGCAAAGGTAAACATCAGCATTAACAACCCTGCAACAGTAAAAGCTGGTTGAAAAGGCTTGTAAATTGAAGTTGCAAGTGCTGCCAGTGCAAAAAGAAATGCTATAAGTGGACAACAGCCTGCTGGCAGTGCTTGAGGAAAAGAAGGTGTATAACCCAAACCAGTATGCTTCACTAGTGAGTGTAATTGTCTTATAGGTTTAAAGATACATAGAAGTGTGGGTAGATGTGTAAATCAGCCTGGCAGTGTTTTGTTACAAGAAGAATCTCTGGAGCCAGAAATCTCTCAGGGGCCACACTGTTGCAGCCGCAAACACTTACACAAACACACACACACACAAACACAACAGCCAAAAAACAATTCTATTTGCCTTCCCCCAGACACGGCTTCCTCTGCCGCAGCATTAAAGGAGAGAGATTATTTCCTCTTTTTCCTGGGAAATGGATTTTATATCAGCTGTGTGTTTGTAAATCAGACCTCCATTTCCAAGAAAAGCAGGGGGTATTACTCTTATCTCCCTGACTGTATTTGTTAAAGCTCAACAATATAGGTTACAACTTCTCAGATTTCCCACCTGCCTGCCGAGGATACATGCTTTTTCCTGCTCTAGCCGGTGGAATAAATCAATTACAGTGCAGAAGAAACATGAAGACACCATGTCCCTGGCCACTTTTGAAAATATATATTTTTTATAAACTTTGTTCCCAGATCTCGCTGTGATTGGGTATATTTCTTTGAACCATATCTTCTAAGAGTAAGTTAACGAATACAGTATATCATTTGCATATAGACAGACAAGTGACTGGGGGATATCCAGATCAATCTGTTGACTACGCTGACTGAATTAAGTTCAATTTTGCATGCTTTTTCTCGCCATGCAGAGTTTCGCAAAGCTGATCCCAGCTGGTTGATAATATAGGAGATGTGGCGTAAAAAGATCCTCGACTGCTCAAACTTTGCTTCCCCCCCGATTACTTCCCACACATACCCACAGGGAGCCGAGCCACCATAAAAGTTTTCTGCAGATTATCATAGTCATATTCTATACTGATAAAAGTGGAGAAGGAAACTCAGAGAGAAACTAATCACGGTGAGAAATCGATGAAGATGACGAAGGCTACGTTCGTCTGATTGAAATCTACAGGGTTTGAGTCATTTATGAGATCTGCAAAACCAAATGTGATTACCCATACCTCCCTGGACCTCCCTCCCTCGTACTCCCCTACTCCTCCTCTCTTTTCATTCTTCAGTGGATCTGTCACTCAGGCCTGAAATATTCATGGCCGCCTCTGAAAAATGAATGCATCTGCCGAAAGGAGCAGAAGTTGAAGAGAGAGAAGTTAGTCGTTTCGCAAGACACTCTCTCATGATGAAAGCGGCGGAGGGCTTTGAGTCAAGTCGTTGCTTCAGGAGACGTGGGTGAAGTGACTACATGCGGCAGCGGCAATTGTGTTTGTCCTTGTGTACATTGAAAAGATGCATGTGATGGTTGGAGAAAATGAATGGTAATGTTCTGCTGTTTTTTGTAAGGGAGGCTGAGTCTCTCAGAGAGTGAATGAATGAATGAATGAGAGCTATAAAGATATGCTGCAAGTGTTTTCCTATTATAGAAATAAGAGGGAGACGATGTGAGGCACATGTTTACCATACACAAACACACAACAAAAGGAGAGAGGGTGTGTTTTGCGATCGCTGTATTGTCGCAAGTAAACAAAAATAAAACTTCATCATCAGGGTCTCTTTGCCACCATCGCTGTAACCCCCTGTTGTCTCTGACTCCCTCTCTCTCGCTCTCTCTCTCTTTGGCTGATCTTTCTATTTAATTGGCTGCAGAGTTTCTCAGCTCTCAGTCTCCACAAAGTACATTTTGTATTGATTCTCTTTCTTTGGCTTCACAGACTTTGCTTCCCATAGTTATCCAATCTACTCAACTGCTGGTGTCTCTATCAGTGGGCCTCACACACACACACACACACACACACCTTCACATACACTCCTCTTTTTGAAACCAAGATCAAAACCAACTTCATCCGAATTACTGTGATGGAGGATGAAGTTGTAATATTACTCTTGAATCAAGTACACTCAAAGAGAAAATGCATTTATGATAATAAACTCATAGATAATTGAGATTAAAGTTGTTATGTATGAGAAAAAAATCACAAGAATAAAGTTATTCATTAATAAAATACAACTTGGAAATGAAGATTTAAGTTGAGGAAATAAGTTGATTTATTGCTTACAGGCTATGTTTGATTGATCTGTGAAGTTATACGGGGTTATTAGAGGAGCTGACCATCTGCAGTAAAAGCAGGAACACATTTCATTTTGTGAAGTTATACTGAGAGCAAACAGCAGTTTTACAAGCATGCACAGGTGACTGGTTTGCACTGTCATGATTTTTAAGACTGTGTGATGCTGGTGTACAAAAAAATTAAATATTACACCATCTATGAAACAAAAACTTAAGTATTCACTAAAAGTGAGGTGGCTTACTTATTTTAAGACCTTTGCCTTCAAAATAACCCAGAAGCTAACCATTTAACAAAATGATTACTTTGACTTGATAGTTCATGACTTTTACTCTCATGGAAGAACACCTTTATTTCCTGTAAATCTGTGACTTAATCTTTAAATTTCTTTTCTTTTACTCCTACTAGAGGCTCTGAAACTGTTAAATTCTTATTTATTTCAATTTTAGGATCTTTTATTGTCTTTGTGTACAAACGGTGGATTGAGAGGTTAATAAACTGTTTGAACTGAAGTGAATTGACAGAAATGGCAAAATGTTCTATCAACACAAAACTTACATTCACATTCATTTCTGTCGAATAAAACCCCCCAAATCCTCTGCTTTTATTCAGTCCAATAAAGTTTAATTTCATAGCTCAATCAAACGAATAGGTGTGTAACTTGTGTCAGACTTCACCTAAAAGTTAAGTAGCGAGATTAAAGGACAATTACATTATACCGTTTCTCTTGTTCTGGAGCCAAAAGTCATAATTATGCTTCCACACCCTCCGCATTTCCACTAAATCTGATATAATAATATCTCACATTTTTAAAATCCAGTTTATCTTGTGTCCTACGTGATAATCTACTCTTCTCTCAGGCTGCTTTTTAAAAGGAATGTATAGTTATAGATATGAATGCGCAGAAATTACACCATGAGTCTAATATTCCAGACAGGTCTAACCAGGACAGACTTTCTGCAGTGGAGAAAATGGTTGTCTAGGCCACTGGTCCTTGAAGGAACCCATTTTCTACATAGTATCAGCGCTATAGGAGTCTATCATAGATCTTATATTATCAGTGTTGAGGGTAACGCACAACAAAGTAACAGATTACAGTTATGATATTACTTTTGGGGGGTAACAAAGTAAAGTAAAGCACTCACTAAAAAAATCTGTAACTTAATTACTTTATTAAACAATAGGAACGTGCCTTTCTGTGTTACATCAGCTGTGTTTCCCTGTGTGCAAAGTGCTGATCTGTTGAAGTGGTTCGTCTGACAATAGGCAGGGGTTTGGTGCTCATAAGGATCAATTTCCCCCGTTTTTTTTTTCTTGATATTGAGCCTTCGGACCATTGTCCAGCTTATCTCTGTACACTCTGACAGTCTTTTCTTTTGTGGGATTTAATTTTTCTTGGGTGTTTTTTTTTCTCACTGTGTCGCTATCTCCCAGCCTCCTTGTCGAATGTTGAAACAAAAAGTTGCCCGCAAAGATTGGCGCTTTCCGACCCAACATGCATTGCGCAATCATGTGGCCTTTGAAAGTCCTATGGAGAGATTGATTTGAGTGATGTAGCTCCTGGTGCAAAAGAGAGATGGAAATGGAGAGTATAAATTCATACAATAAACAAAACAATGCAGACTATGCTCAGTGAGGATTGGGATATGATGTTTGTCCACGTACCTCTACACGGTAACGTAAGAAATGGGAAATTAAAGTAATAAGTAGTGAAGTTACTTTTCAAATGCAGTGACTAGTTAAGTAATCTCATTACAATTTACAGAAGTAACTAGTTACTAGTAACAAATTACTTTTAATGAGTAACTACCCCAACACTGTATATTATAGTGTTTCTGTTCCACATCTGTTTATATTCAGGGAACAGAAACACGTGTCTAACACCTTAATACAATCTGATTTTCCAAGAAGTCTGTCAATCAAGTCTCACACAGTCTCCTTGTGTACCAACCTCATGTCTGGAACAACATGTCAGGAATGATTCTGATGCTGTTTATGAACACACGCTGAAACACACCTGCGGTTGTATGGGTCGTCCCACAGGTAGCTAATACAGAATAACATTGTTTCCAGCACACAGGGCTATTAATCATGGATGAACTCCTGCATTACTGACAAATCAGCCTAATCTCACAGGGGAGGTGTGGGAGTGTATGTACACACCCAGACACACGCAAACACACAAAAGAGGGTCTGGACTTGTGCACGTTCATACACACATGCATTTAATAGGTCTTATCTCACAGGAAAGTGCATGCTCTGACTGGCAAACAGAGAATTAATGCAGAGCAGGGGGCTCTCTCCTCTCCTCTCCCTTCTCCCGTCTCAGTCTTTACTTATCTGTCCCTCTCATGTCCTTCTCTTCCCCTCTCATTTTCAAATTTGCTTTTTTTGTCTTGTCAAAAACAACAAAGCAAAACAGCTACACCAAGTCTGTAGACAGACTTCTGAGAGATGTGCAGCTGAGCCAGCCGACAACACTTGTTTTTTTTTTCTTTTCTTTTTTTTTCCATATTATTATTTCAGAATTTCAATTCAGGGGTCAGGATAACAAAAAAAGAAAAAGAAAATCTGGTGTTTCATTATTCATACACACGTAAACACATCAATATGCACAAACACTCTTAATAACTAAGCAGGTAAGGGCACAAACATACGAGATAAAGGGGTTTCTCCGATGCAGGGTAATATGGATCTTTGTTTGTGTATGAGTGTGTGCATGGTCAAGAGAGGGGAAATTAAGATAGAGGTCTGTATAGATAGAAAACCTGTTTGGTTAAATAAATAAAATGGTGCAGGCTGAAGAAAAAAACACTACTGAGGCTGAGAGAGTAGAGGGAGAGTCAGCAGTAAGTGCTGAAGGGTAAACTTATCTACATTCATGTTGGCATGTGTGCATGGAAACACTTGTACATATATGCCATTGGGTATGCATTCATGAATCACAAGCAGCCCTTTGGCTTTTAAAGCCTCCTTCATATGTATCTTAAACACTCGCATATCTCACAGCCCTGTTGGAACACACAATGGCAGAGTATCCCCTTAACGCCCACCTCTGTTCCTTTCCCTTTTCCCCTGGCCCTCTGGACTGGCTGCTTTGTACCCTGACAGATATACAGCTCTTGGCTGCCCTACAGGACTCTGGGGAAATGAGATACAAATGCCACAATATCTGCGGTATCACTGCTCCAAACCGATGCTGTAGCCCCTGGCAATAAAACAGCAGCCGGGACACTGGTTTTGCAAAACAACAACAACACAATACATGACTAACTGAGACCATTCCTAACACACAGGACCATCTTAAAACTAACTCCAAAATTTGAAGGTGCTGTAGGGGGTTGGAAACATGCAATCTGCTACAATTGGTACCTTTGTATGTACCACTTAGTGTGACGTGTGAACAGATTTGAAACTTAAAACATCTGAGCTTTCTCTGTCTTTGCTGCCTCTAACAGTCTGTAGACTTATGGCTGTGGAAATAACTTTTTCAGAGAAATTCAGAGAATCAAATGTTTACAAGTATCTCATAAAAATACGACCTAAGCCAATGGGATAGCAATTAATTTTCGATCCATACAGCAAAGCTTACTCAGAGCTGGCTGGCTACATTTAGCTGCGCTGTTTCCTTCCTGAATTACTTCACCTCTGACATGATTCAGGATAGCTACATGTATCAGGAGGAAAAAAACAGTTTTAGCCAACTATACATGCAGGTAAAAGACATAGTTTTCAGATGGAAGGCATGCAAGAGATATAAACTCTAATAATAAACTAATACTTACAAAAGACAATGAAAAGAACTAGTAAAAATGAGAGAATGACTGATTGATAGAGATGTAACTTCTAAGTGGCACCATTAATTATTCCAAATCTGGATTTTCATCTCCATTACAATGAGAGTATCTGCCTGAAAGTCTGCTGCAACCAGTGACATGATTTCCTTAAGATGATTGAAAGAAGCCAGCTGTGGCTGTGACTCATGGTCAGAGCGGCGTCTGTATCCTGTAACTCTCGACTGTGTTACCGTAAATCCCGTCTTTTTGTAGCCCAGCAGAAGAGCAGTTATGTAATGATGAACACATTTTTGACTTTTTTCTGACTAATTATGTTGTTCAGATGTGTTATTCAAACATGCAGTGACTCATTAAGATTTTTTTCTTTCCCAGACATTCTGGCTGCAGACATCTGCAGGGAGGACCAGAGCGGACCAGAAGTTGATTTAAAGTCATTCAAATTAAAAGGGATTACACCGGGAAGTACGTACTTTTTGTCTTGTGTGACTATAACTTTTTTCTTGTAGCTTTATTTTAAGGATATAATGTTAATACGATTTTTTTGTATATTCATGTGATCAGCAAAGACAAAATACAAAATGGAATGACTCCTTCAAACCGACTGGGGCACTTGAGAAAAGACGTCACCTCGGGTCCTCTGAGTGGAGGTCGGCCCTGATAGTGACGGTGGGTCCTGACAGTGAAGGTAAGTCCTGACAGTGGAGGTCTGCAGCCAGACCCCTCTTGTTCTTTCTGCTTATGCACAGACATGAGTTGGGTATTGCAATGCCAGATTATATGAGGAGTTTGTAGATGATTTTATATGCAAAAATCATATTTTGATAACACTGCGTCTACAAAAAAAAAACCCAAATAAAATACATGGGTTTTAATTCTAAGGTCGTATTGCCCACTTCTTTACATTACAGTTCTGGCCCGTGCTCAGTAACAGGACACTGATTGTTGTCTATTCACCTGCATTCTGTGTCTTACAAGTACCATTACCTGTAACTCTACTTATTATCTTTTTAACCTGGTAAAATGCAGAGTAATTCCTCTGATCGCGAGACTGTACTCTAAATTAAATTCCTATTTGCATTTAAGAGCTTAAGCTCATGAGCCATTACAAATGCAGGGCATGTCTTCTTTTCTTTGCTTGTCATGTGGTGTAAATAGGCGTTTAATCTCTGAGCCACACATGGAAGAAGCACCAGTGTTCTTACACTACTGTATATCTAACACAGTGTATCTATGTGTCCTTTAATTTGCCTGGCTAATGCAGCACTCTAGCATAGTGATAAGAGAGTGTAATCTTCTTAGGTGTGGCGAAAGCTTAATCAATATTAACATATTCCTCAGCTCCCTCTCCATTGAATAATTGATATCCCCACACAGTCTTGCTGAGAATGAAATAAGATGTAGGAGTATTAAAATAACTTCCCCGAGATAAAAGAAAATTGATTAAAAAAAGATGGCTGAAAATTAAAGAGAAGGGAAGGAGCCTAAGGGATTGGGCTTTGCATACAAATGAAGAAAAAAGGGGTTGGAGGGAAGGTGGAGAAAAAAGGAACTTTAGGGAACTTATGAGCTCATTTATCTAACTCCAGTCATTGCACACTCGACCGGCTGGGTTTTTACTGAACCAATCAAAGCGGTTAATCTGAGGGATCCACTGTAGCTTCTCCAATCCCTGACCTCCTTGTAGAACATGGCGTTATTAATCAATGATTGCTCATCTGTAATTTCCACATGATTACCTCTTCATTTAAACTCCTGGCAGCAAAAATCCCAGAGTTCACCTGACGGGTTACCTTCCTGTTCCCAACTCTTAGCATCCTAAGCATTTTTCAGGCCTAACAGAGTGTGCCTTCAGGCTCTGGCCAACCTAGGCAATAACTCCCCATGAAGAATGATAATGAGAATTAAATGAAGTTTTCTCAACTTATGTCCATAAGGTCCTTTCAGTTCAACTGCTGTATTTAAAGTTTTAACTCGCGCTAAGTAGAAATTGCTTAATCACCTGAAGTGAAAGAAAAAGAAATAAAACAATGCATTGAAGTCCTTTGCTTTGGGACTATAAGCTGATCCCTCATAGCTGTAGGGACGACACAGAGCAGGGTTTTAAAAATAGATGCAGTGAGAGGATGGGGGTTAAGAGGACTCATGCGTTTGGACCACCTTGGTGTTATCAGATCACTGCTGACACCTCACCTGGCAACCCCAGGGCTTTAACGCAGAGGCAGACAGCCGCGAGTGACTTTGTGTTTGTGTGACTGTGTGGAGAAAAAAAATATGGAAAGTTCAGCAGACAAAGACAAAGACAAACTCAGGCTTTCTCAAGGTTGAAGCACTTATATAGGAGATATATAGAGGACGCATGTTTGTGGGGTGTTGAACGGCATGTGTGACAGCTGTGTTCAATCAGCGAGGGGAAAGCTGAAGGGTGAAAATGAGATGTCAAGCAGATGAAGATGAGACCAATACGGAACAAAGATACTTGACATACATACACAGGAGGTAAACAGCATTGCTCTGTACGCCCTCTATAGAAAATAATTACATGTCTAATATGACAGCATGTAGGGGCTAACAGTACAAGTGGTGATTGGGGAAATATGCGGATGCATGACGGCGCACCTTGTCTGTCTCTTATACATGTAAGTGTGTGTGAGTGTTTGTGTCTTCTTCATTCAGAACTGTATCAGATCCCCTCCATCTCCATTTGACAGGCAACCGACGAGATAGCGGCTCAGATCAATGTCTTCGATTTATGCACACTGACACTTACTAACACACTCACACACCTATCCTTCTTGATTTACCGCCGGCTTTTAATTTTTTTTTTTTTTTTTGGAAAGAAAAACCCCCCAATTAAACTCACAGCTAAATCAGCCATCTGTCAAAATTACTAGTCCAAGGTTTCAGTCTTAACATCTCTTTTGATTGTTGAAAGCTCTGGTAGTATGAAGCCGTGAAGATAACTTATGACAAGGCAATAAAAGAGACTAAAATCTTATTTATAGCTTGTTTTATTGTCAGCCTTTCTGCGTCGGCTGTTAAGATTTTTTAATCCGTGAGGGTAAAGGCGAATTGCAGCCGTATGTGCCTCCATCTCATGCCTCTGACTAATCAAACTGTAGCCTGTTAACTGTCTCCTCTAATTATACTGCATCAACACCCAGACTGACATTTCTGTCCGCCTGTCTGAGGCTCCCCTTGTGCTGCATTGTGAGCCTTGATAGGGAGGGGAATAGACAACTGTTAGATACTTTTGCAAGTAGAATTAATTGTATTTCTTATTTTTCCGTCAGCCTCTATTTGATTAAACTATGGCTAAATTTGTGAACACTGTATCTGAAGAAATATTTCTATCTTGTTTTCTTTTTTTTCACTCCGTCTGTACCCTTTAGCTTTCTGCTCTATTTTCTCGCTCTTGTTTTAATCTCATCTCTACTAGTCTGGGCTCCTGTCAGCTGAAACAAATAGCTGTGTCCCAAACAAGCAGAGCACTGGGCAGGTGTCAGTCAGGCTGTGGAGCGCAGAAATTGATCACGGTCAGGCACAGAGTCAATACAAACTAAAATAACAGGCTCTTTCATCTGCAGTACACAGGCATGTGATGTGCATGCAACCCATTGGTTATACATTTTTCTGCCTGGCACTGAATCTTCTAAGTATGACCACATTCTTTGACATCTTGCATCTGTATAAATGGGAAATCTGCTGGGTCACCTACATTGTAACCTGTTTCAGATAAACTAAATAAGTGTTTTTGCTTTCTATTCAAGGTCTCAAAGGCAAATTCTGTTCACCACTGATCTGCAGTTGCACAGGTGCTGCCCTCACTTTGAGTAAATGATGGGAATAATTGAATGTGATCCAGAGCATTATTTTCAATTAGTGCATGTTTATGAGTTAGTTAAAACACAGTCTGATTTTTCCTATCACCATCGTAATTGTACATGGTTGTTTCGTTTCTCTTTTCTGGGCAATTTATCTGAAATAGTGGACTCTTGTTTCAGAGTCTTGATCTTTAAACACAAATATATATGCACAACAGTAGTATTTATCTGTAAAGCAGACTGACGCCACTCACAACTGCAGTGCCAGGGGGATGAAGTACAGAGAGTAACAGGGATCAGCAGCGGCAAAGTAGGCCAAGTTGACCAAGAGTTAGATGGAGTTTAAATGCTGATTTTGAGATAATGGTTATAAATGCACCAGAGTGATTAAAGAAACAAACAGTTAATCAGTCAAGAAATTTGGTGTCTTAGACTGTCAAGTGGAAAGTCTGTCAAAACCGTAGACTTCATATAGAAAAGACAGAGTCTGCCTCCTCACTGGGTAAAGCCACTCAGAGAACAGCACCCTCTAGTGACGGGCTGCAGTATAGGTCATAAATCCCGCCTCCTCCAGCAATTCTTATGGAGCTGTGGACAAACTTTAGAGACTAATTACAAGGAATATACATTTTCTCTCCCCTGTATGATTGACTCTTGATACAGCCTATGGGCGTACGAAGAAGGTAGCTCACCCGGGGGATACGCTGTTTAAGCAGAGTGTCATCACAGCGACTCTCGGCAACTCTTCTGCCATGTACTACACTACTGCGCCAGTGGTGGTTCCAGGAAGTGGAGAAAATTCTGGAAATGCCAAGGAATTCAGCTTCAAATTTGTTTAATGATGGAAGCGCAGCCAACAGTCTATGATCAAAACGCTCTCAGGTCCTCACAACAGCTGTTTCTGGGGGATTGGTAGAAGGATGTGTGAGATGGAAGGTATGCCAAGGTTCCTTAACCTGGTTGAGGGTTTTGGAGTCGCCATAGAGGCTGCATATGTTTGTGCTTTTGTTTTTAAGATGGTCAGCATTATGGTTCATCAACTGCAGGTCATTTTAATTTTAAGTATTCTGTGATGGACTGGCTGCCTGTCCAGGATATATGCTGCCTTTTAACAACTGTCAGCTGGGATAGGCTCCAAGAAGGCTAACCAAAGTAATCGAAGTAACTTATTTCATATATTTTCACTTTCAATCAATAAGCCACATTCATGATGATTCCTTTGCTGTGACAGGTAGTGGTGATAATCAATCTTTGCACTCAGCTCGCCGCCTCAGAAAACACCTGTTAGTGCTCCAGCAGTTATTAAATCTGAATTTTTGATGCATTGTTTCACCCTGTCAAGAAATAAGAAAGCAGAAAATGCTGTGGGCAAACAAAAATTATTTGCATCTAGGGATGAGGATGAAAACCCAGTTCTGCAGTTTTGAAACCCAAGAATCAATATTGTTTCAACTTATCAATACTTCTATTAAGTCTCAGAGGTCCCACATTATGCCTTGGATGGAGCCACATTTAAATCAGACCACTGGTGCACAAACTCCCATTCATTGTCTAATAAAGTGTCTGAATAAATTTGATTCCCAGCCAACAGGTCAGCTGTTTCAGTTTGCTGCTCCAGTTGCTTTAGAGGATAGCAGAACGTGTCAGGAAGTCTAAAATTTGGCTGAATACCTTCAGCTGTCTTCAGGTTGAAAAAACTCAGATTAGACTCACTGGTGCTGCTGCATTTTCAATTTAACTTTTGTCAATTATATATAAGTAATGTGTCTTGTTGACATGTCGTATTCATAATTAATAAAGGAGATGAGTAATATATCTCTTACAGAGCTCCAGAAGTTGCAGTCAGCAGCCAAACGCACAAGATGAACGACTTCTCAACTAATTTGTTGTCAATAAGTTTAATAATAATTTCAGAGTCATACACTATTGTTTTCATGACCATTAATTTTGATGAAATGTTTCACTGGTGTCCACACAACTGATCAAGACGGCGCAAAATTAATCAAAACGAAATTAAAAAAGTTGAGGCGAGACTTTGGGTGCGCTGATTGAAGAAACTTTCTCATGTTGCAGGGAGAGGGGCAGCTCAACAGTCAGAAAATGATAAACAAGAAGAAAGTTAATTTTCTGAAGCACCACCATCTGCAGGATTGTTTACAGCCCTGCCAAGTAGTAAGACCCTTCTCAAGGAAAATAAGCTTTCAGAAAAACGTCAACTGAATAAAAAAGGGGGGATTTATTAGACAGAGGAAACCGACCAAAGGCACAAACTACTTTAAATTTCACACTGCTTCATTATGGTTTGAGATGGATGTGACAAGAGGTTGCCCAAATTATCGATCGGACACTATAACCTCCCCTGACTTGTGCAATGAAAGATTTTTACAATTTGATTCACAGCTTTACTACTTCATGAATCCTGGTCTTGGTGCTAAATCTTGATTTTTTTCAAGTGCATTTAATAATCTTAGATGGACAAACAAGACATACAAGAGTCTATGTGAGCAGATCTGCATTTAAGGAGCAAGTCCTAAAGTCCAACTCCGATCATTTTTTAATTTTTTAATTTATTTTTTGTTTAATTTTACAACTTAAAGTGTTACCAGTGGTCTTTATTGTGATTATGAAGTTTTAAGCCAAAATCGCATTACCTTCGTCATTTTTGAGGGCTTTTCTTCTGCAGTCGTGGGCAGAGACAGCGCTGCTCTGCACACTCCTCTTCATGCTAGCTTGAAGCCTAACATTGCTGGTGTAGTAGAAGAAGCAGGTAACATAGGAGCTATTCAGCTCTCAGACACTAATGTCTTTGAGGGCAGGATGAAAGTTAATATCATAATTAGCTTTTTTTGCATTGCAATCCGCTAACGCACACGCTTGTCCCGCGATTGTCCTCTCTATTTTTGTGAGTCTGACCTGCATAGCGGGGCTCCGGGGGCGGAGCTTGGAATTCTGATGTAGGAAATCTCACTGTTTCTGAACCTGCCATTGGGTCTGGCAGAGATTCACAGCAATATGAATGCAGAAATGCTCAGAAATGCAATTTCGCACTTATTTTTCACATGATATGTCCTGTAGCATCAGAAAAATGCCATACGGACATATTAAAAAAAACAAGAAAAACATGATCAGAGTGGGTCTTTAAATTGGACCAATTTCTTTAAATACATAACACTGTTGTGCCTCTGACCTACAGTAGTAAACGTGAAAACAGCATGAGAAATGCCGGCTGTCTAATATGCACTTTTTTGGTTTACAGATATTTAATCTAGCTGCATCTATTTTCTACCTCCTGTTAGTTGACATGCATTGGAGCTGACTTCTTCCATTAACATTCAGGAAAAAAAACATGAAAAGAGAACATCCTCTATCTCATCGAGTCCATCAGAGGAATAAGAGAGATGCACAGACAGAGGCGGAAATGTTTGAAAGCCTACGAAACACCAATACAAACTATTTCCATGCTTCGACCCCATACCATCATCTTCAACGTCACTCACTGCCCACCCCACGCATGCACTAAAACATTTATACCCCCATGCCTGTCTGCTGATGGTTCTGCCTTTGAATTATTCACCACTGGAAATGCAGGAACAATCTAATTGAAAGAGAAGAGAAATCCAGTGGAGACAAAACTCTGCTCTTTCCCCACATGATAAATGCCGTACAGTTGACGTGGTCAGACTCAGCTGCTGTCGTCTCTGTTATTTTGTATTCTCACAGCTCGCCGTCTGCAGCTGTCTGCAATTAACACAACGTTAATGACTTCTCCTCTGTGACTAACATATCCTTAAATTTATAGTTTCACAAAGTATGCGTCTGCTATATTGGCTGTTTGTATCACCAACACAATCTGAAGCCATACGCAGGAAATGTTTTCCAATACACGGTTAACATCTGGCCAATTAACACTGGTGTCCTTTAAAAGATAACGTAGGAGATGTATTGATCCTAATTCTCACACCTCAGTGGGTGACTTCAAGGTCTTGTTATTTGAAGATGGAAGAAGTGAAGTGGAAGACAGGTTTCTTTGAAAAATCTCACATAGCTTACATGAACTTCTCCTTGACTTATGAGGACGTGTGATTTTCTTTCTTGACTTAATTTTATTTACAGTTTTACTTTATTTTAATTTATATCTTTATGGCAGAAAGGAAGTTTCCCCTCAAGAGAATCCTGTAGAAAACACAGAAAAAGGCACTTTGTTGCAGAAAGGTTTATATGTGGAAGATTGTTTTTATTCAGCTAAAATAAAAAGGCAAACAAAATTGGGTTTTATACAAACTTTTTATTAGTGTCATTTCCATCAAAATCCCTTCAAACTATCATAACAGTAAAAAAATGTAATGGACAAAAATACAGAAGTTTTAGCAGATAGAAAACGAAACCTTACATAATTTTAAACATAAGAGGAACCAGTTTCAGGTATCTGTTATTATTAAGCTAATATATTAAGAGATCCACAAATGCATACACAGAATATTACACTAAATACACCGTGCAAAGCTAGATATCCAGGATGTGTTGGGATGCAGCAGGCTAGTAGCATCCTTTTTAATGAACTATTGAGCCACAGTGAGTTTGAACTTTGAACAAACTCTCCATACGTGTGTTTGTGAATATTGATGCAAAGAACTACGTGTACTTGTAGATTTTGCACTGCAGAGTTTGAGCAAAAGATACATGTAGACATATTCAGTTGTAACTTGTCTTACTGGGCCAAAAAGATGCTGTCCTATTGAGAAAGCCATCACAAAGAGTTAAGTGCACCAGAAATCGCACGGCAGAGTGAAAAGCTGCAAATTTGTCTACATGCATGCCTAATCTGTGAACTTCTTGAGAACACAGTTTAGGATCTGTACACGTTTGTGGATCTAAAAACACATTTGTAGGTTTCTGTGGATTTAGTTGTGAAACTGTCTGCAAATTTGTGGATCTGAAACTCTGAAAATGCTTTTGTTGTATTGAGCACACATTTGTAAATCTCTATTTGCATTTGCAGCCGTATATAATCCGTCAAACAAGAACATTTTGATTGGGATTTAATCGTGCAGAACTTAGATGGAGAAACAACACAATTTCAAGGGGGGGAAAAACATACGTTTCGACGTGCTTTAAAACATCGAACATTTTTAAAGCAAAATCAAAATGCTTAGACCACATTCCAGATAAAAAAAAAATAAAAGTAACAACAGTTTGCACACTCTGCAGGATAAATATTGGCTGGGGACATCACTGCTGTGTGCCTGATGATGAGATTCCCTGCAAAAAGAAAAAAAAAAATCCTGCGTACACTGTACTGCACGTGTACACGCTCACACAGTTACACACACATGCAGCTCTGCCTCCTTTGAAGTGCTGCATCACTAGACTGTAATGGAATTCTATAGCTGACTGCTGACTTGAGGCTTTGGGGGGGAATGGATGGAGAAATGGGTGGATGGATGGAAAGAGAAGTGAACAGAGGAAGGTGGAAAGGTAGAAAAAATTGATTGAAGGAAAACTGTTGGACTGTATTTTGTGTTCATGTGTTTGAAGTATTGTGCCCCCTGCATCCATGCCTGTGTGTCCGTGTGTGTTTGAGGTTGACACCATCGATAGTATATGTGACACGTCGAGATACAAAGGTTCCTCTTCCTCTGTTGCCTGTTTTAAAGTCCCCACCTTGCACATGACTTCAAAAAGGCTCCCCAGGGTGAGGATGTAAGTGCGTGCACCACCTCTTACCCTTGTTCCCGTCCCCTCTTTCAACCTGTGTTTTAGCAGGGGACAAGAGGGTACTGTAAATTGCCTTTTGATTCATCCCCTTTAATTATGCAAATAGACTTCATTATCAGCAATGACTCTAAAGTGTTTTGGAATGTATTCATTAGTCTGTGTGAGGGGCTGTGAGAACGTTCATTTAGAGGTACTGAAGTGTGCACTATTTAGCACGCTCTCTTTTTCATAGATGCAAGTATACAACATACTCAACAAGGTGGGCGTGGATATGTTTACACGCACCTGTCTCTAATATGTGTGCTTTGTTGTTTTTGACAGAAGCATTCTGCCCCAGCTTCAGCAGGCTGCAACATTACTGTTGGATCTCCCAGTTTACATCTTAGGTATCAAAACAGTCCGTAAAAAGTAGGGCTGAGACGCCATAAAAAAATTAATCTAATTAATCAGAGGCTTTGTAATAAATTAATCACAATTCATCACATTAATCTAGTAAACCAGAGAGTTTGTTAATTTTTCTGACATGGACTTACTCATCTTAGCTCTGAATCCACTCATCTGGTCGAGTGTGAGTTGGGTGTGCGTCACTGTACTCAGAGTCAGATTAACGTTAGCTTCAATGCTAGCTGCAACATGTTTAGCATTCAGGTTATACCGGAGGCTCGATGTGCTGCAGTGATGTGCAAATTCTTTTGTGCATAGTTTGCACAAGACATTTTTTTATTCAGGCTTCGATCCATCTTTTTTTTTTTTTAAAGCAAAAATGCCCATCCATGCTGGAGCCACTCAAAGCAAATTCATTTGCGACTTCATTCATTTTTCCATGCACTGGTTGGGACTGGAACCCTGGTGCAAAAATACAGTTGGTGCAATTAATATGCGTTAATATTTTTAATGCGATAATATTACTGTAATTAATTAATCACAATTAATGCATTGATAAAAAGCACAGACAATTATGAGAATTGATAAAAAGCATAGACAGCAATTTACCGTTTGTTTGTAGGATGGGAAAGTTTTGTTTACTACCTGGCTTCCTTGCAAAGCATTTATGCTCTTCAACTTCTGGCTCCAAATCTGCCGTGCAAACACAGAGTGCTTAGGCCAATTTCAGTCTGATTGAGCAGCCGTTACTAAGTGCTTGCAGATTCATGGATTAATGATTGGTTTCTGTAAATAATACCACAAAGTGTGTTTTTCCACTGGCTTTTTATGTAGAGTGCCATTAGATAGTATTTGTGATTTGGGGCGATAACTTGGCATGAAAACAGCCAAGTTGATTTTCAGCACTCACCCACTTTCTATGTTTAGAACCCAGCTGGGTCTTTGGAGTCGACACAACATGAAAACTCCTCACAGTGTCTTTCAGTGTTTGGATAAGGAGGAGTAAGAGTGACAAATGAATAAATCAGACCACATTCATAATCTGAAAGGCACACAAAGGTTGATCAGTAATTCCCAACTCATGTCCATCCTTTGATAGCATTAAGTTGGCAGTTTTTAGATGAGCAACACTTCTGAGAAAATATGGATAGCAAAAGCTAAATAGATGGTCTACATCTACAATTGAGGCTAGTTGCCTTTGTTAAGGTGCTCTTTAGTTCTTTGTTTAAACCATCATAAAAACATTTTGTTTGTTATTAGAAATACAATACTGCAACCTCCAAACATACTCATGGATCCAGCTAAGTGCATTTGCCTTTTTCACTTCATAGAACTTGTGGGTGACACATTTTTGGTGCAGACTATGTTTAGAGCAGGAACTCTCCTGAGAGTTTTGGATCCGGCACAATACGCATGCGACTGTAATTATGCAAAAGAGGTCATTAACTTAATAAACAGTGTCAGTAAACAACAGCACAAAGACACAGTTTCCCTGCTGGCTCCTTTTCTTCTCTCTCTTATTTCTCTCTGGCTGTTGTTACCTCTCACCCCTGAATCTCTTTTCCATTTGAACATAGGGGTCTTTCAGTCCTGGTCGATGAGCATCTGAATGAGAGAAAATTGTCTGAAGTTAAAGAGACGGCAACATCCCTATAGCAGGACAAACAGCTGATGGCAGGACAAGGTAGTTGAATGGGTTTAATGAGTAGTCCATGGCACTCTGACACAGATCCAGTTCTGAGACTGTCAATATGTTGACAAAGACACACTGAGAATAACAATCATCAACTGCAATTCTCCTTAATTACAGAGGTGACTCTTCTTTTTCTCAAGAAATCAAGCCTAGCATGCTCCCCTGTTCCTGCTCTGTGTGCGTGTGTGTATGTCTGTCAGAGTGTGTGTGTTTCTAAGAGAGGAGAGATAGTGTTGTCTGTCTTCCCCTAATCTTCTCTTCCCATCCTCAGCCTGCTATCTCACCCATGTTCTGTAATGCTCTTATTTAACTTGGCATCATCCCATCGTCACATCCTCAGTGCTCCACACTAAATGTCAACAACTGAATATTCATCACAACGCTGACATCCCTCCCCTCTGTCTCTCTAAATCTCATCCCAGACAGAAGATGTTTTTTTGCTCCTCTGTCTTCTCTCTACGGGCTGATTAGCAGCAGATTTGAATATTACCAATTACCAATAATAGAATAGTGATTTCCTGCTATAATCTGTTTCTCCACCCTCTGAGTGATCCAAAAAGCTCAAAGCTTTTCTCCTTTTTTTTTGGCTTATTTTGAGGCACAGAGCTTATTTTCCTTGATCTCAGTTGTTTCAGAGTTTAGAGCTAATGTGATTTTTTTTCTTCTGACTCCAAAGTTGAAACAAATCACACACAGAACACAGAAGCTTTGTTGCAAATATGTATTTAACAATACTCAAAGGATTATTGCATTGTAGGACTAGAATCCTCATTTTCAGAGCTTGTCACGGAGAAGACTAAAACTGATTTATTGACAAAGACTGTTTTATTAATTTTGTTCAATTTTAGGACCACATCAATTGATTTAGTTTCCACTTGGCTAGGATGGCGCCACAGATCAGGTGTTCTGCTTTTTAGGATTTTGAAACGTGTTACATTTTGTCATATGACAGGGACAAACTCAAACATCTGTCAAGGACGAACTCAAATAAATAAGTGAAGAAACTAGAGAGGTCTGATTTAGTCATAGCAAGCTAACAACAAGGTTAGCCTCTAACGTGACTCAAGCACCTGATCCAAGATGTTCAGCAGGTATAAGTCCTGGTTAACAGGGTGGGTTTCAGCTATTAGACACCCGCATAGATCCCACTGCAGCAGGATCAAAGAGTGTGTCTCCACATGAAGAGAAGCATGATGCACATTTTCACATAGCAAACAGTGCTGTTTTATGGATCATTTAAATCTTCAGACACACTGACAGAATCAGTCAAAATCTGTTTTTATAATAAATGAAATATGTTTCTGTATCCCAAAAGGTCACACAGTCTGTAGTTTGGAATGTAACATTGGGTCACCTTATGAAAACTAATAATATTACTGAGGACTCAACTCAGACCTGGACTCGACTTGTACTTGACTTGGACTTGAACACTGATTGCATGTTACAGTACATTGCAGTACAGGACAAAAAGAACCAGTAGCTCTTTAGCGAGCCAACTGGACACTTTAATTTAACACAAGATTTCATAAGAGGGAAGGAAACCTAATGGAGCACTGCTGAAATAATCTGAGGCTGGTCTGCTTACACGGTATTGAAAGTAGACAGAAATAGGGGTGACTAGAATAAGACCAGCAGACTATCTGTGTTCACATCCTTAGCAAAACCTGGTGGTTTTGAATCCTGTCTTATTGCTTTGTAAATGTATTTATTTTCATTTTATTCATTACATGTAAACCTCTGTTCCCTGATAATGCCTTTTCGCTTTCAAAAAAAAAAAAAAAAAGTCAGCTGTAAGAATTAAAACTTTTTAAAGCATTGGGTTGATTTCCAAACAGTCAAACTTCACTGTTTAAATAGAAGAGGAATTTGAAGCTTTGACTACTGATGAGAGGGGAGAACTTGTGAATGCTCCACAAGTGTTACCACTGTACCACCACTTGTCTTCTCTGATGCCTGTTGGGGTAACACTTTGTAAAACAATTTATTGGCATAAAGCATATATTGCTCTTTAAAATGGCAGCAAGGCATTTTTTTTTTACACTTGATGCGAAGGTATGACAGGTGTTGAGTACAAACAGTATAAAGCATGGACACAGCTGGTTGCTGGGCATTTCTGGCTTTACGTTAACTTAGGGCTCATGACTGTGAGTGGGTTGTGCTATTGAAAGGTGTGTTTAGGATTCTGCATCAATCGGTCAGAGTAACAGTACAATAAAAACATCATCATACATTATCCCGCTTATTAAATAGCTTTTAAAGGAATCTTTAATTTGATCTTTTTCAGACTTTTTCTACGAACTGCTTCTGTAACTGTGCTCGCTGTTAACCCTTCTTTGTAAAAATGCTGTGGCCTGCTTTTCTATTCTCCGTATCTGCATCCATTCCTTTTTCCTGTACTAGCAGAACTTATTTTTGCCAGATGATTAATCTGAATAAGTCTTTCAGCATCTGTGAGCAGAGCTGCCTCCCCAGAAATAGTCTGAACTTTATACCAGCGGCTTGCTTTGGAGAAGAACAGCCATTATATAAGACAATATAAGAGCAGATGATTCTGAGCAGAGATCCTTGTTCGCAGGTTGTTCACTTTAGAGCAATCACAGCTGTATGACCATCAAAAATTGCCTCCTAAGTTTAGCCGGACCACAATAAGCAATCTGTGTGGGTTGGCCTGGCGAGGCTTTTTGTATCTTGGTGGACAGACCGTGTCAACAGCCTGCCAAGAAGTCTCGGTGTCACGGAAATTAATACCACAAGACCACACATACAGACGAGGGGACGCACACACATTTTGCAGCCAGCTTGGATGAGAGGTCATCTTATCTGCGTGAGTCATCGGTACATCTTTAATCACTCTGACTCATATTCAAAGCTCATTCAGGAGCGGCTCAAAGGGGAGAGAAAAGGACGCACACACCTCCTTTCATGCTTCCCTAAACATGAATGGCACAGTCAGGGCTGGGGTTATCTGTCTAACTGTGTGTGTGTGAGAGAGAGAGAGTGTGTGTGTGTGTGTGGATATCAGGAAGTGTGTCTGAGGAAAGTGACAGCCTGAGTCGGCCATGTAAACCCTTTGGGCCTGTGCTGCTTATCAGCCGAACACACACACACGCACAATTTCTTTTTCTCATGCTATCCACCTTACACACACTTGACTGTATTATGTCACGCTGGTCCGTTGAGTTCATTTCTCCCCTTCTCAGATCTTCTCTGTTCTCTTAGTCTCACTACAGGACTCGTACTACATTGAGACCATCACACCACAAGACCCTCTCCCCTTCATTTTTTAGTCTCTTTACCTCCTCTCTCTTTCCTCGTCATCCTTTTACATCTATATCTGTGTGACAGAATCCGACAAGAGAAGTGCATTGGCTGTACGCATGCTTACCACACAAGCTGGATGGTGCAGGGATTTATAGCTCGTAAGAAAGATGCTGCAAACATTATGAGGATGTACACTGATTCTGTTCGTATGTGTGATGAGGAATTTTAGATTTAATACAGCATGGTTGTATAAAGTTTGATAGGTCAAAAGTGAGTTTATTACCCACAGTGGATAGTGATCGGCACTCACTCTGTTTGGAGAAGTCTAAAAGAACAAACATTTACGAGGGTGGGGTCAGCAGTGAATGTATTATAGCCCCCTATGAAGGTCTGACACATAAAACTGTTGATAATTGGAGGCGAGGGCCAGTAATGAACATTATGAAACCAGCTGTCAGTATCATCATTGCTTAGACTCACTTCATCCACAACAGCTAGCATGCAATCTCACAGTCTGTGAATGAATGAACACTTTTTTTTCTAGATCTAGATCAATGACCCATGCTGTGGCTGAGCAGGACTGCATCAGAGCTATATGTCATTATTTATTACCTACAGATAAACTTTATTTTGGCTTGTCCTTAAATTCCTTTGGGAAAGTTAGCCCAGGAAGCCAGGAGTTTTTCAAAGTGACATCTCTATTTCACATTCCCTAGTTACTGGAATGCACGGTTGTTAAAATACCAGAACTTTCATTTTGGTACAACTTCTTTAAAAAAAAAAAAAAGAAAAAAAATTAAAAAGGGTTATTTAAGGCATATTTCAATACCACAGCAACATTAAATGCATATTAGAAATGGTTATGTGTTATACTTTTGATTTTCAACTCGCACACAGTGATGGTTCAGAAAACAACCCTGAACAAAAGGTAACTTTTTAAATCTGGTTGAAAGAGACAAAAGGCAAAAATAATGAGACTTTCCTAAAAGTGACAGATAAGGCAATAAAACGCTGATCATTGGAATACAGGTTATTTAAGGAGGAGAAAACAAGATACATATAAAACTTACTTGTACATTTCAAGCAAAGTCATCCTGAAGCACCAAGAGTTTCTTCCGAAAAGCGTCAGCAAAATCTTGCCATCTAAAGTCCATGACTAGTGAAAGACCTTCACAAGAAGACCATGCTATTCAGTGCTCTGGAGAACTAGCCTCAAGTGTGATGTAAATATAGGCTTTTCCAGGCTAATGATGTACTTTGTTTGGTATATCTATCAGTGTCCATACCAGTCAAAATGTGCTAAAAAATACAAGCATATTGTTTTATGAGTTTCCCCAAAAGTTTTCTCTAGTTTTGTGAGTATTTACTGAATAATTCAAAGGTGAAATATTTGAGTGTTTATTTATGAATACAGCAAGTATCAGGTGATTCTCGCCCAGCAGGGTTGCCAAGTCGGAGGTTCAACCTACGACCCACCTTGTTCATTTATTTAAGTGACCTTAGTTCAGCAAGAAACCAACCACTACACTAAACTAAATATGAGAAAGTTTCATGGACGCTTACTGCCATGGATTTGTGAGTATATTTTTGGATGGATAAAAAGAAGCATAGTAAATAATAATGCTATGTCAGTGCAGTCCTATTTTAAGTCATATGTGTCGGCTAAACCTGGTATCAGGTACTGTTTGTCAGTCATAATGTTTGACTGTAACTCTTGATAGCTTTACTGTTTTTGGTTTTGTCAGCTTCAATATTACCTTTTCTTTTTAAGACACATTTCACCACTGTTTCTTGCAACACCAGACTCATTTGTTTGGCATTGAACCAAAACCTTCTCATGCTTTTGTTCTACCTTTTCTCTATCAGGCCAAGCAAGCGGAGAGAAAAACAGCGCCTCTAAAACTTTGTGCACTTTTGTCATTTCTTTTAAAGTTGACTCAGTAAAACCATTACAGCTCTGAGGAACACTAGGCAGAAAAAAAAAATCCTTGACTCATGGTGCACAAGGGAACAATTAAGATATACAGCTGTTCATTTTCCCATCTGTGTCACCTGGCACTGTGCAGTACACTGTGAATGGTGAGACTGTTGGCACAAATTCATTACATTAGGAATAAATCATTGGTCTTAATATTCACGCTTGGCATACATGGCACATCATTGTCAAGTTTTATTCACTTAATTACATGCTTGTCACTTTGATTGTCCCAAAATGATGCATACTTTAAGCAATTATAATTAATATAACCGTAACCATTAAATATTGAACAGTAAAAGTGTCAATTATAGCTTAATTTGCCAGCAAAGTTTATTTTTGTTAATTAAATTGATATCCCTGATGAAATGGTTTTGAAACCTTTCTCACAGAGGATATTAAAAATTTACCGATAGCCTTACCTTTGATTTTTTTTTTTTTAAGGCGGAAAAAAAAAGAAATGAAGTAGAAGGCTCTTGTTAGCTGCCCACACATTCAAGACTATCACAGCCTGTATTAATGTTACCACAGTAAATCCTGCTGTGTTTGAGTCAAATGTCATCCATAAGAAGGTTCTATAAATAGAAATACAAAGTTCAGCAATAAGATTATAGGATCAAGTTTGATATTGCTTTAGCGGGTATAATATTATAAGCACCTAAGTCCACAGAATATATGTTGATAAAAAAACTAAAAGCCATATATTGTGAGGAGCCAAGTGTGAAAGGACAGGTAGCTGTAGATGAGATGATGGAGGGAGGTAAGCTCTTCCAAACTGCTGAAAAGAGTTAACCTACCCTGCAAATTTCAACTTGTTTCAAAAGGAAGGACTGAGCAAGGTTTTCGAAATGATTTGCACAGGACGGAGTGTTTGTACGGTGGCCCTGAAGATCAATAGCACAAATATTTTAAGAAATATCATAATAATCATAATATGGAAAATATTTGGAAAAATCCCCCAAAATTTTACAGAACACAAAAATGTTGTACAAGAACACAAAATATTTGTGAGTAAACGCAAATAAGTTTGAAAACATACAAATATTTTATAAAGTGGAAAAATGTTTTTCTGATGGAAAATATTTTGCTGCAAAGACGGTCTTTGAAAGCAGAAAGGAAAGGATCGTACGACTTCATAATGTTTGAACAACACTTGAGGACTTTTAGTGTATCTTAGCAACAGTCACAAGTTATTTCCTGTTCACTAAAGTATCCGTGTTATAACCAAAGAGAAGCATTGAAGTGGGCTCCAAAAGTAAGCTCATGTTTTTCTAGTAGTATTTCATCTCAAGATTGACTTCTGAACAAATTTGACATGAGAAATGAACGCCAGGGCAATTTCTTTCTTTCTTTCTTTCTTTCTTTATTTGTTTATTTATTTATTCAGTGAGAGGTAACACATGTCATCTAATAATCATTAATGCTAACTTTTTGCAGTAGCAGGAGATAATAAAGCCCAAAACCTACCAAAATGTAAAACTTTGGTGCACGCTTACTGGAGTGGCTTTAACATCTTCCCCTGTCTTACCAAGAATCTCTTAAACCTCTGCAGCAATTTAACAGCTGGAGCGTGAAAACAGGACTGGGATATTTTTGGGGCTGATGTTCACTTGACTTTGTGGACTAATTTGAATGAATAATGTCACATCACCTGGAAAAGAGCCAACCATGCTTACATCAAAAGAGGGGAAGAAAAACATGGAAAACATGTAGTTGCCTTTGTGCCTTTGTTATTTTTGTCCACTTTTAGAAATCATATCTCCTATTATATCCTCTGCCAAAACAAGGGTTAGAGTGAATAAGAAATTGGTCTTTAAGCCTCTTATAACAGGATTTGAAGTGAATTTGTTTGGTTTTGTTAACAGGTATTTGAGTTAAAACCCTCTAAATTCCGATATTTCTCCGCTACATTGAAAACAAACATAATAAAAGGCAGGTTGGAAATTTCTGTGCATGCCCTTCAACCGTTTGTGTGTCACCTTTTTGTATAATAACCATCTGAGTGGTACCATACCAGAGTCTTTGCTAGTCTATCTCAACTGGCTGGTGCATCTGCTCTGACATCTGTTGTTCGTAACAACTGCTTCATAGCTGAGGGTAACCAGAGCATGAGGACTAATCTCGGTATTATCTGGATATTCAGAGAATAGTCACAGATAATGAGATTACTGCTCAGCAGTGGTGCTGGTGAACAGAGCTGTCATAAAGATAGGAGGAGACTGTGAAAGCCACACCTGAGATACAGCGTTTGATACCAAGTATAGAAGAAATCATGCATTAGAACTTTTATTTTTACATTGTTGACTCATGCAGGACTTAACATGATGCTTAAACACCTTTAAGGCACAAAGACATTCATATTCTGGAGTCAGACTTTTACACATTTTCTCTCTCAGGTTGTATTTTGTGTCTGATGTGTGCATGAGAACCTGTGTGTGCGTCCGTGTGTGTTTATTCACTGTATTTTTTTAATGACATGCACTAACGATACGTTTAAGCTCGGCCATAACACACACGTACAGACACATACACATCAACTCAGACACATGGGACTGAGGCTCAGTGGAAGGCTGCAGCCCCTGAGAGGATCCACTGGGAGATTAGCCAAATCAGAAAAGCGTTTTAGAGAAAGGCAGCTTTAACGCAACACAACACAGATAGTGCGTGCGTGTGTGTGTGTGTGTATATATGAATGTGTGTGTGTGTGTGTGTGTCATGGAAACAAGAGATAGAGGTCCACAGCCTGTGACCCAGCAGTTTGTAACTTTCTCAGTCTAAGTGCGCTTGTTTCTCTTTCTTCTTCGGTTCTACCACAGAGTCCTCCTGACACTTTTCATCAACATCTAACGGGCATTTTTCTTCCATGGCACTCTTTACTGTTTCTGAATGGTTCTATATTTAACAGTAAATTAACCTCATCCTACTGTAATTCTTAATATGACAGTGCTCGTCTCTCTGGGAGTGGGTTTGAGTAGATTTCCTCATCTACTTGTCATGTTTGTAAGTTTATACAGATGGTAGGGCTGAGAAATTGAGAATTATAGGGAGGACAGTGATACTACCATATAAATGTTATACTACTTAGTGAATCTGACTTATTGGCGCCTGTTAACTTGACATGTCCGTGTAATCATTTGATGTTCATTTAAGCTTTAGCATCAGATAACTGGGCAGGAGTAATTATGAGGAAATTGTTCTGACAAGGAGGCATTTCTATTTGATGCTATGTGACCAAGTTGTGGATCTCACGTGGGTGTCCTTTTCCCAGTCCTACTTGGTCCACTTGAAGGGAATGTGGGAAAATATGTTCTGACAAGGAAGCATATTTATTTGATGTAATGTGACCAAGTTGTGGATCTCATGTGGGTGTCAGCCTCTGCTGTTGACATCCTGGAGAACATCCAACTCTCTCTACTTTTTCTGAAATATATTCTATTTATTCGAGCTGTATATGGAAGTTTAATATAATCATAGACATGCCAAATTAGAATTTCAAAAACCCCAAAATTTAAATGAGCTTGTAATAAGGTGAAAATGAAGATTGTTTGGCAATTTTATAAATTTAACCAACATCAGCATGACAACCAACATCAAATCTTGTATCCATTAACTGTCAAGAAACACCCATCATTCAGTGTGAAACCCCAGTGAAAAGTTCAGCCCTGTTGACCATGAAATATTCAGGCAGTGGTAACAAAATGAGAGTCCTCCCAGTCCTTGCAGATTCGACCTGATGCAACCTTCTGTTTCAGAGATGTTTTTAATTCACTGTCCTCAGAATTTTTAACCACTCCATGCAGAGAGGGGTACATCCCACAGCGTTCAGGGATGCACTTAAACCCTTTTTCGAAAAAGAATCCATGATCCCTCAAAACTCATTCAGTGCTGACATAGCTCAAGTCTCCACTTTGAAAGGAATTTTTCTAGACTTGGTTTAAAAATATTTCATTAAAGTTGGAATTTGTCTGCTTGGCAGAGATACTACCTAAACAAAAATATTCAGAGGCTGCATACAAATAGTTTCTTCTTGGTCTTAGTGAGACTTTAGATCAAGTTGAAAACAAAAATACTTAAATGAGTAAGAAATCAAATGGAATTTGCAATTAGCTGTCAAAGATATTGGTTTTCTATCCCAGAAAGAAAATGAGTTATGTTGAGATGAAAACCTGTTTCAGCTACTTCACTAGCATCAGCATCATTTGGCTGCAACTATTAGGTATCTCTCATGATGCCCTTCCTTTTATTGCCATATGACTCTGGAAACAATAACACGACACAACGCTAGGGACAATGAGCGCAAAAGACACACAGCGAGTGAAGTAAATCATTGCAGTAGACACTGTGTTTACGGCAGGTGAGGGTTGAAAAGTGTCATTTTTGTTGTCATCTGATTGTGCTGAATAAGGGCCGCCATCTTTGTTTTGGTCTGTTAACCAATTTGTGGTTATTTCAACTGAAAGAAAAATTGTATGTGTATGCTACCACGTGTATTTTATCATTATATAAGTATGTTAATCATCATTTACTGAAACTCACTTGGTGTGAGTGCTTGCAGAGTCATATCTGTTTCTTTTAATGAGCATGGGAAAGGAGACGTATGGCCTTGGAGTTGGGACTGATACTTTTCCACTGAAGCCATGCAACTAGACGAATGCTATAATTTCACTCACAGGTCGTTTTCCCAACAGTGTGACATTGAACTGATAAGCAGGAACCTGATGATGAACTAAGCTATCTTTGTTCTCCCAGTACAGACCACAGCTGCAACCTGTGCCCTGTTTGGTTACTGTTGTAATGTCATGCCACTTGTGAGATGATGTTAATGGGCGGGGGTGTCTGTTTCTTGACTGCATAAAGGATATAAAGGATGTGTAAAAATCTGAATTCCTCAGTCAGAGGAAGCTGCCTTTGTTGTAAGCTGCTGACTCCTTGCAAGTAAAAGATATCCAAGAAAAAGAAGTCCACTATCTCTGTCGTTCTTCTCAGCTGGCTGCAAGTCAGATGCAGTTTAATTTTTCCGACATCAACGATCAGCTGACCTGTACAGATCTAGTCATAAGCCAGGCTTCCTGTCTCAGCAGAGCAGTGAAAGTAATAAAACTGGTGATAAAATTGGTTATGGTGACATAGTGTCATGTCGGTTAAGTATTTTATTTTTCTCTTCATGCTTCATGTCTTGTGCTTCCTGTTTTATTTTGTGATCACTCTCCGCCATCTCTGATTGTGTATTCTCCACCTGTGTCCAATCACACCCCAGCACTTTGTGTATATAATCCCTCTTTTGTCACAGTCTTGTTGCCAGTTCGTTGTTCCTCCCAGGTCATAGTTGTGTTTGATCCTTGCTTGTTTTTTAACCTTACCTTTTGTCCAACATTTTGGATAACTCTGCCTTGTCTGACTGCCTTTTTGTGTACCAAACTTTGCCTGAAAATAAATCCTCTGTTTGGATTTTGGAACCAACTCTGTCTCTGTCTTTAAGTCCTGTCTGTTCTGTAGCTTTGTTCATGACACATAGGAATTGTGTAAAGCCTTACTTTTTCCTGCACAGAAAATCCTCAGGAGTTGATAAAGGAAACAGTAAAGAATTGAATTATTAAGCAAAATAAAACAGAATGAGGCTAATGCTAACTAACTAGGTATATGTTTGCTGTGGTGATGAATTTTCAGAAGTCTTAGAGTTTTATTCTGTTTAAGCTCGGGGAGTTTTTGAATCTTTCTGGCTCGCATGTTTATGCAAAGTGCGATGACTTAACCCTCCGAAACTGAGGAAACACACAGAGTGGCAACACAATGTTGTCTCTTGCTGCAAATGTGCTTGTTTTCTGACTATCACATTCCACCATCCACTCAGTTGAATTATGAATGTGTGTTAATACATGAATTGAAGCATTTACAATTTTTTTTCTATCAGATAAAACTGTATTACCATAATAATGATGAGTTCTCATCAGTGGATGACAATTCATCATGCAGTCCTCCCAAAGATATATTCATCAGAATAATGTTTCCATGTAGGAATCTGTGCATCAAAACAGAAAGTATGTTTAAATTTATCAAGTATCAGTATTTTGGTGGCTTGCATGTTTTCATACCTTTAATGTGATTTATAGCTGCTTAATTTGAACACAAGTGCAACGATTCATTTGTGACAGTACAGTGTGTGTTGGTAACAAACACAGTAAAACACTTGTATATTGAGTTCAACCAATGAGAACCAATAAAATCAGGGTTGAGACATCTTGCATAAAAACTTACTTCCCCAGTTTATTTATTTCCTGCTGAAATTTGCTGCATATTATTACTGTTTCTCTTCCTCACCTGCTTAGAATTTCTGTTGTGAAAACTTCACAACTGAACATATTTTTTTCCTGTTAGTGTTAGTTTGTTGCCCAAACAGAATTCAGAAAACACCACCCTGACTCTTACTTGATAAATAGTCTATTACCGGCACAACCAAGAAAGAACAATTTCCATTGTCTGAGCTTTTTTGTCTGTTAAAAAACCAGAGCTCAGAGGTGCAAATTTAAGCAAGAAATAAAAAATAATAATAAAACAAAAAGCAATTTCCAGCAATTATTGTTGACGTTGAGGTCAACTAAATAATACCAATAGTTACAAATCTCTAATTTTTCATTTCCTGTCAACTGGAGGTTTTGGGGAAAATTAAATTACACTGTTATCAACACTGAATAAAACTTTCTGTATCCATTATGAAAAACACAGTTCTTAGTTAGGCTTCATTTAAACACGACTCAGTTCACTGTATGTTGTGTCGTATGTGTGAGTTCTGACCCAGAGTGGTTCCAATTTATTGTAGAAAGACAGAAAACAGGAAAACCAGTGAAGCGCTTGATCTTTTCTTTTGAAAAGTTTTATTCATTTCATATAATACTGACACATGTACTCAATAGCGGTTAACAGGCGTTTAAAAACACAGATATTAAAACCATAAGAGCATCAGTTCATCTTTAGCCCCATTGATTCTATGGACCATTTTTTACACGTTTACATGTTTCAATATACCATAACATCTACTTGGTATTAGTCTAATTTCACCCCTGAAAGGATTTTTGTCCTCTTCCAAAAAAAAAAAAAAAAAAACTCAAACTGTCTTTCAATTTAAAAAAATGGTGTGTGGTAAGCCACAAACTACTCAAGGTAAAATATTATCATGAAAGTGAAATCAGAAAATAAAAAGGTTCAATTCAAATCCGAGAAACATTTTGACAGCATCAAGAGCGTCATGTGGCACGATAAAATTTAAATGTGTCTTCCACTAATTTAAGACAGCTTTTCTCGATGCTTTCTCCATTCTTTTTCTTTTTTTTTCTTTTTTTTGGTAGTGATGTTTGTCTTCATTTCTCCCAGTATACGTATAGACCACAAGTAAGCCATAGAGGAGAGCTGAAGAACACAGATTGCCGTGAAGAAAGTAGTTTCCATCTTCAAATCCACATCTGCTCAGTCCGTAGCTCACTTTTTTGATTTTGTCATTCGTAGTAGAAGTAAAGGATTGTGGGTGATGAAGTCCTCTGCGGTTAAAGGACCAAGGACACTCAGTTGTGTTTAAGGAAGACAGTGTCAGAGTCCTGTCTCTGCAGCTATCATATCCTTAAAGAAATTAAACAATAACTGGATCCTCGTAGAACTTCTTCTGAGAGGGTTTTCCTTACCCTTGATAGGTCCATTGTGCTGTGTAACTAACTCCACCACCATTTTCCTCTGCTCTCCAGGAGATGAGCACGACTATCGGGTCACCTGAAACATAAAAAGAGAGAAGTAGGTCACTGAAAGTAGTGCCCTAAAGTTTTGAATGCAGCTGTAAAGGTCACAGAGTTTCGTATGTGGTGGAACAACATCAGCTGAAAGTGTGAAATGATTCAGCGCCAGGAGTGACTAATAGGGACTGATCATGTTTGCCCCTGAAAAGGTGTTGGGCCCAGTGGCATGTATGCAGGCATGTTAAATTAACAGATGTAGCTGGTGACCTCCACTTTACTGGCTATGCCACCCCGCTGTAACTGTAATTTATGTCAGGTTAAAAACGTAGAAAATGTCGCTGATGCTTTTGTTTGTCGGAGGTAAACTCAGGGAACACCCGGGTGGAGCACAAACAACAGAGTGGTTAGTGTGGTCTCTTTCTCTCCTGGCAAACAACTTAACTACACAGTTTGAATCATGGCAGCCGGCCCACAATGCCTCGCTCTCAGCGCCTGGCCTTCTGCCATGTCATTTTGTCTTTTTGTCCAAACGATTTCTCTGATCACATGGTGTTTTTTATCCTCTCTGTCCATCTTTCTGCTCTCTTTTCTTGGTTTATTTTAAGTTATCAGGAGACTTTTCAACCATACAGCTACTAAACACAGACAAACTGCAGCAGAAATCTACATGCTTGGATCTTACATCAGACCAGACCTTCCACAACTGCTCTTCTGTTTCCTGCGTGTCTTCCTCTCATTGTGTTACCCTTTCGTATCATCCTCAGCACATGCTTTTGCTCATGTTTTTCCTCTCTAGGGATCTGGTCTTTTGTCTAACCCAGGTGTCTGCTAACAAACTGTGGAGGCCAGCCATCACTAAGCAAGCTCAGAGGAGGGTTTTCTCCAAGCTGGCAGCTTAGACTCTTCTACTGTATCTGCCCCGATGGCTCCAGGCCACCCTTCCTGGGCCCACTCCCATTGCCTTTAGGCATCTCCTCCTGTGCCTGATCAAAGAGTCTGCAGGCAATTGTTGTCATGCCAGTTCGCTATGCACACACTGCTGTATCTTTGTGCCTGCTATGCTCAGAGGTGATTCAAAGTCCCTTTAGGTGTCCATCCCTTGGCCTGTTTAAATACGCCTTTAGGTGGCAGATGGAGGAAGAGGATTTAAATAGGTAGATGTCAGTTTACAAAGATACAAGTGCTCAAGAGTCATCTCTGGAGATCTCTCTGGGCCATGTTTTTTGCTTATACACTCAAAACTGCTCAGATGACTACAAGGCAGATGTGCCCTTCACTTCAACTTATCTACAGTGTGCTCTTTTTGGCTCAGTCAAGTAAAAGTTAGTGTACAGTTATGGGGTTGTTTTACTGTATTACAACCCCAACAGAAAATCATCTTTTCCATTCACCATGTACTCTCAGTTTATGAATTACTACATGTGCCACCTTCAGTTGTATGTATTTTTCTTACTGTAGCCTCAAGTCTTTTTGTGCTCTTGAACCTACCATGCTTTAATCTGCTGTCTTTTTCTCCTATGGTAAATGTTAACATTGACTGAACTGGACGTCTTTCTATAGATTGAAACAGAGTCAGTCAGAAGGGCTTTTTTATGGCATTCGCAACAGGAACAAAATATAACAGAAGCACCTGTAGAAGTCACCTTCTCTCTATTTTTCTGTTGGATTTTTCTTTTCGTCCGACCAGTCTCTTAAAACAGCTGAACCCCGTTCCCCATTGTGGTTTCTTTGTGTCTATTTTCAGCAATTTACTCGACATCTCTTTCACTCAGCTCCTCGTGTGATTTGCTGGTATTAATACTGTTTCCCCACTTTTCTCCTTTTCTTTGCTGGTGACTGGTCAGCCATTAACCTTGAACATAAAGTTTTGTGCTTTCCCAACAAATTAAGAGTAGTTCTTCTCCAAGCTGCCAATACTGTGAGAAAGTAACATTTTTGTCAACAGAAGGAGGTGAAATAACAAAAAGTACACTAGCTGTGCCATGCCAGTCCTTTGACACATCAAAATCTAAAAGGACATAGTAAACTGACTATCCATGCGTGCCAAATAAACAATAATTGTCACACAGTTGATATTTGCACGGCTGTGTACAGGATAGACAGACAGGCAGACAGACAGAGAGCGTTGCTTGATCAGAGTGAATCACATGCACAGCTGCTACCTTCTGCTTTCTCTATCGAATACATACTTTGGCAGGTGTTGAGTGAATAGGAGAAATCACTGTCTGACTCTGTATCCAACTTTAGCACATCCAAACTTTGTCCAATGTCAGTTTCAAGCAAAACAACAGAAAGCAACACAGGCCTGATCTAAGGCCCGATGTGTTTGTGCTCAGCAGCACTGTGGGTTATTTTCCAATCTGATTACCACAAGAAGTCTAAAACTCTGGTAACTGTTTGACTAACCGTTGCAAGCTTATTTGCTAATGAATTCTAACATTTGCGAAATTAAACCATTACTGTGATCCACAGTGCTGTGGGTTTTTATCAGGTGGTCTTTTCAGCAAAGTGTTCAGTTTAATTATAACAACACAGACAGGAGCTGTATAAGAGATGTGACTTGGTAGCTGTCTAATCCAGTAATAGCTGATAGCAACTAAACACACAGACTGCTGATCCAAAGTAAAGGTGTTTCTGTACTGTTTCACCCCTAATGCATACCATACCGTACAGTAATTTAGCATTATTAAACACACAGAGATTCTACAGGAAGCTTGTGATTTGGGACCCATTTAATTTCCCATGGACTCATTCAATTCAGCACCAATGAGTTCTTGGGACTCACTACATTGAAACCCGAGTAACATCACTGCAGGGGTGAATGAAAACAGCTAAAAGATTGATAGACATTAAAAACATTTCAGTGCATTTACATCCTCTTCAGAGTCGCAGGCTCTTATGTTGTCATGAGGTGTCTTTTATATGACAGTTTAACCTGTTACCTGGGGTGTGAGGAGAGTAACTGCAGCACAAATTTCAGAGGTGGATTATCTTTGAGAAATGGATGGCACTCTGATGTGGACTTAAACAAGAAATGGTTGGTACGGGCTGCCCATATATTGTCTAGGTGTTGAAAGCACTGGCAGGACATCCTCTATAGCTATTATATCCCTGAGAGCTTCTTAACCCTTGAACATAATCAGTCCATGTCTCTAAAACTATAATATCACTTCCCGAGCCTTCTTCAGCTTCTTCATGGTGTTCATTATAAAAGTTATTTTTGTTTTAGGGGTTTGTTGTAGTGACCATGCAGATTTTAGAATACTGTAAATAAACAGCAGAATCAAGTTTTCTATGGATTTGTGATAAACAAAAGTAAATTATGGAAATCTTTGGTATTCTTAAATGATCATAAATAGGTTTTTTTGGACTAAAATTATCTTACACCTGCTTTAAGTCTCACTGCACAGGTGTCCAATGTTTTTTTGTTTTTGTTTTTTTGCTGTTGTTTTTGGAGGGGTGTGTGTTGTATTTTAAAGGAAAAGTTCTTGCAAAAAAAGAGACTCTTGTCTAAAGATACTGGTGTTTTTGCAGATGTCCACTGCTGTTTAGTGGTGATGTGAGCTGGTGTGAAAAATGCATGTGCTGCTGACACTCTGTTTGTTATAATGTGTTTACTATATGAATGACTGTGTGTGCATCTACACATACACACACTTGCTGTCTATGACAGCTCAGTGGCTTGGCAGCCAGGCTGTGTCTGTCTGCTCATCCATATGATATTATTTGGCATTGATCGGGCTGTCTCCCTCTCCCGCCCTCTCTCCTCCCCCAGCCCTCCTCCTCTCCTCCTCTCTTCTACTCCCAGCCAGGGAAGGATGGAGGGTGCCAAACCCTCCTTTGTCTTCCTGCCTGCTCTCAGCAGCCAGACAAGCTCCCTGTCAGCTGACCGACTCCACTATTCTTGTTTTCAAGTGTTTTTATTTTATTATTTTATCTACCTATCACCTCCTCCTTCAGGAATTTCTCTCCACTTTCCTCTTGTTATGATTTCTTCCCCATCCATCTTCTCTAACTCTTATCCCCTTCGCCCCTCAAGTCTGTCTCTCCCTCATCCTCTCTTTCTCTCTCTCTCTCTCTCTCTGTCGTCAATTTCAATTTACGAGCCGGTCTTAATGGGACTATAAGAGAACGTTCGATGCTATTGATCTGGATGCCTGCGCATCTTGACCCAGGCAAACCACACCAGAGGAGAAAAAAGTCACTCGTCTCATCATCAGGCAAACACATCTGCTAACACGCTCATATTGCGCGCATACACACACCGGCACACACAGATCATTGATCAAAGACCTGAATGCAAGAGACAGAAAATATTTGTGCTCTTTCAAACCACGACAGAATCAATGATAAAGCGATGCCTGGATGATGCTGCCTCACTTTGATCTGGCGCGGGTAATTATAAATGCACACTTTGGGGTTGATCAAACTGAATACACCAGATTGGATTCATGAAACAATCTTGAAAATTACATCATCGCCTGTTACATACTCCAAGATTTATCTATATTTTAATCTCTCTATGATTTGAGCTGTACACTCCTGAACAGACTTGGAGTGCAGCAGCTTTTCCAGAGGTGAGAATAAGAGGAGGGGCTGCTAGTGTTACTTGAGGGGGCGAGATCCACTTTGCTAGGTGAGAGGTGAGCAGGAGAAAAAGCAGAGGAAGGAATTCTTAATCAGCTCGGCGTATAGGAGACCATCTTCGAGTATTTTAGAGAAAGAGAGAGCGAGAGGAAGAGGAGACCATGTGTGATTGAAGCTTTTCTTATTCTCTCTTTTTACCCAAGGAGATTCACTCTCTCCCTCCTCTGACCACGCCTTCGATCAATTATTTAGGCTGAAAACAAAGGTCTGCACCCAGCCATGAATAATGGAAGGTGAGAAGGCAGAGAGAGAAGTATGGAGGGTTAGAAACAGAAATACACAGTGACATGAGGCGAGTCTCGCACAAATTCCCTCCTATGACAGACAGCCCAGAGCCGTGCTCAGGTCAGGCCTCTGGAGTAGAGCTAACAGGTGCCAATGGGGGAAGAGGAGAAGTAAATATATGATGTACATCCTCAGCCTACTCACACAGCACGTAAAACAAATAAGAATGAGGTAATACAAGGGCATCAACACATATATACACAAACTGCACATGCTGTATTTGGGGAAATCAGAGCATGAGACCATCTGAGTGTTTACAACTGTGTATAGTGTTGTGTATCCAATGTGGTGAGTTGTTTTTGCGTAGAGTCAGATGGCATGCCAGTCAGACGCAGCAAAACAGGGCAAGTGGGAGTGAAGGGAATTGTGATGTTCTCTCTCTCTCTCTCTCTGCATTTGTGCGTGTCTCTGCATTTGTGTGTGTGTTCCTGCGTTTGTAATTTGCCTGGTTCCTGTTGGCCTTGTTTTTTCTTCTGAGAATTGTTTGATGTTAGAACCAAAATGGGTGGATGGGGACGGCAGAAAGAGGAGAATCTGGGTGAGGAAAAGAATGACATAGAAGGGGGGAAGCAGGAATAAGTAGAGGATGGAGACGAATAAGCCAGGATGGAAATAGAAAGAGGACAGAGATATAACAGGATGGAGATGGAAGTGGGTCGCTCAGTGGTGGGTCTGACCGTGTTTGTTCAAGAGATGAGTTGTGTGTTTGTGTCAAGAGAGGCAACAAATACTGAGGAATGGGAGATTGTGTGTGCACAAACCTTTGTGGTCTTGACTTTGTTGCCTGTGCTGCAGCTCCAGCCAGTGAGGTCTGGCAGAACCTTACACTCCTCACCATCCATACACGGCTGCATCTGACACCACCACTTCTGGGCTACGATAGAGGCTGAAGGAAGGGAGAAGAGATGGCAGATATTTAGGGTGGAACAAGCTTGAAGTGACCCTTTTTCTTCACTACATCAATCTAATTATGGCTAGCTAGCTAACCCTACTATGCCTAGAAGCGTTTTTTTTTTGTTTTTTTTTATGGAACAGAGGAAGGTTTTCAGTCACTGTGGTTTCAGTCTTACTCTAATCGCAGATGTAACTGTCTCCACACGCCAAGTGCAAGTAAAATCATTCTCGCGATTGAATTACATGTTAAGTCTATGCAAAGACACGATTAGACGCTCTTACTACTCAGGTGGCGCGAATAACGCCAATTGGGCAGGAGCTGAAAATGTCTCAACTTGAGCAGATATTTGCGATGACTAATCAGCACGAAAGTTGCAGAGTGACGTGTGAAAACGGACGGTTGTTCACTGATATCTAAAATGGAGGACAAACTGAATGTGTCCGTGTTTGGGTGCGCTGAATTATATGATACCTTTCCTCTCAATTCCTGAAACTGGAATAACAGCTCCAGGAGCTCGCCTGGAGGCAAGTGAGTGAGGAGGTTGGATTACCTGGTAAATTGTAAAAAAACTTGATCTATCACTTGATCCCGCAGATTGAATTGGCAGGGATTACCATTGAAATGACCTTAGACACGCGAAATAAGCGAGTAAATACTAGTTAATTTATGCATCTAGATTCGCACGAACTATGAGAATAGATCATTTTACTTGCGCTTGGTGTGAGCGCCCCTCAAGAACTTTAACCAGATGCCTTTATTGAAGAAAATTAAAGTTTGAATATTGTCCATACCCCTCAGTCCTCCAGCTGATTGATAAACACTTGGTAGTCATGTTAAAATTTCATGGAAAATTTGAGATACAGCTTTACAGGTCGAAGCAGCACACATGAATTTAGTATTTTGGTTATCATAATTACAGAGCATGTTTGTTCAAGGCAGCCACATAGTGAACCAAACATCCCACAACATATGGTTCAGTACAAATACTCATACCCTTGGACCCCCAGCAATGAGTGTAACATGAATCCCAAAGGCAGAAACACAAAGCCTGCAGAGATGACATCTGTGGCTTCATAAAGTGCCACTCCTCTGTCATTTATAAGAATTGTCAGCTTTGCTGTGAAACAAAATCTCATTTGTGTGTAAAAAGCCAGATAAACATTTGGGTTGACAGAATCAACCTTTCATTTATTGTCACTAAAGCAGCTCCATAAAGATATCATTGTCTGCAGAGTGTAATATTTGCTGTTACAGTTCATTTTTAGAGTCTTTGTATGGTCACCAAACATTGACTGAAGTGCTTAATAAGACAGCAGGAAGGCTTCAATTCAACTTCATGGATAAGATGATCTATTCTGCATTTTAGTAGGAAGGTTATTATGTTATATTAAAGTTTGTTAGAACCCATTTTTATGTGTATTATTGAAATTATTTGCTTGGTTGGAAAGCAAAGATTAGTTTCTCTGTTCATAACAGCCCAGCTCTCTGTCAATTTTAACAGCACAGTTTAATTGGGTAACTTTTAGAGTGGGTTCTTCTTGAAATTTTAAATGCTGTGTGCGCAGTGTAACCCTATAAAGCCTCTCCTTTTTTTAATTCATCACAAAAATTCAACTGAAAGAGACTTTGCTTGCAATTGATCAGGCTCCTGAAGTTTTCAGCAGGAAACAGCTTTGTGGTGAAAAGCAGAGACCGTGAGAATCAGGTGTCGCTCCGCTCTGCTGTTTTCAGTCCTGCTCGCTGGCATCAAGGACGCAAATACTTGAATGCCAGAGCAAAATAAATACAGCCAATACATCAATAATGTAACTTTTGAATCAGAGTTAGCTGCAGTCAAAAATCAATCATTCTGAGAGTATAACGGCAAAAATGAATCATCTTTTATCATCACAAATTTCAGATTATTGATGCTGATTCTAAGTAAGGGCATAAATTATATTAAAGAGGACAACATGACAACACCTCAAAAGTGAAGCCAAAAAAAATTAAAGCTTCCCAAGTGACTGGGTTGTAACTTTCCCTCTGATCTGATTTCCAACCCTGCCACAGTGCTGGTACAGAAAAAGTTGCTGGACACAGATCAGATTTTGAAATACTATTAATAATAGTGATAAGAAAAATATGATTTAATTATTTAAAAAAAGGACATTTTACTTTGATGTTGACTGTGAAATTTGTAAAAGTACAGCGTGTTTAAACAAGAGACAGTCATGTAAGAGAAATGGCCATCCTCAGTTGCTGTCAGTTTTAGTAGGAAAAGCTTTGCTCTGTCTTATAACTCATATAGGAAAAATTAAATAAAATCCAGCACAGGGAGATGTATTTCTCTTTTCTCAGTACAGAAACATACAAGTAAATTAGATCTAAAGATCTACTCTGAGAATTCACAAAAATAACTCAAGGAAGAAGTGTTGGAGGGAGCATACTGACTCAATTATTTCTAGTGGGTTATAAATGAAAGTGTGACAAAATCAAACTACAAGGAGACACTTAATCTTACTTAGAGTAATGATCGGATGAACCCCAGGAGTTTAGGATATGGCAGCAAAAACCTCCACAGTATCTCTCATTAGTGATGCATTACAGGGCTTCTTAGTCCTAGGGATATTTAGTTGATAAATGCCAATGACTGGTTTTTGCTAACAAATCACTTCCATGTGTCATTATTAAGAATATTTATTAGGTATTTTCACATCAGTCAGTCAGTTATTTTCCCTGTAAGAAAAATTATCTCCAGTCTCTGGGAGGGGGTTAATACCAGTTTTAGATACTAGGTTTAAAACCAGCATCTCTTAACTAATCGTAGTTTTTATTGCTTGTCTTTGAAGCACCTTTAGCCAACACCTCTGTTACACCCAGCCCTTCCATTAAGCCATTTAGCTCTAAGACAGAGGAAGTCTTCATGTAGCACAAGCAGCCTTATACGTAGGGTCATTTATTTTATGAAAATAAGAATAAAAAGTTTAAAAGAACAGTAAATGGTGTCCATTTTGTTATATAAAGATGTCAAGCCCCAAACTCCCTTCAGTTACTTTCAACTGGCCACAATACAGTAAAGGGCACATCAAAACCAGAGTGAGGACCAATGGAGTGGTCTCTTGGCATTATGTATGATACTGGTGGCAGCGCAAATGTCAGCTACCACAGTTAACTGTACTCTGTGAACATATCTACTGTGTGAATGTTGAGAATTGCTTGAAGCACTCTGTAATTTGAACATAGCAAGCCAGCTGGAAAAGGGTAGGTCACCATGGTTTGAGGTGTACGGTTCTCTGTCACTGTAACTAGTCCGTTGACCTTTCATTACTTTCAAAGGTCAGGCTGGTAATGGTTAATCTTCATGTCACTACTGGACCCTATATAAGAAAATTCAAGCACAGTATAGGCACTCTACCTAAGTTAGCACATAGAATTTAGGATTCAGGAAAAATCAGGTGCTACTCCGAAAAGTGCACAAAGAGTTTAAAAGTAGGACTTACCATCGACACACGAGGGCATGGCCCGGGTGGTGCCAGCAACCTGCCCAGGGAAGCAGGAACATTTGACAGTCTGAGATCTCTCCTCGATCTTGTTCTTGTTGCAGCAGCGATGGGCAGCAATCACCTCACACGTCCCTGCCTTTACATGCACTGAAACACAAAGAAACATATACAGTATTGAGTAAACCTGATTCTTTTATTTTAACCTAACAGTTTATCCAACATGACGCGAGTAGACACCTAAAGATGGAGGCATTGTTGAGCCACATGACAGTTTACACTTACAGAAAGTAAAAAAACATTTAGAGGTTTGCTTGCAGAAAAGACAAGGTCACTATCTACGTATAAAAAAAAATGACTTGCACGGAAATGTATTATCAAGGCCACGCTGAAGGTTGTATAGAAGCTAGGGCTGAAACGATTACTCGAGTAACTCGAGTAACTCGATTAATAAAATTCCTCGAGGCAAATTACATGCCTCGAGGAATCGTTTAAATCCGGAACCATGTGCAGCGCACGGTGTTTGACACGGACGGTTATTTCTGTTGCGCAGCAGCGTGCTCTTTCCGCTCCTTCCGCTGCCGCGCGTTTCATAGACATAATAAAAGGGTAGACCCCGCTGGGGGTGCTGCGCAGCGAGAAATGCGGCCGCCATCTTGGTCAGGTCAAGCTTCCCATACGCTCCGGTCAATCATATTCATTCATTCAGCGATGCTGGAGCACTGTGCGGCGTATTCCTGTGCCAACAGGCGGACAGCAGAGAACAGGGCTCAAGAAATAACTTTTCACAGTTATGATTAAACGTTTTTTAAACATTACACTTGACTGTAGAGTCATTTGTAGGCCAAAGAGGAAGACTATCGGTCAACTCCAAAAAGGAAACAGCATTTGCGAACAGCTAGCTTATTCACAATAATAGCAACTTTGGTCGATTATCAACAGATTTGCATTAGATTGAAAAACTTTTGTTTGAGAGAGGTTCTAAGAAACATTAAGAAATAAAATAGAAAGAAAAAGGAAGAAAGTGAGCTCTGTTTTATTATCTGTTTTATTAAAGATTTCTTTGTGGTGATCTCCTGTTTCATTTTGAAGATTTCCTAAGGACAGAAACTTGAGGAAGAAGTGGGAGATTGCTGTTAGAGGGAGAAATTTGCAGCAAGTGATTCCTCTGTGCTGTGTAGCCAACAAGCAAATTGATATGTAGTTTAGATGCTGTCCTGTCATGCTGTTCTTGTGTTTAAATCTTTTTGATATGTAGGCTATATATTTGTGTGTATTTTCCAGTTATTAAAATAGTGCTTCTATATGACATTATTTGTGTGTGTCTACAAATGGATAAATAAAATTAAACTATATAAAAAAATATAATCAAATCAATATATATTGAATTGGCCTATTAATACCGCCAGTTATTAATAATTATTGAGACATAGCAGGAACCTAGCTCTAAACCTAAATATATCCTTGATTAATTGTTATACTATAATACAGCCACTGCTGCCATGTTCTAAAATATCATTTTATTCATTCTGAGTATTTGAAAACGCCCCAAAAAAATATGGCCTCTATCATGCCTCTTTGAATGGCGTTTGCAGAGAAGAAAATTACGTAGTATTGAGCGAACTATGATTCATTAATGCGCTCAGACTTCATTCCGCCGGTTAAACAGCGGTGCAGAGTGAGGCGGATGACCGGACCAAGATGGCGGCCGCATTTCTCGACAGCGCCCATTCGTGGTAGCGGCCGATGCGGGGTCTATCTTTTATTATGTCTATGGCGCGTTTGGTTCAATCATGGAGGGAAACGAGGACAGACAGAGAGAGGAAGAAAGAGATGACACGCAAAGGAAACGGCAGAAAGTGTCTAAAGTGTGGGACCATTACACACTGAAAAGGAAAGAAAACGCCGTGCAGTGCGTTCACTGTAAGGCGGAGTTGGCGTTTCACAACAGCACGTCGTCAATGCTGCAGCACCTTAAAAGAAAACACCCGGTCCATGCATTAAGTCCGCTCTGAGGCAAACGTGATTCAATGCAAAGTATTACAGTGAGAGCAAAACATTTCTTATCCGATTACTCGATTAATCGACAGATTAATCGATAGAGTACTCGATTACTAAAATAATCGATAGCTGCAGCCCTAATAGAAGCAACAGGAATAATAAACCTTAGACGGAGGTATCACTCAAGAGGCGAGGAAAAACTATCCACCCAATTTACAAAACAGCTTAATAATAAAAAGACCATAAAGAAAATTTTTAATATGAATACAACACAATTATCAGGAGGTCATGCACCATAACAGCTGTTTGTAATCAATCACAGGTAAACATTTTGTGAACTCTTATTTATGCATTAGTGTGTGCACCAGCAAGACCAAGCACCTGTATGAGTCCCACCTCAAATGAAACTTACAAATAAATATGGAAGTCCCACGTTTCACTGTATGAGAGCTGAGCCTAAAGCTGCTCCATGTTGAAAAGAAACATGCAAAATGTTAGTGTCGTACAATATATACATTTAATCATATGGTACATACCCCAGTGAGTATGCGCCACAATACAAATGAATGTTGGTCGCTGTTTCACTTCTCCTATAGTGTTCCCTATGTGTGCACATTCATAAGCACACTCTTCAATCAGACAGCCGTGTGGTTAATTAACAACAAGTCCACCCTGAGCGCTGAAGTCCCTCGAGTCAGCTCTGAGAGAGGGAACAAAGAAATCACTCTACATTTGAAGATTTCGATGTCAACACATGGTCCTTTCATGGCAGCCTTTCATCAAGTACATGGAAATGCCAAGGACAAATTGTAAGCCCTGTCAGGAGCACAATGTGCGAGTCTGTACAAGTCATGCCCTCTCTGTTCCCTGACGCGTATGTAGGCATGCTTGACTTTGCATGTCATGGTTTGCGAGCATGCGTGTGTGTAAATGCATGGCATGAAAGTCAAGTTTTGTTTGCTTTTAACACAGTTGTTGCAAGTTTCTGCCATTTCCATAACAAAAGAGTCAACCCACAGTACAACAAAGGAAGAGCACTGCGTGGAGAATGAGAACTACAGCAGCAAACAATTACCATGCTCTGTCTAAAGAGTATTTAAAAACCAAGGCAGGATGAAGTGAATGAGCCAGCATGAATATGTGTAAGAGACTAACAGAGATTTGAAAAGTTCTTAATTTGCTTGGTTAATGAGAAAAAGACAAAGCAACCATCCTGCAAAGCCCAGTTCAATCACGATCTCAGAGAAAAGCACATTCTGATATCACACCCACTGCGTGTCTGTCTCTGATCATTCTGTCACATCCCTAGTTTCCCTGTTTGATCCACAAGCAATGCGCCCAAAGGATAGTGTTACTGCTTGATCAATCCATCCATCTGTCTCACTATCAATCCAACTCTTTGGTTCTTGGAAAAATGCCGCATGAACTACCAAACAGATTGCCACACAATTTAGTATCAATACTTTTGGCTCCCAGAGGATGGCTTTCGGTGATCCCCTGACATTTCAGTTTGTCATCATCAAACACCAAAAATATGAGCACATGTTTTTCTCTTTGCAGATCTGATTAACATTAACCAAAATATAGTTTTCTACAGCTGCTTGTTAAGGAGTATCCTGATAATGATGGAAGCCTAAAGACCAACAGACTGATCATCAATAAAACTTAGGAATACACAATCAGATTGAGTAAAAATTGTCAATCACACTTTTTACTGTTGCCATATCATCATGTTTATTATATTATGTCTTTTTTTTTAATTTTCTTTAAGGCTCGATAGGCGTGTGACAGACACATCTACACTGAGAGAGAAGGTCACACCCACTCCCACTTGTTAGGTTGAGCACACATTGTAGTACATATGTTATATATAAATATGTTATGCACGTATGTTTTCATATTTTTGTATGTGTCTACATGTTTGTTCTAAGCTGTTATTTTTAGGAGACTCGGTCACTGTTTTGAGGCATAAATCTATGACATCAATTGGACAATTTTCAGCTGTAATCTTTATCATTCCACTAAGTATACGCTTAATAACTGATTTACTTTGAAATTTTTACTCAGAATTATTTGCTCAGAGTGACAAAACAGAATCTAGTATTTACTGTAAAACCCAAGACTTACAAAAATAAGTCTTGGGTTCACCTTTCTTTTTGTATTGGCTGTACAAACTCACTTAAACAAAAGACGTGATGGCAGAGCCTTACTTTTCTTCTAATTTATCATCTATTGGGAAAGCTGAGCAACCCAAATTGAGATAATAGCTGCAACCCTGTCTTGCCGCAAAACAAATTAAATCACAACCACGAGGAAGTCAGGTGATGTAGAGCAAGAAAGTCAACTTTATAAAACGTGTTGATAATTATCAGCTAGGTAGAGAGCCAGGAAATCCTCCAATAAATTGTGATTACTACTCCAATACTTGGATCAATTTTGAATTTCACAGCTATATAATAAGCACGAGTATATACACACTCACTTGGATTTTATTTCCCCTATGAATAATCTTTGTATATGCTCTGACAATGAAATGCTCCACAGTAGATTGTGTATTTTAATGCTCAGAGATGTTATGGTTTCCAATGATATATAAAACTCACAATAGACCACTTCAGCGTGTGAGTGTGTGAGTTCGTAAAAACTTATGCTGCTAAAGAAAAAGCATCCACCTCAGAATAGGAAAGTGATAATAAAACCCTCTTTGTCTTTTTTTTTCAGAAATGGTGCATACCAGCCTTACAATCTCTCTTTGACACTTTATCTATCCCTTCTCGTCTTCCTCCTCGTGTTCTTCATCCATCTCACCTTGTCCTACTGCTATTTCACAAATGACCTGTCCTTTTCTCAATCTCTCTCTGCCACTCCAGCACTTTTTCCTCTGCACAGCAAACTCAGCAGGCTAGCAGGCCATTATCCTCAATCACAGGCCCTAAATCCAAGAATTTTTACACCTTCTGTAATGTGTCCTACCTGTCTCACCATCTCACTCTCTTCCTGCTCTCATCTCTCCTTCCCATCTCTCTCTCTCTGGCGTAAGGACTTGTTATCTGTGCCTCTTTTAACACAGCGGTGGCTGTTAACCCCGATTACTTAGGATGACGTGATCCTGACAGACTAACCCATGGACAGATTGTTCAGACTCTGAACAATTTATGTAAGTGTGTGTGTGTGTGTGTGTGTGTGTGTGTGTGTGTGTGTGTGTGTGTGTGTGTGTGTGTGTGTGTGTGTGTGTGTGTGTGTGTGTGTGTATGGTTTCACTTCGACATACAAGTCACTGAGATAGCTCTCTTGGTCCCAGCGGGGTACTGCTTTCAAATGTCATCCTACCACTGAGGGCATCTCTTTCTCTCTCTCTCTCTCTCTTCTTTCTCTCTGGCATGCACACGCTTCAACACACACAAACCCAGTCGATTCAGTATGAAATCTGCTAAGATTAACATGTAAAGTTACAGTAATAAGTTAATTTCAATAACGTTTAGTGCCATCAGTATTTATATACAAAAGTACTGGAGGCTCAGTTGTTTCCATCCCAAATAAAAAAGATCTAAATACATAAAAACCCATTAAATCATCACTTTTAAAACAACCACAAAAACAACAACAACAAAAAAAAAACACCTTCAAAAACCAACGGATCCATGCAGTGAGCTTTAATCAAAAGGTAAAGAGCCAGAGAACCCAACTAGAAAGTCTACTTTGTTCGCAGTAACATAAGATTTGAAGCAGTGGTAAAAGTGGCAAGATTGATTCTAATAAATCAACATGAGCTTTTTAAAAGTGTTTTAAACTTTTGTTTTTTTTACTCTTTTTATTGTTAATGTTACTTTATGTTACCTCACGGGTAAAAGTTGAGTTTTACATGGCAATACTTTTTATTTTCTGTTATGTGTCATGTCATGCAAGGATGTCATGTCACATCCTGTCAATTCACTTCTCATCAAGTCACGAATGAAGTAATAAGATACAAGCAGGACACAACAGAGAGGGCACTTAAGATATGCTACCTGATAATAACACAAAACAAGTTACCCCTCAAACTCCATCTCTGAGCTCAGCAAGCCCTGGTCTTTCTAAAAAAAGTAACCTCAAAGAAAAGTACCGGACAATTACATTTAGTCATCATCAAAAGTTCCACTTTTTGAGGTTTTCACAGCCACAGTATCAACCGATGTTTGCAACATTGCGGTCCCCCAAAACCAGCTTTACCAGCCCATTAAAGAAAACGTCACTGCGAAATTCAGATAGATACTCTTGAGCATCAAACACTGACGTTGCATTTTAATCCATTAATGTATTTGATCTGTTACACATTCAAAAGATTCTTAGAGTTGCATTAACACAGAGTTTATGTTTATCTCCTATCAAGACTTGGATGCTTGGAAACCTTTTTTGTCACAGCATTTAATTTGAATGCATTGTTTAGATTCATCATCGTTTGATACCTTCTTGTCTTTGTTAAGCATGCTCAAAAGAAACACCTTCAAAAGCAGCCATCCTGAAAGTGGCAACATCACTGAATGAAGACAATGAACACATTTTGTACTGATTGTCTCACGAGCTGAGCGGTGCAGTTGGCTCTTTTTTAAAGACACACACACGTACACAAAGCTCAGCGGCTTAAATGCATTCAATGCCAACAGAATAAATTGGCAGGAAACCACAGGAGTCCCCATCCCTCATCAGACTTAACTTGAGAACTGACATGATTTATACATTTGTAGAGGCTTACCAGTGAGATAGATTGTTTGGGATGTTTATTTGAAAAATATGGAGGCAGTAGAGATTTTGAAAATAGTGATCTGACCTTCTGGCCAAGCTCCAGACTAAATTGAGACTATAAATTGTGTATCAAACTACCCGATATTCTCATGGTGCTTATAGATGCACTATATAAATCACATATTAACTATCTGTAAATATTCACAGATTTCCCTAAGACCTATAGTGTTCTATTTACAAAGAGCACACTTTCAATGTAAAATGAGTTCAAAATGCTTGCCAAGTTAATTAGACGACAATAGTACGTCTCTCGGTGCACGTGAGCGCCCGTCAGTGCATGTACGTCCATGCATTTGTGTTAATAATTAGATTACATTGGCCTCTGAGATGGCACCATTCGTTATGAATCGTAAACACAGAGCAAATTAAATTCTGTTTAAGAGCCTGCCAAGGAAATTAGCATGGAGAGAAAGGGAGGCACGCACACTTCTCCAGCACTGTCTTCTTTCCTCTCATCTGTGTTTCTCTCCCATGTCTGAGAGCTTACTTCGTGTCTACAAGACAATCCCACCCCTCTCCTTATCAAATTCAATATGCAATAGTTATTTAATGGGGATTAGAAAGCTGATCATAATGAGTACATAAGACAGTGCTTTACCTTTCATGTTCTTCCTTTTGTGAAATGGTGAAAGTTACCAAAGCTGGAAAAAGAACTTTATTTTTTTGTTTCTTTGCTTCTCCTTTTTGGAGCAAAACTGTTCTGTTTGTCTTTGCTCCTACTGTGTGTGTGTGAGTCTGTGCGCACAGAGGTGTGCTGATGTGTGCATGACTAGACTGATCAATGGCAGCCCCCCTGAGGAGCGTGACTCCTCTCACACCATAATGTCCCTCCCTTTCACTGAGACCAGAAAAGAGAAATATCAGAGGGACCAGGGAGGAGAGCATGAGGATAAACCCTGTCAAAGCTGCAACACACTTGTGCAAATTCAAGACGGCTAATAAGCTCGGGACAGATAAGCTAGAACCAAGAAATGCATCTATAAAAGAGTTGAACTGCAGGTACTCTAAAGTCTATTTTACACTTGTCTAATAAGATTGGCTTATCCAACAGATGCAACCATCATAGCACCTCTTTGGTTATTAGAAACACTGATCTTTTTTCAGGCTTCAGACTGAGATCGACCCATTCTCACAGCAGCAGACATGCAAAGTTTGCATGTTTCAACTTGCATGTGAAAAAAACAATAACAACAGTAACACAATAATTTCAAAATTACCTGTCCCTCTTTTTTTTTTTTACACAACAATATGTTAAATATGTGTCACATGGTGGATTTTGTTCAATTAAATTAATAAGACAAAAAACATGCATTTTGGTAACATTGTAAACATGTAGATAGGTAAAAACACACACCTGATTTTGAGATAGGATTCACACAGACATTTGTACCTAATTAAGTATTTTTATGCACAGCACATCAACTAAAAATCCAAGCATACTTTTCATGAATTGAGTCTAAGTCTGTTTCTGCTGTGCCCAGACAAAAGCAAGTGCTGCAGGTGTGGACAATAAAAGTAAACACTCTGCAGGAAACCAGTCCTGTTAACAGTTCAGTTGTGTGGCAGCAGTTTAAACTACCACCAGAGCAAGGTGCTGCTGGAAGTGAGAACTTGTGTGGCTGAGCGTCTTTCTCAAGCGGCAAACCATGATGTTGAAAAATGAAGTGATGAAGTTCTCTGTCCACTTGATGAAGGACAAAAGGGCTGTCTTTAGGGCAAGCATTAGTACACAATGTATACACTGCAGGGTTTTTAACAACTCATTTGTTTTGAAGATATGTAAGTTAAGAATTTAGGTAAATTAGGGGCGCAGCTGACAGCTGAGCATATGTTCGCTGTTTGCCAAAAGCCCATTTCAGGTCCACCTTCTGGCCACTTGCAAGGTCAGCTGAAAGTTTGCTTGAGCCAAAATATGGGTAGAGTCAGCTTTTCCATTGTGGCATCTGTATCATCTCCACTTCAGATCCAATATCAGACTACATTTATGTTGAATATAATCTACTGTCTGTCTGCAGCTTCATGCCAGTGTCTCTGTGATACAACAGGAAAGGAAGTCAGACACCAAAACAACATTAAAGTATCCAGTTACATTTCATAATAAAACACACCATGTTGGTGCCAGATCATACATTTTAACTACATCAACAAACTATCACAAAGAGTAGGGTCGACTCTGGAGTCAACAGGTCAAGAGGCTTTCAGGGGCCAAAGATGACAATGTGGTTGAGGAGGTAGAAAAACATCCGTTCTGTTAGAACCATAGGAATTCCTCAGTGTCGTGACTCCAGCTGGCCGGCGGTGTTGCACCGTGCTGCGCTCAAAAAACGCAGCTGGTGAATGTTGACAGATGAGAGATCACAAAGCCACACCCCAAAAGAATAGACACGGACTGAACACTGATCTAGGGGGGAAGGACTAAGTATGCAGGGCTCACAAAGATTAGATAATAAATAGCTATGAATGTGACAAGGGTCCCACAGAAAAACAAGTGAAATATGAGAGTTGTGTAATACATCTGATGTAACCTGGTGTATCTGTCATTTGTGATGAGATTTAGCTGCAAAAACTTGAGCCCAGGCTGCTCCGCACCACACACTCTCCACACACTGTTCTCGGCTCAGTGTCCCTGATCAAGAGAGTAAGTGAGCATAATTGAAAAGAGTTTGCTCACAGCAGCAGTTCCCGCTCACAATGTGACAAAAATAAAGAATGAATGAGAGAGAGAGGAAGAAAACACTAGGATCTTACTCGTCGGAATTTGGATCTAAAAGAAAAAATGAAATAAGTGCGGTTGTCCATGCAGAAGCAGTCATCCCCGTTAGGAAATGTGTGTCACCAAAAATCTCTCATTTGGAAACAGCCTGTACAGAAAACAACAGCCACATCAAATCATCATAAAATCCTCCTCTGAATATATTTACTCTCCCCTTGATTTCCGCCATGCAGCTGCCCCCCTTTTGCCCTAACAAGGCATCAATACGTGCTGTTAAATATGTGACAAGCAGCCTGCTAAACCACTGTACCCTTTACTAATCATCCTCACTGACATGAGAACAGCTTGTGCCAGATTGACTCCAACAACACTCCAAAAAAAAAAAAAAAAACTGTTTCTCTGTTACTGATCTCCATGCAGCTCTAATCCAGCACAAACAAGGGAATTATACCCAGAAAAAAAACACCACTCCTGTCCTCCTGCGACATCATACGGGATATTAGCTCTTGCGGCAGAGGCCTGGTGACACATGGCGTGTCCTGGAATAATTACAACCCCACCACCACCACCACCTCCCACAACCACCAACACAACCACCACCTCCATCCCTATCACCACCCTGCTGCAGACAATTTGTGCTAATTTGTGCTTGAGGCAAGATATCAGGGTGGTGAATTGGGTATAAATTGTTAATATGCTCAGATGTATTACCACAGCATTACCACTCAGCTATTAACCTGTGGCAGCGTTAGTTCATGTGGGTGTGTGCATGTATGTGTGTGTTTGTGTGTCCCTCTTGTTTTAAACCCTGTGTTAATTGTTAACTGCTGACTGGAGGTGACTTTTCATAAGCCCTCAGGGAAAGTCCAGGTCCCCATTACTCATCTGTATTTCTGTCTCCTTTTTCTTCCCCCCTCCTCCACCCTATCTTCCCCGCTCACTGGAGTATCTGCGTCTTTTTTACCCCCCTGCAGCACTTTCTTATGTGCATTGTTGTGGGGAAGCTCAGAGCTATGCCAGCCTCTTTTCACTTCTCTGACTGAAGCTGGTGTCTTCCTCTCTCTTTCTTTCTCTGTCTCCCTGTCTCGCTTTTTTGCCTCTCTGTGTCGTTCTGGCAAAGCAGTACAGAGACAGAACCACAATGATTGTGCTCAGTCCAAACATCCCCCCTCCCCTCCCCTCTTCCAGTTTTCTCTTTGTCAGTCAGTGAATGAGCGGAGAGAGGAGATCTGTAGCACAGTGGCCATGTTGATGATGATTTCATTCTGTCTGAATTCTCTTCCTGTCAAAGGAATAAGGACGGACGCCCATAAACGTCAAGCCCTGCGTATTTCACTTTAACAGTTTGCCTTGTGTTTGGGTACGCGAGTGTGTGTGTGAGAGAGAGTTATGGCTGTTGTTTATGTCGCCCTGTTGTATAGATGTCGTATCACAGATCTAGATAAATGGCCCGCTATCAACCTGTTTACTCGCTGTGTAAGACTGGACAGTCCCATATGTTACGGCACACACCACCAATCAACTCAATTCTGCTGCAAACCTTCTGTGTCTGATTTAAGAGACTCCCGCTGCTGATTTGGAGTAAAAAAACTAAGCTAAGATGAGAAATTAATGAAATTATTCTCCCTTTAAAGCTCCTGCGAGGAACTTTTGTTTGAGTCAATTTTGGCGCCCCCTGTGGACAAAAGAGTCTTTGCTTATCTTGTCCTCTGAGTTGTGACTTTTGACAAAAGAAACCTCATCCTGATGACTTCTGACAGCCAAATAGGACTCCAACTAACGACTATTTTAATAGTCCTCTAGTCACCGACTATTAACAATTATTATAAACTATTATAAACAGTTAGTTAACTAATCGGATAATTATAAAATTATTATTTTTTTCCTGCCTTTTCTTAGGCTGAAGTGCTCCCAAACTTTGGAGGTTTTTAAGCGCGTACTTGTAGCTACTGTATGGGACGCCCCTGCAGCTCGGTGGAGACGCTATTCCGCATGTGTGACTTTAGGCAGAGAATATTATGAAGTATGATGTCTCGTCTGGCAACAATAGTCGACAATGGAATTCGTTGTCATTGCAGCCCTACAGCCAAATATTCTGTTTATTGTGAATGTTTTATGTAAGAATTGTTTAAAAAAAGGTATTTCTTCAGTTGCTTGGCTGAAACCTACCCCCTTGCACCAGTTTCAGGCGTTAAAAAATATGATATCAAGGTCATTAGTCGTGTTGCTTTTGGTCTTGATTGCTTTTGGATATCATGAAAATGTATCAGTTAACATAAATTAACTCCTCACAGGAGCTTTATGTAGTTTTTCTCTTTTCTGTGGTCAAAATATAAGTTCAGACTCAGCAGGTGGAGAGATGGGTGTATTGAATGATAAAAGATAATTTTTGTAGCTTTTAATTTTGGCTCTAATAATTCATTCTGTTTCCAGTAAAGAGCTGGCACATGCACTCACCTGCATATGCAAGTGTCACCTCGTATCAGTTGTTGCTAGGGTGCTCAAAGAGGAGCCACTTTTTCAGTTTTGTTATTGTGTGAAAAACAATATAGAGACACGGCATGATGAGCTGTAAACTTCTGAAAACAAGTCTCCTGGTGACCCTGTTGTGTTCTTTGTCTCTTTCTCAAGAGATCAATCACAACGCATCAGGAGAGGCTGTGAGCTGAGCTGCAGCCAGCTTTTTTTCAGGGTGTTCTGATTCGTACATTGTTCATCATTCGCAGGGTTTTCCCAGAGGCTGAATTATCTGCAGATGTCTCATCCTGTCCAAAATGAACAAACTCTGCTATTAATACTGTTAAAAATAATGAATTAAGCAGTTTCACATTAAGAACGTGGTGTTTTTTCAACACTGCTTGGCAGGGCTTGAAGCTGTGAGCCAAGCTGTCTCTACATAAGCTCTCTGGCTGACTAATAAACTTCATGTGGTGTAATTACACACTTAAAAAAAAGGCAACGAAAGTACCATGACGGAAAATGTTGTATCATGCAAACATCCTGCTCTCATCCCGCTGTCTTTTGTGACCAGACTTCATACAGACAGTTTTTGGTAAATCAGTTTTGGAAGCGATGTTATTGCATCAAAGGATTGGGAATCAGTATCTAGATGAAGAGCTTAATCTAGCCAGCTGCTGACAACACCCTCAAGGAGGGAAACATGCGTTGGAGATGAACAAAGACAGTTCTCTCTCTCTCTCTCTCTCTCTCTCTCTCTCTCTCTCTCTGTCTCTCTCTCTCTCCTTTTCTCTATCCTTTGGCTGAATTCCAACCGCTGATGTTGCAGTGTCTAGTAGTCCTCATGTTAACCCTTGAGCATTTAGAGTTTTCTTCTTTGATAAATCCATCACTGGTTTCTGGTTTATATTTTGTATTTTGTTCCTTATCCATGTCTCATGTTTGGGACTTGCTCTAGTGTCTTTCACCCTAAAAAAAGTAGCTCGATATTGTTCCTGGTAGTGTCGACCTATTATATTTTGAGGTTCCTTAAAATCTCTCTCCCTAAGGCTTGTACATTAAGCAGATTTTATGGCACATGCATTCATAAAAGTATGATCAACTCCATCTTTGTAGATTAATTGTTGTATCCTTTTCAAATGATAAGCTCTTTGAGCTTTTATGTTTTTATGTGACAGCCCCAACAGATGAAAATGACAAATAACTGAAAGCTTATCTTTAATCATTTCAGGACATTAACTCAATTAATTTCCTCGGGTCATATTTCAAACACCTTGGTTGGTTGTTGCGTGTTGACAGGTATCTGATTAGCTCTGTGATTGGTGCATTAAGCTCATCACTCCTTAAAGCCTCTCCTCGATTGCGTCAGCACTTTCTCTCTGACTGCATTCATCAGGACAGATCATTACATCCTTCCACTCTCCTCTCTCTCGCCTCTCTCTGTCTCTCATCCCATCCCTCACTACCAAATGAAAGGGAAACCCTGGTGCGTGTGAGGCAGGCTTGCAGCAGAGCCAGAGGTGGAAAGATGAGAAGAGAGAGGGAGGCCAGATGAAGGCAGAGGGGAGGAATGAGAGGAGAGAAATGCGCGGCCTGCTCTGACTGTAAATGGTGTGAGGGAAGAGAAGAGTGTGTGTTGGAGGGATGATTGGTCTCTGTATGGACTCTGTGGGAAGAGAAATGAAGACCTACTATTGTTGAACTATTAGTACTCAGCAGGAGAAAATTAAAGCACCGATTCAATCTGCTGAAAAGTTTAAATCAGTGAAGAAAACTGTCCTGTGCAGTTCACATGTGCATCCGTCCTCTGCAGAGAGGTGCAGCGAGGAGTTCATTTTTCATAATGTGAGTGCGTTGTTTTCTGGAGCTGAGTGCTAACGGTGAGCCATCTCACATGCTTACTCTCTCTGTTCAAAGTGGCACATGCAAAACAGCCATGATGAAGAGACAGGTCTACAAAACGTACCCAAATGCTGCACTATCCCATCTGAGAGTTCCCACAGTCAGGGAGCTTTCACTCTCATCAGTAACACACAAGCGTTTGCACATTAAAGCATCAAATGTAACATGCAACTTAACTTGGCAGATTTTCACTACAATTATCATAACCATAAAACGTCACAATAATGATCTTACAGCTATATTTATGGAAAAGTTGAAATTTAAATCAACACGGTGAGTCAAATTGAGGTGGAACAACATAATAATCATGAATACTACAAGTCTGTTAATTTTACTTGTAAAGACAATTAACTCACATAATTATAATTATATTCAAATGTATGATTCATTCACAACATCAACATCAGACAGCGTCTTAAAACAATTGTTTTTATTTAAATATATATTTTGTCTTGCTTTATAATCCACTCTGTAAAATTGTGCTTTTAACTTCAACTTTAAGCTACTCCTGGTAGACTGTAAGTTACAGAGCTAAATAGAAACAGTTAAAATAATGGTTAGAAAATAATAAAATAAAATTTCTTAGTAACCTGAGTATTTAGATTTGTAATAAATCATGGCATTTCAGTTTTTATAAAGTGCCTCATCATCTCTTAGAGAGCTGCTTCCAGCCACTTCACAGGCAGTCTGCTTCTTCTTCTCTCCTTCCCTCTCATTTTTTGATGTGTAGCAGTCGGCGTATAAAGACTTCAACCATGAACCAACAGTATTACTGTTAGTAAAATTTTGGCAGAATATCATTATTCATTATTTTAATAAAGAGCTACTGTCAATACTGCAATATTACAGCCTACGTTTGGCCACACTGTGTGATTGTAATGGTGTTGACATTTTCAGTTTTTCCACCTTAAAAGCTTTGCTGAAGAACAATTCGTCTCATGTCATTTTCTGTCTTCTCTCTTACCACAAAATAGTAAAACCAACTCTCACTATACTTTAGATGCACAATATGCCATTATCACTAATCGCTGCTTTCTATACTTAAGTTGGTATATACACACCTAAGAAATACAACATTTCTCCTGTTACAGAATTTGCCTGTTACTCTCAAAGTTAATCTATTTTAGAAACACACATTAAACCTACTCAGTGTTGCCAACTCCTCAGTAAGGAAACTCTTTACCTACCACACACTGACGTCATTTAGACGTCTTTTTTCCGGCTAAATCATGCCGGCCCATCATGGCCATAATTTAGCCCAAAAAAAGATGTTGAAGACATCTTTTCAATGTCTTTTCAACCACTTTTTGCTGGGTGGGTAGTGGCTGTCCTAGAAGTCGCTAGAAGTTACTAGATGACGGCATCGCCTGATTTGCATAATCTTTCTGTTAACCCTCCTACCCCCACCCCACCCCTGCTGTCGAGGGAGGAGGTCTCTTCCTTGAGTGTCTGTATGTGTGTGTGTTTTTGATGCACACCCACACCTGTTAAGAAGAGTAACATTGATACCTGCCTTCATGTCAGTCTCCAAACTCCTGAAAAAGTTGCTGGATTTGTCGCTAGGCGTTTTTTGAAAACAAGTCACTAGGGCACTGGGGGTTCTGTAAAGTCGCTTAATCTAGCAACAAAGTCGCTAGGTGGGCAATACTGTGATGATCTGTTGGTTTGTGCCATTTTTTTTCCTCTGACAGCTTTTTACTTTGAATAAGCATTAGGCCTGAACGATATATAGTTTGACTATCGTCATCGCGATGTACGTGTGTGCGATAGTCACATCGCAGAGCCTGCGATATTGGAGGTGAATGAACTCATTTAATTTCAAGGGTAACCGACTGAGATACACTCCATGTGACTCTGCGTGTGCTGTGCAGCGATCCACCAATCGCCTTCGTCCTTAACTCAGTTGCCAATCAGACTCACTTCTCAGCTGCCAATCAGACTACCCTGCCAGCTGTCAATCAAAATCAGGGAGGAGAAAACCCACCCCTGCACATGTTCTGCATATGGAGGGAGACGTGTGTCCGCTGAGAATTACTTTCGGAACTTTACTCATGACTGTTAAGCCCAACAAATAAGAACTGTATGGGTTTTAAATTGTACATTTCCGTGGACCACTCTACTATAAGCAGTGCGCGTTTTGCGAGGTGCATGCAATTCTCGGAGGACGTGCGTTTCTCGGTACAGCACCGCTAACAACAACAACAACGATCGCAAAATGAACAACGAACAAGCGAAAACCACCGAAAATGAAGATTTGTTGCCAAAAAGAAAAGGAAAGTCAGTTATCTGGAATTATTTCGGTTAAAAAAGGATGATGTCGACCAAAACACGTCTTCTGTGTTCATCTGTTTCCACAATAACGTCCCAGCACAATAAAAGCTAAAAATATCTCTGAGACAGACAGAAGCCGTTCTACTAACATTCACAAAAAGAGGTAAGATCAGAGCAGATTAACTGTCCTCAAGATTTCAGCAGTGCAGCATAACATTAAGTGCTATTCAGGTCATCTGGTGAAAATACTGTATTTTTAATATCGCAATATATATCGCAGGGTTGAAAAAATCGCAATATTATTTTTTTCCAATATCGTGCAGCCTTAATAAGCATATATAGACAAATTTTGATATTTTGTTTGTTGGACTTTGGCCCATTGGGAGCATGTATTCCAGATCAGAAAATAACCGGGAAATAACCAGAAAATAATCGTTTATATCCGCAAAATAAAATATATTCGGATCTAAACGATTTCTGCCGACTTTTCAGAGTCAACTGCAGAATTAACGGTGTTCTGAATGAACGGAGCTTTGAAAAGTCCCGCAGCATGTGTTAGACATCACCATCTACACATGGACCAATCAGGGGCTGCCTTTCCCTGTTGTCCGGGTAACAGTGGAAACACAGTCTCTGATTGGCCCTGTTATTTTCTGACCGGGGATACACGCTCCCAATGCGCCGAAGTCCAGACTGTTGTGGGAAGGAACGGCAAGTGATTCACGCAACAGGATGGCCCAGCCAGGCTACAGTTGATGTACTTTGACGCACTTTGTCAGTTCTGCCCAAAAGCAACAGCTTTGTACGACACTTAAAGAGCTTCTCTCAGTCTCAGTCCAAATGCATGTAATTGCTTTTTCCATCAATTAGCAGATCAAAGAAGTCCCTCACGTGTAGGACCATCTTTGCACGTACAGAGGTAGAGGTGTTAGTATTCATGCTGCCTGATAAGGTCTCTTGCAGAGAGCGTTAATGTGCAAATTATGCTTGACTGACATTACCCTTATTCTTCACTTGTAGCACCTGTTGACTTTTTCATTTTAAATAGGCTGGCATGTAATAGCAGAAAAGCATTTAATGTCATTAAAACATCTGAGTCACATTTAACTGCTGTTGAAATGTGTCTCACCTCTGCAGTGTCTGTTATGACAGGATAAAATATCTGCTGTGTTAGGGTGAGAAGACCCGTGTAGGTGTGCACACAGCCTTTAAAAAAGGCACAACATTGCCCATGTGGTTTTCCTTTCTGCATATCCCTGTGGCTCTCACAGCTTTACAACAATAGAGGATGAAAACATTTTGTTTTCTGTTAAAGGAAATCAAACCTAAGTTGCTGCAGAAAAGCAAATATTCTGTATTTGCTTCAGGCAGCTTGTATAATTCACTTCAGACTCACCAGGGGAAGTATTAAAGAGCTCAGTGGCAGAGTTTCATTTTTAGTTTAAACACATCTAAAGACATTTATCAGACAGACATCTCATAATATCACAACTCTTTTTTCCTTTAAACACCAGAAATTGTAATATTTTCCAGGAAGAGGCAATACGCAGGTAAAGCCCTAGGACATGCACTAGTTTCAAATGTATTTATGTATATGTGTGAGGTCTTTTTTGATGGTTTATCACAGACAACAAGCAATCAATTAAAACATTGAGAGGGTTTGTCATAATGGAGGCATTTCCTTGATGTATTAGTCAGCAACTGAAGTCAGAAGGAATGTATCCAGTAGGTTTTCCAGGAAAGTGTTTTCTAGAAAAAAGAGGTTGAGAAACACTTTTTTTCTTAGAGTGGGGTCACTGTGCTGCATAAGATCTAACATGGAGGACTTAATTTAAGACCCACTCGGATGAAAATCTTCTTGTTGTCTGCATTTTTTCTGATGCTACAGGACAAGAGAAGAGAAAAGTAAGTGCAAATTTTCTTTTTCAGAGTATTTCTGCATTCAAATCGCTGTGAATCTCTGGCAGACCCAAACTGCAGGCTCAGATACAGTGAGATTTCTTCCATAGCAAATCCAGGCTCCACCCCCAGAGTCCCGTTATGCAGACAAGACACGGAAATATAGAGAGGACGATCAAGATGCTTGTAAGGAAGCTAATTATTATATTAGCTTTTATCATGCTCCTAAAGACCTTTGTGTACGAGAGCTGAGTAGCTCCTATATTGCCTGCTACTTCTATTACACTGGCAATGTTAGGCTGTAAGCTAGCATGAAGAGAGCAGCGTTGTCTCCGCCCACGACTCAGAGGCGAATTGCTAATGAGCTACTGGAGCTCTGCAGAAGAAAAGCTCTTGAAAATGACACAGGTGACGTGATTTTGGCTAAAAATTGAATAATCACAACTTGAAGACCACTGAGATCACTTAATGTTGTAAAAAAAGATTTGATCGGAGTGGGATTTTAAGGCTTATTACACTGCAATTTGAAACGAAACACAAAACTCAGCTGAATGAAATGTGTGAATGATGGTACAAATGATAAAATCAAGTCAGGTTATTTTCATAATTTTTTTCCCCTGCGACACATATTCCCACTGAAAGCAGCCAACACCCTCCAGTAAAGAGTAAAGAGTATCTACAGCATCTTAACCTCTAAGTGAAGAGGTATCCAAACAGGTTCTCTGAGGAGAATTTCTGTGTCTGTTCATCTCAAAAGTCTTTTGTTGAATCTCACAGCAAGTACTTTACAAGCCGAGTGAAGGACACTTGAGTGCGAAACCTTACCCTGAAAAACACAAAGACACAAACAGAAAAACATCCCGAAGACAGGGTCCACAAGAAGAAGCCCAGTTATTTCTGGAGCATCTCTCTCCTAGATTAAATATAAAAAAAAATTATTAATCTGAACCAAAATAAGCATAAAACACTCAGTGAGGGATTGAGTGATTTGTGCTTTAATACAGCCCACAGAGTATTTACAGTGGTGTTCTGCAAGGATTAGTTGTTTGAGAGGATTAGTGAAGCTGCATTACTGCTGTTTTATTTAACTCACAACAGCAAAAGGCTAAAAATAAAAGCCTCTTAACCACATTTAGGCAATATGAGAGGCCAGGCCTAGTGGTCACACAGACATGTTTTTCTGCCCCTCTTTAAAGACCTCTGCTGGACAAACACACACGCACATCCACTTTCTCACTCACACTCAATTTTCTCTTCTTAATCTATAATCTAGTAATCTGCTGAAAGTTGCCCTTTTACAGCATATGCTTTGCAAGGAAACAGAGTGTCATATCTGTTAAGGCGATGATGTTGGTGAGAGTGCAGCATATGCAGATACTGGCAGGATCAACATAGTGGGAAACTCGCAGAGAGGAGAGGATTAATGCAAAAAGACTGGGAGATGGTGAAAGAGAGAGGAGAAGAGAGAGAGAGAGATTTGCAGAGGCAGCACATTATCTCGCTCTCTCTCTCTGTCTCTCTCTCTCTCTCTCCCACACTCTCTTTACTTGCATCAGCATTGATCACAGTACATCAGTAAAGTAAAGAGCACCCCATCCATCAGCGCATGGCTGTGGAGCTGCTGTGGAGAATACTAAAGCTACTCTCCACAGAGCATGAACATAAAAAAAAAAACAATCATATGCACACTGTTTACTTTATGAACAGAACATCCAAAATGGAGGCTCTGCTAATCCTCTAAAATGCTGCTATATTTGAGGCAACACAGGGATTTTTTTTTACTGTGCTTAACCAAATAGCAACACTTCCACAGTCACATTTTTATTGAAGCCGTCTCGCCTGGTGCTAATTTGACACTGAGCCTTGTATTCAGATCTCTTTTTCCTCATGTGGATGCTATATCAAATTTTCAGCACCTGATGCATCTTTTAAAATCAGCATATTTCTCTTGCATTTGGGCCTGTTTGCTAGCAGCGGTGGTCCATTATCTCTGTATGAACTCGATGGAAACATCCTGATGTTCTACTTGTAACGGAAGTTTGTTTGGGGAATTAAAGAGGAGGCACAAATGGCTATGATTTTTCAGCCCACATACTTTATCTCTGATGCACCTACATAAAGGATAAGCATGTTACATTCATTATTTACATACTGTCAAGCATGCTGACTCCACAGGGAAAACTCAGCAAGGGATCCAGCATAAAAACTCAGCCTCGCTGGAGACACTGATGGTGAAGTGCGCTGTTCCTAGGTTATGATACACAATGTAATAGCTTTAATTCTTCCAAATCATCCTTATGCACTTACATACACATGTGTGCAAAAACAAAAGCTTTGGAGGGATTCCTGCTCCTCCTGGAAGAGTGTCTGGAAATCTAAATGGCTCAAAAGGTAACATCCCGCTATTTGTTTCCTTGCCAAACATCTGGTCATTTACAGTCTCCTGAGACTGTTTATCAGAGGCTGTGTAAACAGAGAATGAAAGGAGGAGAGAAAAGGGGCAAATGGACCCCAAGGAGGCAGAGCAAGACACTTTGATGTGCAAAGAGCATGAATGTCTGCAAATTATAAAATAATATCCAGGGATGCATTTTTCGTGATTATTTCATGGAAAATTTAAGACTACTTAAAGCTCCTGTGAGGGACTTTTGGTTTGTGTCAAGTTAGCGCCCCCTGTGGACAAAGAGTCTTTGTCTATCCTGTTATGTATGTACTAAAGTAATATCTTCTTATGTAAAACCTCATCATTCTGACTTTTGGCTTTTAAATTCAGCATTTGTTGCAGGAAACCAAAGGGCCATATCTTCATGAGTTTGACTGACACCTACCCCACCCAACCCAAAAACTGAGGCAAGGATCCAGCTGTTACACATGTAAGAGTTTTGAGGGAGTGCAATGATCCTTTTCAGAGTACAACACAACTTTGATACCAAACTCTGATCAGATACTTGAATTAATTTAAAGAGAAAAACATTTTGGAAAGTCTAAATATATTGACCTTTTGCAAATTGAGGAACTGCAGGTTTTTGCAAGTTTGCATCGACTTATTTATTATCATTATTTTTTTTACTAAGTGAAGAATCATCTTAATAACCAGGGGGTATAGCTCACAGTTTTGTTGAGAATGACACACTTTTTGAAATTAATGATTTTGTTGAAAATTAAAAAAAGTTTTATTTTTTCCAATTATCCTCTAAGAAGGTTAAAACTAACAGTATCTGTTTCCCGCAGCTTTGAAATACTTCTTTGTTTTGGCCAATTTTATAAGGGTTATTAATTTTTAAGAAACAAACTAAAATCTGAACAGGTGATTGTGCATTTCCTCCACACTACCAATGCAATCAAGCAACAACCTTCAAATCCCAGAGTGAGCTCCTCAGGTCATCCTTGCCGCTAATAAAACAAAATTGAAGGCATTGGTTATACATATTTTAAGAGCATCTCTCCTTGCTCGCAAAGGACTTACTTGAAAAGGAGATCCCCATCTCAATGTGACTTTAATTTAAAATAAAGCAAAAAGAATCGCAGACGCAGAATTGGAAATTCAAATGCATGTATCTGTAAGACTGTGTTTCTATGAATACCAAAGGCAGGGATTGTACAAACACACAAGAACAAAACCACTGTGCCACCCACTAGGCAAATACTTCCAGAGGACAAATTGGAAATTGAATCATAAACTATAAAGAGCCAAGGTTGAGTTCATCTGCAGAAGAAAAGAGAGAGGAGATGGAGGTGGAGAAGAGAAAAGAAAGGACGGCTGCATTAAATAAAAGTTCACTCTTTCTCCCATGCCCCTGCAGAAATTCACGCTGCGCTACCTGATTGAAATTTCCTGGTTTAATAGCTGTGAAATAAAGCAAAAGTTGGAGAGAGGAGGAAGGAGAGTGTCTGAAACAGAGGCTAAGAGAGAGGTTTTTGCAGAGAGGAGAAGGCGGAACAAGTGAAGAGAAGGAGGGGAGATTTAGAAACTCAGAGACTAAAAGCATCATCAGTTTAATGCAAAGTGAATTTCTTTATGACTCCTAAAAACAGCAATCAAGGCTAATTAGTCATAACTGATTTCAATTTGTCTCGCTGTGGTTCTCTCGCCAGAAAAGTTAATCCACACTTCTGTTGTTACCATCCTAGTTCAACAGAGTGGATTATGCAGGGAGTCAATAGGCTGTAGTTTTGCTTTAGGAACCGTACAGATGTACCAGGCTGGGTCTGTGCCGGGTTGGCTTTGGAGCTAACAGGTAATGATTAGCACTAATGAAAGCACTGAGAAGGTCCCACTGAGGTAATCTTACTGTGCAGCCAGAGGAAACTCTCCATTTTCACCAATTAGTTCACATACATAGTCAGACAGGGACCGGGGACACGGACTGTAGAGGTTTTAAATCTGAAGTCTGGAGACTCATCTGGGTGGGATCCTCTCTCTATAGTTTGGCCTGATGTTTGCCTTAAAGAAATCTCTCTTCGGTCTTTCACATAAGTATAGAGGGGCGACTTCAGGCAACCGTGCAGGCCAGTGGGATTTTCATTTTTCCATAGTTGCATTTGACATTTTCAGCCATATTAACAGCAATCCCTGGAGAAACCCAAGGTCAGTAGAAAAGTGCATCACTATGGTCTGACAGAAAAAATATCAACCTCGGTGACTGACTTTTCCTCAAATCCCACGACCAGTTTAAGACTAGTTTGAGACCCGTTTGTGCAGAAATGTTTAAAAAAATAACACACCACTTCTCCTTGATTGTAAAACCCAGTTGTTGCATTTATCATGGAGTAGTCCAGTTTGTTTTGGTAGAGTGAAACCTGGTCTTGCTTATTTTTCCACAGGTAACTGTGACTGGTGCTGCTCACACAGGGAGCCTGTCAGCTGCAGTCCTGTCAGCCAGTGTGAGCAAAATCTCTTACAGGCTGAAATCTAGAGAAAAGAAGGCTCATCTATTTTTTTTCTCCACAAGCCATGTACAGATCTCAGCTGAAATATACAGAGAAAAAGAAGGTTGAGAGCTGTATGGGCTTTGTATTAGCTGTTTATACCAATAGCATGAACAGAATAGCACAAAAGCATTCAGAAATATTTTCAAAGCAAAAGCCTGGCCTGCTCTTTCTTTGGAGACACACAATGCTTTTATTTTGGAGGAGAATCTAGGACATGTTTACAGTAGAAGAAGTATGTTTTTTCATCTCATTATTTTAGGCTTTGTCAACTTTCATTGTTAAAAGAAGCTATGCTAAATATCAAATCACATCAAATCATGAGAAATATTTCAGCTTTTAAAATCTCCCTTAGCATGCATCCATGTGCTCCTCTTACTGCTCAGCAGGGGGCGATGTGTAAAGCACCTGCCTTAGAAAGTTTCTTTTCTCTAGTTTCTGTGATATGAATAAAAACATGAAGGTATGGAGTTCTTTGAGGGACATTATTTTAAAAACAAATAACGTTAGTAAAGGTGAGAGTAAATCTTGTGTGATCTAGATTGGTCAGGATAGCTTGATTATCTGGGTGTCTTTCCAAACTTCTGACGATGGAGCAGGAAATAATTCCAAACCAAGCTGTGCTGCATTAGCCACTTTATAGTAACGAAGCTCAATAAACCGAGCCAAAATTGAGATTGTCACAACACAGAAGTTTACAACAGCCAGACAGTCATAATATTATTTTATGGTCGGTTTTAAGCTTTAAGACCGTTGTAGTGATCAGACTGTTTAATGAGCAGATACACAGGTGAGTTCATATGCGTCTGTGAGTTTCAAGCTGGCGAAAATTAGCCCACCAATGTGCACATCACCGTGTGTCCTGTGCGGCTGTAAATTAACTTGCTGCAGCTAATGCATTCATTCATCCATCCTGATTGCCGCGGGGTCATGAGGCAACAAAGACAAGCGGAGAATTTATACATTTCTATTAGCATGGTGTTATTTAAAATTCATTCACTATTTATCTTTAGTTTTCTTTTACGAATACAAAAAGTCTTCAGGTTGATTATCATGAGATGATAACAAAACAACACGGGTAGAGATGAAAACTAAGTGTCTGATCATAAACTGCCTCAGGTAGCTAGCTGCATTGGTACAGGTGTATCTTCATAATGAAGCCATTTTGAGCAAAGTCCTAGACTATCAGTTTTTTTTTTTTTTTTTTTTTTTTTTTGCTTTATCCAGGATAAAGTGCTCCCAAACTTTGGAGGTTTTTAAGCGCATACTTGTAGCTGCTGTATGGTACACCGGCACCATATTTGAATACCCTACCATTCAGCGGAGACGCTTTTGAGCAGGCGTGACTCTAGGCAGAGATCATAATGAAGTAAGATGCCTCACTCCACTGGAAAAATCCCGTCTGGCGACAAACAGTCAACAGTGGAATGCAATATCGACGTTTTTCATTATCGTTTTTTGTCGACTTATCGTTGCAGCCCTACCCAACACACAATAAACTTTCATCTGTTTCTTTTGTCAAACTATGTTCCTTTTCCTGAATACAACAGTAACACATAGACACATAGTTGGATGTATTCAGAGCACATGGCTAGTCTTTGGTAACCTAATCACATCCTCCCTGTCTGTATTTGTTTATCTGTCAACCTGGTTCTTATAGGCACAGGCCATGAATCACACTGCCTCCTAGCAGAATGCGTCTCACTGTCTAGCATCACCTCTGCTGCTTTTATAGATATTCATTTTCTATACACGTGAAAAAACAGCTTTAAACTCCCTCTTTCCCCCTTGTAGAAAAGCCACAGGGCTGCTTTGTGCCCATCTTCTTCAATATTTCAGCAATCAGGCAGCCTGCTTTACAGACATTAAAAAATATATTTCTTGACTCCAGTCCCTTGAATCTGCAATGGAGTCATGCCTAAGCAGAAATAAACACAGACGATTATCCCTTGATATACAACAAAAGGCCTGAATGCCTGCAGACACTTATCAAACGGACTCCTGGCACCTTAATAAGTGAATACATCATGGTTAACAACATGTGTGATACCAAGGACACACTGATTGGTGAAGGTGAATTTATGCAAATTTAGCTCCTTGGAATTTGTCAACACCAATTGAAGTGAGTGAAGAGGAGGAGGAGGAGAGGGAGAGCCAGGGGCTGAAAAACACTCATAATGGTGAACAAATGGACTGATAATAAGAAAAAGATAGCTGTTAGGTTAAGGGACAAAGATCATGGCGTGTTGTTGGAAACCAGTGTAGTAAATTTAGAAGTTTTTGTGGTTTGATAATGTGCCAGTATTCTAATGGAAGATAAATGATTCAGTGATCGTTATTTTTCTATTATTTTCTCACCTTTAATGTATTTCTCTGTGTCAATGTTGTAAATCACAGCAAAAAAAAAAAAAAAAGAATATGAGAGGGATCCGAATTTAATCTGTTCAAGTTTCTAATGTCACAATCTCTTGTTTATTGTTGTTTTCATGTTTTGACAAATTTTCATAAAATTGAATTCCAGCTTCTCAACTACAAGTAAATGTTTCTTTGTTTTTCCCAATGCTGTTAAAAGCACACAGTAAATTATCCATCAAGTGTACAAATCTTGCCCAGAGGCGCCTTCAGGCTGGACTGTGGTTGCCATGGCGCACACTTTGTGAATGCCCCAGTACATGTTAAATACACAGTGATCTAAATAGCCCTTTGCTATGGGGGTCATTTTTCTGTGTGTCTATATAAACTGCTTAGTTGTGTGTATTTCCATGAATGACCTTTACTTTGTCACAAGGCAACAACAAGTAAATTAATGTTGCTTTTGAAAAACAAGAACCAATTATTGAACATAATTTTATAAAAGGTTTCTTGGAGATAAGAGTGTGAACAGTGTGAACAAACGAGCATCAAGTCTGAGTAATTTTTTTTTTTTTTTCAGACAAAATGAAATGATGTGTCTTTATTTTTTCAAATGTCACTGCCTCGAACTGGCAGAAAGCTGAACTGTTCAAAATGTCAAAGAAGAGATCAGTACCTCAGTATTGCAAAACAACACGCCAAGATAATAGTCCTACTTAAGTACCTCTCTTCTAGTCGAGAACAACAATTATCTGCAAAGTTGAATTTTTATGTTGCTGTATGTTAAAATAGTTCCATCTTTAACAGTAATTTCACCATCCACGATAGCATGCTACAAAGAACCCAAGACTGCAAGGGATATTCAGTCCTGTTCAACCCTCTCCCTCTGAAATCTCCTCATCAGAGCATGTCTGTAGGTTCCTTTTTGCCCACTTTCATTGATATACGAATTTGAAGCCAAATTGCTCTCTGTATTCCCAGGATTTTCTCCACTTCCTGGAACCACCACTTGTGCAGTAGCATTGTATGCATTCGGCAGGAGAGCCGCCAAGTGTCACTGTGATGACGCTCGGCTCAAACAGTGTATCCCCAGAGTGTCCATGTAGATTCTCACTCATCCAGGTCATGGTTTTCTTGAAGACTCCAAACGCAGGCAACTGGACTGTGTAGAGTTGAGAAGATGTTTTTCCAAAATCAAGAGGATCTTTGGCAAACACCATATTCCTGTTCATTTCAAGCCTGGTAACACAGGTGTTGGCTCGAGAAGACAGGTGGTTTAAAAGAGGAGTTAAAGAAGCCATCTTTACCAGACTGGAGAAACCTTCTCTGAACAGAGGGGGTGGACTCAGGCACAACCTCTCCGGCACTTACAATGCAGTTGTCAGCTCTATCCCCAGGAAGCTCCACAAACATTCACACTTGGGACCACATGACCCAGGTGGCATGAGTCATGTGGTCACATGACAGGGGTCGTTAACGGCCCTTTCAGATTAACGACCCTCGGGGGGGAACATCCGGAGATGGGTTTCTACAACCCATTCTTTCCAGTAAGATAAGATTTGTCCCCTTCTCCAGTAAGATAAATATCTGCTCCTCACACTAGCAAACTTTAGAACTGAAGAAGCTTCTTGGATAAGAGGCGAAACATCTTCTCAACTCTACACAGTCCAGTTGCCTTTTTTGGAGTCTTCAAGAATGTTTCCCCAGAGTGAGCTTTGTAATCTTTGTGTCAATCATAGAAAACATGAACCCCCTTATAACTTTTAAACACGGAGCTGTATTGAAAAAAAGAGGACTTGAGCACAAACCAGTCTTACAGTAACTACAGTACATGCTGGTGGCGAGGAGGCAGACGGGTCCATTCACAAAGAGCTTCTCTCAAAATCTAGCAACAATGAGGTAAAAAAAAAATTGAACAGTCTCCTGTTGGAAAGTTTGACACAGAAGAGGGCACTTTACCTCCAGAGCACCAAACAGTGATTAGGAGTTGTATTGAAACCAAATTTTTAAAGCTATATTTAGTTGGTTCATCCAGCTTTGACGGTCCTGTGTCCAGTGATTACTGTTTTGAGAGGACTCTCTCTGTCTCCCACACACACATACACTCACCGGCCACTTTATTAGGTACACCATGCTAGTAACGGGTTGGACCCCCTTTTGCCTTCTGAACTGCCTCAATTCTTCGTGGCATAGATTCAACAAGGTGCTGGAAGCATTCCTCAGAGAGCTTGGTCCATATTGACATGATGGCATCACACAGTTGCCGCAGATTTGTCGGCTGCACATCCATGATGCGAATCTCCCGTTCCACCACATCCCAAAGATGCTCTATTGGATTGAGATCTGGTGACTGTGGAGGCCATTTGAGTACAGTGAACTCATTGTCATGTTCAAGAAACCAGTCTGAGATGATTCCAGCTTTATGACATGGTGCATTATCCTGCTGAAAGTAGCCATCAGAAGTTGGGTACATTGTGGTCATAAAGGGATGGACATGGTCAGCAACAATACTCAGGTAGGCTGTGGCGTTGCAACGATGCTCAATTGGTACCAAGGGGCCCAAAGAGTGCCAAGAAAATATTCCCCACACCATGACACCACCACCACCAGCCTGAACCGTTGATACAAGGCAGGATGGATCCATGCTTTCATGTTGTTGACGCCAAATTCTGACCCTACCATCCGAATGTCGCAGCAGAAATCGAGACTCATCAGACCAGGCAACGTTTTTCCAATCTTCTATTGTCCAATTTCGATGAGCTTGTGCAAATTGTAGCCTCAGTTTCCTGTTCTTAGCTGAAAGGAGTGGCACCCGGTGTGGTCTTCTGCTGCTGTAGCCCATCTCCGCCTCAAAGTTCGACGTACTGTGCATTCAGAGATGCTCTTCTGCCTACCTTGGTTGTAACGGGTGGTTATTTGAGTCACTGTTGCCTTTCTATCAGCTCGAACCAGTCTGGCCATTCTCCTCTGACCTCTGGCATCAACAAGGTATTTCCGCCCACAGAACTGCCGCTCACTGGATATTTTTTCTTTTTCGGACCATTCTCTGTAAACCCTAGAGATGGTTGTGCGTGAAAATCCCAGTAGATCAGCAGTTTCTGAAATACTCAGACCAGCCCTTCTGGCACCAACAACCATGCCACGTTCAAAGTCACTCAAATCACCTTTCTTCCCCATACTGATGCTCGGTTTGAACTGCAGGAGATTGTCTTGACCATGTCTACATGCCTAAATGCACTAAGTTGCCGCCATGTGATTGGCTGATTAGAAATTAAGTGTTAACGAGCAGTTGGACAGGTGTACCTAATAAAGTGGCCGGTGAGTGTACATACTGCATATGAACAATTACCAAAACTCCATTCCTGACCAGTGATTTTAAAGTGAAGTGAAGTCTGGTGATGTTTGCCGACATGAAAAATTTCACATTCATAATTTTCAGCTTGAATTTTTCACTAGCCATATGGAGCTTGTTGTAGACCAGGCATAGAGTGCAGCCTTACAGTGGAGGCGGCTCTAAAGAGGGTAGACAGCCTGTCTCCATGCATCACATTAGAAAGCCTCTTTGAGTGTGCAAGCATGTAGGTGTGTGTGCTTTTGATACTGTGTGTGCATTTACCGCAGGCTTGTCTGCATGCCTGACTGCATGCACATGTCCCTCTAAGCTTGTGCGAGAGCGGTTTAGCATCTTAGCATCCTTATGCGTTTTCGTCCTTGCATCTCTATTCCAACTTTCTTGGCAGACTGAATGCCTTTCAGAGTAAGTTAGATTCCTAGTAGCCTCTAATCAGTGGCGATGTATGGAGATTGCAGCCCATGGACTGAGAATCAATGACTCGACAGTGTGTGTTGAAGTGATCAGCATAATCGCTGTTCCGCTTAACTTCCAAATCCAAGCCAAGCTATTTCTCCAAGACTATTGGCAAAGCCACTGAGACATTTAACCAAAGTCTTGTCCACAAACAAGATATCTTCATTGCAAGCGATCTGTAGTCCACTAAGAGAGTTGGAGCTCCGTGTCCTGGATATAAAGCCTAAAGTGGTGAGGCGATGTGTATAACAAAGCATGTGAATAAGGGAAAAAGACAGGAGGATGGATGGTTTAACAGATGGAGGGGCATGATAGGCCTCTTTTCTGTTCTGGCCTTAAAGATAAAAATCAAGTGAAGAAAAGGTGAGCATAGGCCAAGCAGACACATACACACATACTCAGAACACACCCACATGCTGAGACGTCTTTTACCACTCCTCAGCCCCCCTCAACTTTCCTTCTGAGGTCACCACAGCTGTCCTGTCAGCTTATACTTCTTAAGCTGGTGGCAAATCACACACCAATAAACCTGCACACACACACACAGTGAGGCAGGGGTAAATCACGTCTATTTTCCTTCAAAATAAAGAGGAGCATAACCATACAATTGAACGACGACTATAAAGGACAGTGTAGTTTATTCTACTTCCCATTTTTCTCATTCAATTGTAACCTTAACACTGTTTTAATTATTCAACACACACAAGGAATCCTCTGGAGTCCACTTTCCCTCTTTTGAAAACATTAAAAGTCAATTTTTTGGGCACCTCATAGTGACTGTTTATCTTTCTATATTTGGTTTTGATTCAATTTATAGGGTATCTGTTATCGTCTTTTTGATTCTGTGATTAGATCTGTTTAAGTTACTTTTTAGTTCTATTTTTCAGTTTTCTTAAACAAGGTAAGGCTTGTTAAAAGGTTATTTTCTGTCTCTATTTTCTTCCTCTTCCCAAGCATGGTTGGGTGAACATAAGTGTTCGTTTTCTTTCTTTTCTTGAAGGTAGTTAGATTTTTGTTTCAAGGCACCCCTTTGTGACGGTGTGTCTCTCTTCTTACATGTTTAATTTTGTAAAATGTTTGTTTCTTTGTAGGATTTCTGCACAAAGACTGTGTGGATCTTTGCAGGAAAGACGTAAGATCTCAGTGATGCCTTTTGTTTTGAACGACACTCAAATTAAAAACTTCTTGCTGCGAGTTTTTAGTTGCTTTACCAATCCATCGCTTCCTCCTGCCAATATCTGAAGATGATCTGTACTACGGCCAGTGGATTTCAGTCAGTTTTTTCCAACGATCAGCTGTTATATTCATTACAAGATTGCCAGAACAAACTAAACAGCATAAGTTACCATCGTCCCCTAAACAGCAGCTGCACAAGTACATTATTTCAATCCCACCATGGCCAATAAAGCAAAATACTCTGATTTATTTATGTTATATCATCCAACACTAACATTTTATCACAACTCTTCATGTAACCTTGGTTGAAAAACAGAGATCAGTATGAAGGATAAAGGAAGGGTGGAAAGCAGCAGCCGTTATGTAACGGGACGCTTTCATAAAAGGTGAATTGAATGGCTTCAGGAATAACATACACCTCATTTTTCTTCACGTTTGTTTATGAATGTGTGCCTGGAAATGTAATTGTGTTGTAGAGAAGACCAAATACTGTATGCATGCATGTGTCTACATGTGAGTGAGGACCTTGAAGTGACCTGAGGGATTGTATTCAGTAATTATCTGATTACTCGTCTGTTTTTCCCCCTCTCAGACACCCTGCAACTGGATAACGCTGTAATTCCCTGATTACAACTTACTCCACAATCAATCAACCATTAACAGGAGCACACAGATGATACACAAACACAGACACATTCATAAGCACACGGCTAGCTCAGATATCAACACCAACACTGCAGCCACTGTTTCACAGTCAAATAAAAGAACAATGGCAGCATATTGAACATTTTATCATGTCTACCATAGTTCTTTACTCATCGTATGACTATTTTTACTCCTGTTTCCCCTCCTCGCTGGGTGTTTCTAGTGATTTCATGGTTGCCGCAGAAGTCAGCGCTTCACTGATGCACCAGTGTATCAAAGCATCTTCTACCCATGTCTTTTTTCCATCCTCCCATTGATGAAAATGACACATAGAGCTGTGGTTATACATAGATACTTGCACTAAGGAAGGTCACACACACATCCACTCACTCAAAGGACCTTGTTTTCTTCAGGAAGTGATAACATTATAAGAGATTTTCCCTTCCTCCACAGGAGGCTGAAGGACTGTAATACCATCGCTCTCAGATGCCGCATTATTTTTTAAAAGCTAAAGACTCAAACTCATCTGTCATTCTGCCGCTCCGTCATCCAGTAATGGAGCGTCAGAGTAAAGCAGATGTTAAATACAGACTAAAGGAGCATTGCTGATGTTACAACACACACTAAAAACAATGACAAAGACAACAGGTTCAGATGAGGGGCAGCTGATGTGCGCCACATTCTCACGACATAAGAGCCAAAGGCAGAACATAACATTTTCAAGCCATCACCACCTATCAGATTTAGTCAAACAAAGACAAAAGCCTCTATTGTCGCATCTTATTTTTTATCCTTGGGTTATTTTTTCATTGTCACTTACTGACTTTTATCTCCTGATGATTTTCTATTTTTCGTGTAAGTCACATTTTCTGGTATTTTTACTGAAACAGAAAAAAAGCTGGCTTGATTTTTTTTTCTCATGTCTTAAGTGATCCATCTATATTTTTTATACATTTCTATCATCAGGTAAGAAATATAATTCCAAAACTTTGGCAATGACAAAAGACTTAACAGAGATTTCAGCAGTTATAGAAATCTAATCTTACAAACAGGATAAAGATGAACTTCCTGGACTACAATAAATTCCAACATAAAACTTTTCAATTTAGCCTTTTTAGTTTCCTCTTTATTAGATAAAAGATATATGATCCTCCAGTACATAAGGGATGCACTGATCCAACTTTTTAAGATCCAATGTTAATACATAGGCTTTGATAACGGCAGATATCAATATTGAGCCTGGTTGATACTGAGTTGAACTGAGATTTAAGAAATCATCTAAATCACCAATTAAGAATAAGAATAACTTTATTAATCCCCGAAAGGAAATTCAATTGTCTGTTGTCTCACATAATATGTCTTGTCTACTATTTACACAAGAGTTATAAAGTCTAATGGATGTTGGTACAAAAGATCTTCTGAATCTTTCTGTCCTGCAGCAAAGAGAGAGGAGCCGTCCACCACTATTGGCCCTTTGGTCCATCAAGGTGTTGTGAAGTGGATGATCCATGTTCCTTAGAATAGACTACACCTTCCTCAGTGTAGATCTCTCCACCACATCCTCCACTGAGTCCAGCTTGAGTCCAACCACCAGTTTGTTCAGACGTCTTGCATCTTTGTGTTTGATGCTTCCTCCCCAGCAGACTGCAGCGTAGAACAGAACACTGTAGACACCACAGACTGATAAAACATCTGCAGCGTCTTACTACAGACGTCTATTGATCGGAGTCTTCTCAGGCAAAAGAGGCAGCTCTGCCCCTTTCTGTAGATGAAGTCTATATTCTTAGACCAGTCCAACTTATTATCCAGATGTACACCTAGGTATCTGTATGATGTCAAAATTATGCCGGTGATCTTAAATGGATTTAAGATAAAATTAAAAATTAAAAAAAATAAAAACAGAATATGCAAAACTGGCTGGTGATTAAGCTCAGATGGCAGAAAGAATACTTAGGTGGCTTAGTCAGGTATTGTGTTCATACAATAAAGTGCTGTGGGCATTTCTCATCCAGAACAATTGGTTCAGTTAACCTCTCCACTATTTCTCACACCTTCAAATCATCACTTGGACGTTTCCAGCATCTCCTACATACAGCTGACTGAGTAAATTGCCTTATTTTGGCTTCCATTTGATTTTGCTGTGCTATCCCTTGAAACAGAAGCTTTGCATATACAGCAGGTTGCTGTCAGTCTTATTGGCATAACAAGCGTGAAATACCTCCAAACATCTACAGTTATCCCCCTCCATACTACATTAGCTGTTCACCAAGCAAACTGCAAACACCTGCCAATGTGCTGATGAGGTAGTATGTGTGCATGGTTGTTGTAAACATAGAATAGCACAGAACTGAGTTGAATAGATCTGACCTTTGTCACTGATCCAACTTTTTTGATTCAGTGTCTGACTGATACCAGATACCAGGACTGGGTTGAGGCATCTCTTGCTGTAACATCTGTCATCACTCAGTCTGCTATCTTTGAGCCAATCATTGTCAATCATCAGTACTAAGTAGTATAATACCTCTGGGGATGGATGCTGACATTTCTTTAATTCTGGTGAAGCCAGGAGTTAGCATCGCAGACAGATACAGAGATTATTATAATGTTTTTGCCATGAAATGTATTGATCGTGCTGCATACACCAAAGGCTGCTGGCACATGTTGTGTTTTCATTCGGTGACGTCCTAGCTGAGGGCATTCTGCTGCAGAGCATTATAGCTAAAGGTGGCTCAATTTTTCAATCACAGCCACCATAACGGTGACCTACCTCCACCCTGACAGCATCAAAATGGAGTTAGTGTTGATGGAGGTACTGTTGCATTGAATTGAACCAGACTGGACAGGTGTAACAATAAGGAAGCCTTTTAAAGGATGTTACCTGTTATAGGGGTACAAATTATTCATAGCAAGTCAAAATATAATGAAAAATATAACAAATGAAGTATTTATGAGCTTTCATATCTTGCCGTGCGTTCAACAAAATCTAAATATAGAAAGGTTCACACTGCTATGTCACAGCATCCCTGCTTAAATGTAAATAGGTGAGCAGCACGACTTCCAGCTCATATTTACATACACGGAGCAGGTGCTCTCTCACAGCTTTTATTCTCCCTGAGGAAGGTCATTTTTATTGTTCCACACAGTTGTGATCCCGCGAAGCCAAGATACCCAACCTTCACACAAGAAAAGAAATGAGAAGTAGTAAAAGGGCCTCTGGGCTCAATCATGCTAGTGACTCAGCCACTTGGCCCACATGGGAGGACGACCACACAACCAGGGAATTCCAATCCACGAGGCTCAGTGTGCACTGTCTGTCTGTGCTGTTACCTACAGGCATTTTGGAGAGTCGCCTCATTCTGATAGAACTGCAAAGACATGAAAGCCCCTAAACTGAGAGAACCTTTCTTGTCGGATTACTCGTATCCCCCTTTCTTTTATTAAAGAACTTTTTTGGTGTTCTCCCTGGCACTGTGGGCTCGTATTTCGTTGTGAATCCGACCTCTGCATTCCCTGGGGTGGAACAAGGCCTATTCACTGCAACTTTACAACATGAGGAAAGAAATTGGCTGCAAAGGCTGCCTGCAGTGGTAATCCACAATAAATCGAATACCGTAAATGTTGTACACAGACACTGACGAAGTGACAGGAATATATACTGCGCACACCAACACAGACACAAAACCAGACAGGCAGGGGAGATTGGACGAATCACACACACACATGTCTACATACCTGTGTGGCTCCTGTGTGCATGTGTGAGGGAGGCCAGACAGAGAGACAGCAGTAGACTCCACACACCTACTCCACAAATGCAAGGACCCCGTTCCCGCATTCTGTAAGAGAAAACAAAAGCATACTTAATTAGGGAAAACACACGAAAAAGGATCAGAGCATGCTGTATGACTTTTCAACCACGATGCCAGGTGTAGTTTTAACAATGCTATGTCTGCAATGTCTGGTGAAGTTTTTGCCTGTCCAGGTCGATTCTCCGGAAAATTATTGGATGAATTAACAAATCAATATCAAAACATCTTGATTATTTACCTCATAGATTGGAACATTCATGTTTCCATGATGTTGAACCCTCTTGTGATTTTACTCACCGAGGTCTGACATGTTGAGGTGTTTAACTAGTCAGTGGGGAGCTATTTCATAGAGAGGGAGGGAGGATTTGTTGGAGGAGGTGAATAAAAGGCTAACATAAGCAGATATCTTCAGATACTAGAGTTAGCAGCAGAAACCGATCAACAAGGATTGAAAGTTTAGAATTGTTCACTAAAGGTAGGATACAGAGGGTCTATGGTACAATAACAAAGACCTTTCTCGAAGGCTCAGAATAGCAAGATACAAGTAACATTGAGATTTTTACATATGCTAATACGCCTATTTGCCCTACCTCAGGTGTTTCTGTAAAGGTATAACTTTCGGGTTAGTTCATGACTTCAACACTTGGTAAAAAGTAGATAGGAGAAAAAAATCGATACAGAATAGTATCGGAATATTTTGTCTGGTGAAATATCATATCGTCTCCTTTACCAAGTATCAATTTTTTCAAATGAATTGCTAATGTAAAGTCAAATATATGACAATGGAAAAATAAAATCAACAGTTTGTCCAGTGAGATTGGCCGAGATTTCACCATAGAGCAGGGGAAAGTTAGTACAACAAATATATATAAGGTCTGCATGATGTGCAACATGAAAATAAAATACTGTGTAAATAAGACAAACATAAAAGAAAGACAAATGCTAAATTAGCTTAACAGTTGTAAAAATTTATAAATTGCAATACATTGTATCGCATTACTCAGTGTATTGCAAAATGTTAAAAATCGCAATAATATAATATAATAATAATATAATAATCATAATATATAATCTAAAAAAGATATATATTGTATAATTTATAATAATAATGATAATAATATAATAATAATAAATTATACCCAAGTATCGTGTTAAATCATTTCGTAGGGCCACTAGTGATTCCCACCCCTGTAAAAAGTCACAAAAGCTGTGTCTAATTTCATACCAATGGAAATAAGCAATAATAAAGCCTCTCTGGCAGCAGCAGAAAAACACTGAAACTCAGGTTTCCATGGGTGCAAGTAAAACATAAATACTGAGTTCTTTTTAGCTGAAAATTAAACAAAGTTAGTCTACAGTCAAAGTAAGAAAAAAATATTTTTGTATCTCCTTTATTAATTCTTTAAAACATTGTACGTGTCATCGCTTTGCTCAAGGTTGTAAACAGAGGTTAAAGTGAGCATACTGGTCTTTCTCAGCTTGGCAAAGAAAGTCACTTTTAAATACAACATGAGAGTAAACAGCCAAATACAAATGAAGGTCAAATTGTTGTGAGTGAAGTCATGAAAAAGAAAATTAATTAGTTTAAACATGTGACATTTTGTGCTCTTTATACTTGAAGTTTTTCTGAATATAGTCGAGTATTTTAGAAAACTCCCAGTAATATGTCGCCAGCTACTAGTAACCCAAAACATCACAAAATACAGGATCATCATTTCTGTATCTGGATGTGTACCATACTGCCAGATTCTTGCAAATACCCATTCGTACTTCGTAGAGGTCCCAGACTGGTGTAATGAAAGGTGACAATGATAACAGGTCTTCTTTTAGACAAACTGACATTTTCACACATCCTCCTGCGCAAGTTTACCCCGCCAAAGACACATGAATGGAAATAATACCTCAAATACTTCAAACAAAAGGGGAAATAGTGGGAGGAAAGAGGCAAAAGGAAGAAAGGTAGAAGATTGTAGACTTTCATATCTCCAGATGAAGGGCAGCTGGTGCATGACACTTTACAACATGAAAGCCAAAGGCAGAGCATAACATTTCTAAGCCATCACCATCTATCAGATTAAACCAAAGCACCAGGCGAGATCCACCATCGTCACATCCTTTTATCATCCTGAGGTTATTTTATCATTGTCAGTTCCTCGTTGTGGTTGAGGAAGTTTTTCTGTGTATTAGTCACTCCCTAAAACCTTCATTTTTAGATAAGAGAAGAGATTGACCTGCAGATTCATGGCTGGCTATTCCTACCACAGCAGAGATCTGCATCTTTGTTAATGCCACCAGAGTACCGTAGGCGAGCAAGAATTTCCAGCAGCCTCCTCTCAGTCAAAAACATCCAGAATTCTCTGTCCTGGATTCCCGTAGCTTTTCACCAGCAGCTAGTCTTAGTTTTTACTTGATCTCTGAAATATCTCTACAACATGTCATCACATCACAGCATGACTGTTGTAGCACCACTGTTTCCCTTTAGGGATCAATATCTTCTTATCTTATCTTAGTTTACATTTTTGGCTTTTGCAAAATATCTCAACAGCAAAGGCTTTCTGTAGATGTAGACTGTGGCTTTACACACTGTTTTTTAAGAGCCACTTTGACACCCAATGATGCTGAGCGTCAACCTACACTGAGGTGGAGAGGTAAACTTTAGCTGATTTACAAATCTGTCCATCAACTCTGCCGTGCTTCTATGTAAATGTGTAACTTAGTCTTTATACTATCAAAACAGATACATTACATAGAATATTTCCCCCTGTATAGTGTGTACAGATAAAATATTTCAGCTACATATTTTTTTTTCATGATGGGAAGCTGCAGCATATTTCACGATGACTGAATGAATTTCTATTAAAAATGGTATTCACACTCCTTAAGATAAATTTGTCATAATTTCAGTGTCCCCATGGCTTTTTAAGTCAAAACTACAGTTTTTCCTGTTTCTTGATTTAGTAACATCTATAACAGAAAGGACAGTACCATCAGCCCTAGTTGTACTTGGTTCCTATTAGGGGTGTCCCGATACAACTTTTTTACTTCCAATCATTACCGATATTGTAGCCTTCAGTATCGGCCAATACCGATATTTTATCGATATTGGCTCAAACTTGTGCAAGTGCAAGTTTTGTACTTAGCTGCAACGTCTTTCTCTGACTTTAGCGAAAAATATTGCCATACAGCCGACCTCACTCCTACTCCTTGCTACTTTGTTTGTACTTTAGTACACACTGTTGTTGTGATCACGTGGGCTCTGCATGCTGGATCAGGGCGCTGTTAGCTAGAGGTGCTGGAGCAGAGTCTGGAATGGACTGCTTGTATCGGAGTGCTGATATCTGAGATTTTAGATGCAGGCCGTTATAATGCGATAATGTTTTTTTGGCTGATATCGGACCGATATCCGATGTCCAATATCAATATCATATCGGGACAGCTCTAGTTCCTATGGTAACATCTTAAATGGGCCCACCTCTTGCATCATAAGCACATTTGAAAACCCTTATGAATGCAACTATAACTACCGTTATGAGTGATTATAAACATTCATAGCAGCTTTTAGCTTGTAGTTTATGGAGTGTAATAAGCAATGAGCATGGAGCCTTATAGAGGTATAGTTTATGGTGCAATAAACCTTAATGAAAGAAGGAAAAAGTTTGTAATTATAAACATTTATTTTTTTCTTGTGATGTATTTTTGTCTGACACTTCACTTACAGCCACAAAATGCAGCTTAAAATTTCTTATAAATGTGTTATAAACAACTTAGAGTTCACTCACATGCATAAAAATATTAAGACAGCCTTAGAGCATTCATTTTCCCACCGAACTATAACACATCACCAGTCTGCTTTGGCGAAGAAAAGGAAGTACACAAGTAAAATAAGTGTTTACTGTGGATTTACTGAAACAGAAGATGAGAGGGTGAGTGACAGGCAGAGAGGAATGAAGTGATGAAGACAGTGGATTGGAGACTATCATAGCGTAAGACGCTCGGTTTAATTTTGTATCTTGGCAGTCGAAAATAAAACTTCAAAAATAGAGACAATCCAAAATCTGCATCTACGCTGTCCAGCAATTAAAGTGTTTTAAAACTTTGATGGCTGCAAATAGATGGCATCTGTTACTAATGCAAAATAAAGCAGTCCAACGCTTTTACAGCCTGCTCAGGTCTGATAAATGTCTGCTGGGGACATGCACAGAAAAACAGGGCAATAAAGCCTTGTGATAAAAAATAATGAAAATGTCCAACAACATAACAAGTCATTGAATTAAACAGGGGTATAAACAACTAAAAGATATATTTTATAAGCAATATGGTGTTAATGTTTTTAAACTGGTATTTCTGAATGTGTTCGTCTCTGTCCAGGTGTTCGCATCGATGAGGTGAGCGGGGATGCATATGATTAAAGCTCTTTATATTCTGAGCACTCCTCACAACAGGAGCATCCACAGCTCCAAACTCCTTTTTTCTCACCAGGGGAACTGTGTTTTTGTAATGCAGCTCATAAACATGTGTGCTGGCATGTAAATAAATAACTCGAGGAGGCAAATAAAGCAAAAGTAAATTTAAGAGACTAAAATACAACACAGGGATAACTGGAAAAAGCAGTTTTAGCGCTAACATGCGATGTTGACGAAGAAATTAAACAGGTTGGGGATGAATCTGAGGTGTCAGGGGGATGGAGATTTGCTTCAAACACTTACCAAGCTACTCTTACTAACTGCTCTAAACGCTCCACCTACATGAGTAGATCTTTATAGATCCTGGCAGAGGGAGCTTTTACCCAAATTGGAGTGAAGAGGATGTTGACTTGCACTTCAAAGCAGGTTTTTTTTTTTTTTTGGGGCTGTTAAGTGTTGCATTAGGGTTTTTTTTCCAGAGGAGGCAAAGAAGAGTCATTTCAACAAAAGCACTCAGAATAGGATGATTAGAAGCTGGTAGTCTAATAAAATGCCTCTTGTTAAGCTGACCACAAAGCTCCAGCGAGGGTTTCTTTAACTCACTACGAAGCAGACTGAAATTAATACAAATAACCACATAAGACCCACAAAAGCAGATAAAGTCATGAGGAAGAGGGCTGACTATTGGTTATACCAATGTCGCTGAGTCAGTGTTAGACACAGTGCAGCATACTCACAGGAAACGCCTTGTTTTGCATTCCCCTTTAAAAAATAATCACAGTGAGTTATAGTTAGAGACCTAAAAGGAAGCAGAATGGAGATAATCAGTACTGCTTTGTCCATATACATGGACAGTGCTCAGCATAAATGAGTACACCCCTTCAGAGTTGTCAGAAAACCTTTAGTTTCCTTTCAAAATCAACATTTTCTATGTCAGACAATACAATGAAATACTCCCCCAAATGTAGGCCATTGATTACAAACAAGATTTTTTTAGTTGCATACAAAAAAGATTTTTTTCAATTTAAAATCAGGATGCAAAAATGAGTACACCCCAATCAAAGTTCTGGGAGTAAAGCTAAATTTTAGTCATCATATCACCCTTATTTTCATCTTATGGTAAATAAAATGTTGTGTTTAAGTCCGCTTTGTCAAAACTTTGGAAATTGTACTTTTGCTCATCTAGATATTGAGTAATACATCACTTTTAATAGGGGGTGTACTGACTTATGCTGAGCACTGTACATCACCATGATCAACTCAAACAGGAAGTTCCTCACAGGAGGTTAAGTTTAGCCAGCACCAGCAGTAACCTCTGGAGGTGAAAATACAGCCAATGCAGAAGTGCAAAAAAAACGCAGCTCCTCCTGGGATTTAATTTCCAGCCACTTGGTTGAATCACTGTCAGCTTTTCCCAGAGTTTACTGGGCGAGGTAGTAATGAGAAAACTTATTATTTTTTGGTAACTGAGTACCTGTCAGTCACCAGCTGCTCTAACCAGACATCCAGTTGAGGGATCTGCAAGTCTGCCATGTCCCACAAACTCTGACTACTTTAGTTTAATAACTTAAAAGCTCTGGTCAGCCACCGTCACTTAAACACAATGGAAATTCATCTTACTGGCAGCAACTTATTTAGACACAGGTCTGCAGAAAAACATCTCTGTGATGTCTACCATTGGTTTTTTAAAAGACACTTTGAATCCCAACAATGAAGGCACTATTGGAAGTGCTGACTCAACCAAACTTTTGATCAACCACGGAATAGGCAAAGAGACAGAGCTGTCGCGGGCTTATAGCCAAGCAAACAGCTGGGGGTGAATATAGGCATAGGGCCGATCCATTCAAGTATCGGTATCGGGTTGCGATACCAACGTGATTCATGGATCGGGAATATCTGATCCAACCTGCGAAAATTTCCGATCCATCAGTCATGTCTTTGCTTTAACTTTGTCTGCTGAAATGACTGCACTAGCGGTTCTTGCCAGTCAGTCTGCTAGCCAGCTGCAAACTGAGCAATACATTTTCTGAATGGGGGCATGTCTCAATGAGACACAGAGATGAGACACACCCCGGTTCAGGAAGTCATATGTACTTATACTTACCTGTGGAGAGGAGTTTATTACAGTCTCATATGAAATGAACAATAATGATAATAATGATGGTAAAGCTAACAGAGCTCTTGAATCAGAATAGTATTGGTATCGGCAGATATCAAAATTCATCAATCAAGATCAAATCGGATTTGAAAAAATGTGGATCAGTTCATCCCTAAGTGAATACCCTTCATGCTATCTGATGTGCTTTTCGAGCTACAATTTGAAAAAAAAAAAGCATTAAAGAACTTTTGAGGAGAGATGTGATGATGTAAGTAAAACAAACCAAACTTTCCAGGTTTGTGTAAGAGTCTGTGCAGATCAGCTCGGTGCAGATTAGATTACACACACACACACACACACACACACACACACATACCTGGTCAGGTCTCATTGTGAGGGTGTGTTGGTGTGTTTATTTGTGACCATGCATTTAGGCATATAGCAGCGTGTGTGCATGTGGGTGTGTGTGTGAGAGCTTTGCCACTAGGAAGTGCGTGTGTGTTAAGCCCTGGCTTGACTTCTTAGCTGGCTGTGTGAGTCATCTGGCCATGCAGCCAGGCATTTCTAGAGCTTGCAGAAGCCGCAAAGCCAGACAGGCTGAGCCAAGGCTTTCTCTGGTTAGAGGGTATCAAACACACACACACACATACACACACACGAATCATATATATCCAAGATATTGTCACTCTTCATCTTTTCTCCCATTCATCTCTTCTCCTCTCCTCATCCTTTCCCTTCTCCTCTCCCTCTCCTCCTGTCCACACCTTTGCTCTGCCTGTACCAAATAATTAGCAAACAAAGCAGATACACCACCCGCTTCCTCCCAGACTCATTTGGACACACAGCAGTGTTTGTGATGATGCAGTGCCACTTCATTTTGCCGTGTTGTTTGGTCTGTCTGCCGCAGAACAAGTGGGTATGTGATATAGAAATGGATTGGGGTGGAAACAGGGAGCGTAGAAAAAGGACAGGATTTTGTGTGCAGGGGGGGTGTTCGAGTGTGTGTGTGTGTCTGATTGCTCAGAAACACAGGCTTTTGATCAATAGCTTCTAAACAGCTCACCTCTTCTTCAGTATCAAACTCTGTGACTCATCTGCACTCACTCACATGTTAAAAAAAAAAAAAAAACACAAGCAAACGCAGCTTTCATCCTTGATACACAAAGAGAACGCTATGGAGTTTTCTGACTGAGAGATGTCTGTTTGTGTTTATATTCTGTGTGTTTGATTCATATGCATACAGAGATTTCCCCCTCTAGGTACTCTGCGCATCAGATAATAACCCCTCCACTCCTTTTTTATCACATCAGCTGGTGTAAAAAGCAGGAGGAAAGCAGCATTGTGTCCTCTAACCTCGCATGATGTAGTTTTTAGTGACTGAACACAGAGCAGCAAAGAGAAAAGGGATAGTGAGATATGGAGAAAGATTGGTGGTCTCTGATCGGTTGTGCAGTCTGTTCCATCCCTTTAATTAGTCCCATTGGAATGTCCTCGCCGCTCCATCCAGCTGATCAGCCTCCCCTCTATATATTTCCAGTTTGTGTTTGTGTGTGTGTGTGTGTGCATGTGGCAGTGTGCGTGTCTGTATGCATCACAGCCAAAGCCGTATGGACATCTCATGGGCATATTAAGATCCCCATGGTGGAGGAGAAAAATGTAGTTGAAAAGCATCAATATTCAAGGAGTTTTCATTCCCTGAAATATCTGCCATTTGGAGACCTGGATGCCTGTAATGTCACTGTCAACTGCAGCTATTAGCATGAACCAAACTTGAAGAAGATATGAAGCTTTATTGCATTGAAGGGTTTGGTTTTGATTTGTGTAAAGGAGTTAACTATTGTGCCACCATTACATTACTGTTAGTTTGGGTTAAAAAAATGTCATTGTCAGTGAAAGTATCAAGGATGTACTAGATGTTTAAATATGTCAATTTCACTCCCTCAACACATATCTGGATTCTTTACAGCCATTTAATAATTAAGTCTAGACGCTTCCTCAGTGTAATGCTGCAGTGCTGTTCTTTCTGATGTACCAAGGCCACAACACAGAAAAAAATATGGTCATCTAGAGGAATGTTTCTTACTTCAAGTCAGAAATAAAACACGGTCTTTATCTACTATGGTTTCTCTAATTCCTGAGATTCCAAATGAAAGGGCATTGAATATGAGTGTCTGTAGAGTAGAGGGCCAAACTGCACTTTTCCAACACTAGACACATGATTAATCCACTGAGCTCCCAACTGCATCCTCTTCTTGTGAAATGTCTTACTCAACTTGCTCTCTAATTGAAATGTTCTTCTAATGTATTCCCAGCTTTGATAAATTAGGCCAGTAAGGTAAAAGTAGCAAAACTTGGCCAACTTCAAATGTTAAACTATCATCGACTCAGCAGATGGTTGCTGCTCTGTCACTGACATACACTAGTACAAAATTTCTAGATGCATTATAGTTTCTATTTACTTACTGCCTTGTTTTCATCAAGAAAAAGGGTCGCTGATGAGTGCTATGACAAAAACATTTTATCATTGTAACACTTATGATTAAAAACTCATCTTTTCTTGCCCATATAGAACTGCATCAGACATCAGTTTGGTAGCCCTGCCAATATGGAGGTGAAACAGCTCCTGAATCATCTCTATAGCCAACTTACTGAGAAAACACATCCACGACAGCTGTAAATTTTTACATGATAAAAAGTGCCATATCCTTACATCAACACAGGTCCTGAAAGACACAAGTGGCCAGTTAGTAATGAGTAATGAGTAATGCTGCAGCCTCTAAGTGCAAACACCATTCAAATGTTGCTCAGTGCTTTCTTTTCAAACTGTTGTTGCAAATGTACCCAAAATATTGTGATATAATTTTGAGACTATTTCACCCACCACTTTTGCATAGGCATGAATGCAAAACCAGTCCCACTCCTCTAGTGTCCCTTTCCCCCTGTGTAATTACCAACTGCTCTGTTGTTGGTTGCAAAAACAAACACAAATGCTCCAAAACAGTGTTTTAAAAAAGTGGTTCCCTATGGTTTTTTAATACAATGTCCCAGCTGCAGGGTGCTAGTTTGTTTATTTGTGCTAATCACTTCACCTCGGACAGCTTCAACAGTGAGGGACGACCTCATTAAGTTTCAAAGAAAGCAGGAATAATACCCAAATTTGATCTTACCGCTCAGAAACATGCTGTTGTAAACATGGCTGCAACTCTTCACATGAACTGACCCACCATGAACATGAACAAAGTCAGCAATCAGACTTGTTTGTCGTCATCTTTTATGAAAAATATGACGTTAAACTCATACTGTTGATTACAGTATATTAACACAGATGTATTTGCAAAATGAAAAAAAAAAAATTAATGACTTATTATATCACTTTTTCCATCATTAGTGTCCGATCTGACCTGATTTGACTATAAATACAAAACTTTAAAAAACAAAGTGCAATGCCTGGCCCTGTGTCTCTTTTTTATCATATCTACTGTTTTGTCATTGCTTGTGAAATCATCATTTTGTGGTCTTATCATACTCATGATGCTCATAATCGGTTATTTTTGGCAAGAGTCTTTGTTAGACCATGGTTATAAATAGTAGAGGCAATAAATTGAAGATTGGCTTATTTGTCAGCCATCAAATTTATCCAAAACTGTCCAATCAATCTGTTACCTGACAGTCTCAAAACTATTTTCACCCCTCTTCTACTCGCCCCGCCACTATCTGTGTTAGAGCAACAGCTGTGTCTTTTTTTCCTCTCTGAGAATTTAAAAAAGGTGAATCCCCGTCCCCTGTGGTGTGGCACCGTCACTAAGGTCATTGGTATACTTTCATACCAGCTCGCTGTGCTATTCAAAGTCGCAGTATCAAAGGAAAATGGAAGATATTGTCTGATATTGTCAACAGGCAGGAACAATAAAGGAGAGGACACTGAGAGGAGAGAAAGGAAAGATGAAAGGTAAGGAGACAAGAGCACAGAAGCAAGAGAGGAACAAAAGCAAACAATACAAGAATGAGGGTGTGGGTGGATGACAAAGGTCCTCTGCAAGTCTATGGAGGGACTGCACTTGGATGTCTTGGTACCGTGTGGTCATGAATAATTTGGCTGGAACAGGAGTGGTGGTGTTGTGTTCAGAGATTATGAATAGCATTTACTCAAGTACTGTATTTAAGTAAACATTTTGGGTACTTAATCCAATATTGATTGAAACCTCATTTACTTTACTGTGGTGAATAAAAGACTTGTATGGAAAGCCTGTATGATAACGCTGTTTGTGTGATCAGCAGTATAAAGTCAGTCATAGATTTGTACCTACAGGTTTTGGGTCACATACTGTTTACCCTTCCTGTTGTTTTCTACATGACTTAAAAGGGATATTCCCAGCAGAAAATGTATGATTATTACTTCATGGAAATGCAATCAGATCAAGACACAAAGAACTGCCGCATCTGCAGTGCACATACAAGATACACAAGAACTCTAAATGCATATCCATACAGTAATGATCATAAATTTTCTTCCTTGAGTTGCAAAACTCCACTGCACTCAGTGATTGACTCGTCAGGGCTCTCCCACAAATAAGTTGTGTTTAATCTCTTTGCTAAAGAAATTAGGCAAAGCTAAAAAGATGTTTGTTGGCTATTACTATGGCTGTGACCATATATGTACTGTTGATGAAGTTAGGTGCTGTTCTGAGCATTATTTGTGGCTATAGAGTGGCTTTTTGGTTGAGGTCTGCACATGGAGTGGTAGACCACTGTGTGTTGCAATCGTGTGGTCATTAATAAAGTTGGTATAACTAAAGAAGCAAGCAGTCTGCAACATTCATCTCTCGAGGGGGTGTCTAACTCAGAGTTCAAGTGTGTTTGACCATAAATCAAAAACCAAACTGTGTATCAGTGAACAGTTTTGCTTGGACTAGGGATGGGATAAAATATCCTTGACCTCAAATGTGTGATTCAACTATATTTAATTGAAAAACTGCAGCACTTTTTACAGTTTTCCTGCCAGTTTGACTCACTGAGTCATCATGAGTCCTCGCAGTGGCACTTGAGACATGAATGAGGGTAATGTGAACAGCAGTTAAATGGCTTAACTTAAGGAGAAGTTGACAGAGGGGTAATGACAGACAGTGGTGTAAGGAAGTTAAGAGATGCACTTTTGGTTTTAGGTTGCTCCAGCTCTTAATGCTGGGGGAGAGGAGAGATGGAGTATGCATGCACTCAAGTCTGTAAAAAAAGTTGCACCCATCTGCAACGGGTGGACTTCATGGATCATAGAGTGCTAAATGACATTTACTTCCTTTGTCACTGACAACAAGTAGGAAGTGTATTCCTAAATGTTACAAACCAGCGCAGACATTTTACTGAAGGCTATGGAGGGAAAGGAGCTGACTGAAAAAGACAAGGCGATCATTATCAACCTCTCTGCAGAGACATCTATGGCTGTGCCAGTTACAGTCCCACTGGTTTAAACAAAACAAGGTCCCTATGATTTAAAGTGTAGGCGTAACAAAAAGCTCTCTAAAAGAGATTGTTTTTTTTCTTTCCAGATCTTATGATTGTTTTTATTTTTATAAATTAAAATTTAAGACTATAAACATAAAGATTGATTAATTACAGCAAAATAAAGCATAGTGAATTGATTATGGGGCACTTTTTATTCTTCAGTTAACCAGATATCATCATACATTATTCGTAGACTGTCATGCAGTAGATTAAATATCAAGAAATCATTGTAGCTTTATGTTATTGTTATCCTGTGCCACAAATCCTATACTGTGTCCTAATATACTGTCTTGTCATAAGTTACCACATGAACACACGCAATAGTAGGACTGGGCGATATGGCCTCAAATCAATATCATGATATATTGAGCAGACTTCGATAACAATAAATGGACGATAACTACTCCACAAGCTGCTCAGCCCCTCCCTTATTAACTTCGTCTATTTCAGCCGCCGCTCCAGCTGCTACAACTTTTGAACCATCCTCCATCTCCTCACCTGTCTTTCCCTCTTTGTTATGGACTGGATGGGGTGGAGTCACATCTCTGACATAGAACAGTGTTTTTAAGGGACATGAGACCATAGCCTACCTACACACATCCAAAACCAACTTTAATTTATTTATTTATTTATTTTGGACACTGAATATGGGTGTCAAATGGAAAAAAGTATGTCGGTTAGTGTCGTAAATTTCGGTATCGGAAATTTTCGGTTCATCGCCCAGCCCTACACAGGAGGATACACAGTACCTGGTAACAGTAACTCAGTGAAGGCTGTTAGTTGGCCATTGGTCAGAACAGAAACCAGGAAGGACATTCATGCTATAATAAGCCATGAAAAGCTACACACACTGTATCTGTGTAATGTAAATGTATAGTCTTCAGAGTGGTAGAATCCATGCAATGTCCGCAGCAGGGTAGGAGCGCGATAATACAGCAATTTGTCAGAGGAAATCTGTGTGTTTTTGAGTCCTAATGGTTTGGTTTGTAGCCAGAGTTAGGACTGCGCCTCTCCAAACCTAATTGCAACCTCAGGAGATTTCGGCTTGATTGGGCCTCCCTGATCCTGCCAGGAGCATGTGTATCTATGTGTGTGTATAGAAATACAAGTGTGTGTGTTTCATGTGTGTTTCATTAATGGAATAGAAAGTTTGCCCTTTGTGGATAAATTCCCTCCATGTGACCCGTGGAGAAAGCCTGTGGCTCCAAATTAAGCCTCCAATTTAACAAGCATTGTGGAAACTCAGTACTGTGTGTGAGTGTGTGTGTGTGTTAGGGTGTCAGGGGGAGAATAGGGAGGTAGATTGAAAGAATAAGGGAGAGAAAATGAGACGTTGGAGGCTTTTGGCTCCCTCCTTGTCCATTCCCTGGCCTCTTATAAGTCGTTGACTAGTTAACTGTATTGTGTGACTCCGGCAGAGCGCACATCACAGACCTGACATTCACATCTTTCAAATCAGCTTCTGCCTGCTACCGCTCCAACATGTGTGCCCTATCCCCTCTTTTTTCTCCCCTCTTTTGCTCTGCCGCTCGCCGTGCTAACCTGAAGAACTCATTGAACCGCAAGGTAGGATCCTAATGTCACTACAAATCCATCGTCCCCAAATGACACAGCCTCCCTGTATAACAACCCCAGGTCAGACACACAAAAAAAGACACACACACTTACAGAAACAACACACGGCTGCAGAGTCTGTCTGCTGACAGTGCACATCCAGGTGGTAAACGCAGTTATGTCTGAGCCCTTTCTCTCGCACACAAGTCCGAAAGCATCAGACAATAAAGCAGAAACGGCCCTCACCTACAGGCACAGGCTACACCATAAGCTGACTGAACACTGCGAAAATAACATCAAAGTCCTTCTCTCTAAAGAATACATAGCAGAACACTTTCATATTTATCTATTACATTTTGACTACACTTCAATTTTCAGCAAGGTTCGTGGGCAATAACAGAAAAACACTTTGAACTAAATAAACAAATGCAAAGCAGGGATCTCTCTGAGCTTTGGAATATAGGAAATGTATTAAAGCAAAAATGCAAATGGCCTCCACATGCACTCGCTGAGAGTGGATAGCGTCAGGCTTGGAGGAATGCTGAGGAAAAAAATAATCCAGGGGGAGAGAAATGGCTTTAATTCAATTTCAATCCAGGCTTTTTGACTTTTGTAGCCTCTTGGCTGGGATTATTCAATTGCTATATGAGCGAAGTGGAAATCCATCCGGCGCTATAAGCCTTTGTTGACAAATGTAGCTGTTGTTCTGAAGCAGCGAGAACAACACTTAAAACTGAAACATTTTCACACCAAAGCTCACACGAAAATTCAGGACAAGTTTTATGAGGAGTTGAGGCAGTTCAGTAAAAGCCTCATCAGACACAGTGGGACTGTAAGAAACCACTTAGCTCAGACACTTGAAGAAAACTACCTAAACTAAACAAAGGGGGTCTACTATTCTAGAGGAGTTCAATAGAAGACTGATGTTTTTCTCTCAGATGGCACTTTCGCTTTTCTCCAATGCTCTCAGCTGGTTTATTTCAGTTGTGAACCTCTGCTCTGCCAGAGTGCGTAGCTTTGAACAATGGTTGATTCTGTTAGAGAAATTTCAAATATCGCATCGTCCGGGAGCAACAGACATCTTTTTTCATGAAGGAACTGTACTCGTGTTATTATCATTTATCGTCTGAGAAGGAAAAATAGAGATGGAGTCAAGATTTATGTCAAAAAGCAGGTTTTTAACATTAGTTTTATGTAGATATCTAGAAACTAGAATTCTGACCTTCCCTAAAATTGTGTTAAAATTTTCATTTTGTGAAGAGAAAATACACAGTGGGTTAGTGAAGCCAGTTATTTAACTTTGAGCATCAGTGAACCATAGTTTTTAAATCCAGCACTTAGCCTCTAATGTATTCATTGAATTGAATAGTTATTTATTTATCAAATTTCCCTTTAGGGGTTAAAAAAAGTTATTCTTTGTAATCTTCCTCTTATTATTATTATTATTATTATTATTATTATTATTATTATTATTATTATTATTACTATTATTATTATTATTATTATTATTATTATTATTATTATTATTATTATTATTATTATTATTATCCTTCTTATTATAGTTATTATTATTATTATTATGTTCTTTCCCTCACAATGTTTTCCCTTCTTTTTTTTCCCAAAAGGGTGAGGAAAACATTACAGTGGAGTAGGTTGAAGCACAGAGAAGGTTGGGGGAAATACCCAAAAAGCATAGCTGTAATGGGCTTCAGGAAATTCTATGTTCCATAACAAAACTATGAACAAAACTTTGACAACAAGTCTTTTGACTCAACCTTACATCCCGACTCATTACTGGTAGTGAGCATCAAATGTTTATCATAGGTCTCTGGGATTGGTCTCCTTTACATAGTGTAAGTGTTTTGACCACACATGTTAAGAGACAATATGATTGAGATTGCCAGATTCAATCGTCTTCCATTAAATAACCTCTGAAAAGATCCTTGGAAAGATGAGACAATCACAGCCTGCTCGGAGGAAACCCCTCACATGGCCTGCAGAGATTATGATCTGAAAGAGCCAATGTGGAGACACAGACACACACAGGACTCTAAGAGGCTTTCCCTCTAGGACAGCACTAAGATACTCTGAAACCAACACCTGCCACTAACACACACACACACACACATTCACACACACTTTCCTAAAAGCAAACAGTGAGCACTCAGACAGCTCCGTAGCCGTCTTGCATGCAATATTTTGCTAAAATCAGCCATCTCAGGTTAAGAGTGTAGCTTGAGTCTTTGGGGAGCCCCAGGAACGGTAAAAGAAAACCTCATCCTGAGGTGGATTCATTCATGTGTGTCGGTGGAGGACTTCCAAGGCTGCCGGTCAAAGTTCACAGGGAAAAAAAGTGCTTGAAAAGATGTTGAGAAAAAAAATGTGAAATTATGTTGTTTTTTTTCTTTCGTCGATTATAAATTACTGTGCATTGTTTTCATTTGTGGTGCTAGTTGTCTTTAATCTCCTCATCACAACTGCATGTCTTTAGCTCATTGCTGTCTCTGCTCTCTCTCTCTCTCTCTCTGTCTCTCTCTCTCTCTCTAGCTTACATATACAGGCGCAGAGGTCGGTGTGATATCTGTAATTTAAAGTAAACAGAAAGACACTTTGACTTTTTTATATGTATACATCTGTGAGAGGAAAAAATGATATGCTGTTGGGTAAACAAATATCGCCACACTTTTCTCTATTGATGTTTTCAAACAGCCATAGGTAAGTAAATGAGAGGCAGCAGTTAATGATTTGTGTCTGAGCCGCTCAGATACACTTTCTCCTCACTCATGTGAAAACTCTTAGTGGGAAAAAGAGGAGGCTGGGGGATGCTTTAAAGGTAAAGGTGTGCATAAAGATAGGGAGAAGACTTTGCAGGGTTCACAACAGGGCGTCACACTGATGGCTTCAGCCCTCTCTGGTCTCATTCTGTAACTCCTATAAACACCCTGCTCAGACCTATTTCTCTGCCCTAAATGCATAATTTTGTAAATGAAGCATCTGCTTGGGTGGTCCCAGTGGGCCCATGTGTAACAGGCTGTGGCACACACACACACACACAGACACACACACACACACGCATGCACACAGAGGGAGCTGCATCCACACTATTACACAAAAATAGTTTTGCTAACAGTCCTTAAAAATATGCACCTCTGTGGATGTGTCTTTAAGGGACAGGGCAGCAGTGTACAAGTTTAGTTAAACATAAAATTAGAAGTTGCAGAGGGATATTTACAGCAATGTCAAATGAAAACCTGATTTCGGCATGGACAAGGAATCAGGGGGAAAATGGTTGCTGTGGACTTAAACAAATAGTGTCTTGAGGTTTTGCTGAATAGGGATGGGCCTTTATCAAAAGTGCATTGTTCTGTACGAGTCTGCTGCTGCTGCAGCTGCACAGATAAACGGCACACTCTGAGCTGTCAGACAAATAACAAGCTGGGAATACTGCAAAGAATCAGTTGTCGATATTTATTTGCACAGCATCACCGTACACATGAAGTCACTGTTTCTATAGTAACATAATCCTCTGTGTATCAGTATGACAATAGGAATTAAACATGATTGTGGCAGAAGGCTGGTGTGGAACCATATACATAAGAAAGTGCTTCCAGGGCGGTAGAGTACAGTCAAAACAGCTGTTTTATTGTAGATGGAGTCAGTGCTTTTTTTCCTTTTTATTTCACCAAAGAATTCAAAACAGCTGCAACTGCTTATTCGTGTTTTTGTGCATGGGTGTGTTAATTAATCTATTCAGGTCTACAAAATGAAGATAAAAATAAAGGATGCTACACTTCTTGATAAAAACAAACAGCATAGTGCACAAGGACTTCACCTCTTCACCTCTTCCACACACATACTTTCTCATTGTTTCCCCTGCTGCTCATCACTTACACATGCCGTTATCATACAGGTAACTGTGTGTGTGTGTGTGTGTGTGTGTGTGTGTGTGTGTGTGTGTGTGTGATTTTGTACACATTCAAACACACTAGTTAGAAACCTGCAGCCACACATAGCAGTGCAGTAATGGTGTATAACTCATCCTAATGATGCAACAGTGAAGCAGCAGGTAAGGTCAGCATTAGATACTGTGGTGGAAGGTGAACTGCCTGGGCATACAGTACACACACACACACACACACACACACACACACACACACACACACACACACACACACACACACACACACACACTCTCCACTTCTTTACTTGCAAGCTATCATTTCTTCTTGTGTCCTTTTTCTCCCTCCATCCCTCCCTCCCCCCTTTCTCGGTCCCTTAATCCCTTGTTCTCATGGTGATATTGTTGGAGGTCAGTCGACACCCTGAGGAAGCAGGCTGATGAATAGATCTATGATCACTGGCTGTAATTACAGTGTCAAATGAACTGTTAGGTGTCCTGTATGTGCAGGCTCTATCCGTGTGTGTTCCTTCATATGTGCGAGTCAGCTCCCCACAGATGCGCTTGAAATATCAGCATACACAACAACAGATGGGCCATAGTTACACCCACTAAGACACATGCAAATCCACCAAAAATCCAAAAATGTAAATTAACATTTATCATTATCTACAGGAACAAAAAATAAAAAAGTTTTTTGTGTCTGCAAAGGCTATAGGTAGGTTAGCGTCTAAACATTTACCCACGATACATCCAGTCATAGCAGAGCAAATACAACACAGCAGGACCCTCTTCACACTGCCAGTCAGTCTGGGAAATGTGGAGTTTTGGCACACACCTCCTCACACTCGTATCCCCCCACACACACACACACGCACACTCACACAGTAACTCCCATCACAAGTTATTGCCAACATTTCAGGATGAGCTATTGACTTGTGCACACATCCCTCCGTCAGAGATGATAATTGCGAGCTGCAGCCACTGGGGCAGGCAGATCAGCAGCTGGGCTGGCAAGAATAAGAGGCAGACAGACGGACAAACAGTGTTTGCTTTTCCTGCTGGGTGAAATTATGTCTCTTTTTGTTTCTGTCTCACTCATGGAGAGGAAAAGGAAAAACAGCTCTGGAATCTGGTCCTATTTACTCTTTAACATGATCAAATCTGACTAATGTAAGGCTCGAATCCACAGGTATGAGGTCTTTATCAAACCTGCTCTAACTGGAATTATGGCAAGCAGTACACACACCACTTGAGACCAACATGCTATCTCTTTTAGCTCTGTTTTTGGTCTCATAAAGCTCCAGGAGATATTATGTGCCTTTGCAGCTAAAACATGTCTCATAATTCTCACCAGCTACTTGCATTCTGTGTCGTCTGCTTCAGTGGGGTTTGTTGTAAGGTTGGTTAGGGGTGATTTTCACCCCCCCATAAAACCTATGCACTATGGCTGTCGGATATTATGTTCGAATATTCATTCTTAAAATAACACATAGGCTTGAACAACTATCTACCTAACATAATTTGCATATAACTCTATCTCGCTCAGCATTTTTTCTGTCTCCCGTGTTTGCCCAGAATCAAAAAGTTTGTTGGAGTCCAGACCACTCTCTCTGAGTTTGGCTCCAAACATCCCACCATATCTCTCTGCATGTGCCACGGATGGTTTTTGTTGAGTCTCACTGCAGGTGCAGCTCCTGTGACCTGTCCCTGACCTGTCGTTACAGTGCACTTACTCGCAAAGCAGCCGCTGTTTTTTTTTTTTTTTTTTTTTTTTTTCCACACTCTGATTTTTCCCACTGTTTATTTGATATTCAAATTTTCACATTCAAATCACTTTTTTTTTTTTTTTTAATATTCGTTATTTGAATTTAGAATACTCGTTGACAGCCCCACTATGCACCTATCTTCACCTGTTGCTTATTTAATAAAAGTAACTTGATATTGGCTCCTCAGGATTTGACTGCTTCCTATATGGAAGGAATACAACCTGATAATGTAGATAATCTGCCACTGCAAGTGAATCATTTATATTTTTTTGCCCCCCGCCTCCATGTACCTGCAGGTCACACCTACGCAAACATAGACAAACATGCAATTATGCATGCACACCTCTGTTTACAGGGATGCATTACATGCACAACATGAAAACATTTGCATCGCCAGAGCAGGTTACCTCATCAAATTCAGGACTGCATGAGGATGAATAATAAACATGGATACACATTCCTGTCACGTGTCTCTCTGTACGTCTTAAGAGTGTGTGCATGTGTGTGTCTGAGTATCTATGCATGAGTATCACAAAAAGACAAGATAGCCGGTGTGTGTTTGTGCGTGTCTCGTTGGTATTCTGTAGTGACTTGTTGTGAGTGTGGTTTCCCGCAATTCTTATCAGACTTGTGATCACAGGAAACCGGTCCCCTGAAATGGAACACATCCCTCCCTCGCTGTGCCAGGGATGCACACACACACACACGCGCGCACGCACTAACAAAGTCACACACACACTAACAAAGTCTCACACACACAATCATCCCTGTGTTTCTCTGCTCATGATTCCCTTCCTTTAGCCTAATTCGATCCTCAACTTATAACCCATCCTTGAAACGCAGGCAGCCAAGAACATGAATGTAATTTGGACATTGTGAGGTGAGTATGTTTGTCTCATGAATACAGAGTTTTTTTCCAGCTCTCAACAAGCAGAGGCATTCAGCCAGGGGACAGATAACACAACTGCTGGCTTAGAAAAAAAACAAAACAAAACAAAAGGGGGAAAACATCAGCTAATACAGAGTACCATGGAGAAGACATGTAATATTCAGTGGGAAAGTAAAGAGGTCGACATTTTGAAGATTGGTGAGTGGGAGGAATGACGGTTAGGAGTAGGGGGGGAAAAAAAGCAAATGGCTGCCAGTTTCTACTTGACTTAGCCTCTTTCACCCTGCAGTTTATTTCCTGACACTCCGGAAACGGTCTAATTGACAAGCCAGTGATGTAGTGTAGTAACTCAAAGCACATAAGCTGTGTACTCACTTTAAAGCGACACAGCACTTCAGTAGCAGCGAGGTAGATCTGCATGCTGATATGCCGAGGAATGCATCACACAGAGCAGTTCATGCAGAGGTAAAAAAGTGACGAGAAAAATACCCAGATGAGAAGAAACCCTGTTCAAAAAATCTGGCTTTGCCTCAGCCTGGGAAAATGTGTCCCAGTTAGCATCCTGCTGCTCAGTTTACACGCAAAGCAGTGTGCACCTTCACTCAAACACACACACACACACACACATTCTCAAGCTGCTAATGAACAGGCTGCTTTTTCACCTGGGATTTCTCACCCTATATGTTTTCTCTATCTCCCTACCTTCACTACACACCTCCTCTTCTTCCTCCTGCAGTCTCCTGACAGCTTCTCATCTCCTGGGTGTAGACGTTTGACATGTGTCACTCAGGCTGGCACACACACACAGTCACACCTCTACACAAACCGTACAACTACACTTCGTAATGGAAAGTAATTAAAGCAATTTGTGGTCTCCTATTTCTGTGAAAGGAACCTGTGATCTAAGGTAGTCTACAGCCAGTGAATACATTAGCACCATCCAGTGTCACACCTCTTGTAAGTGACTGTGCCGACGCATCTGCATTTGCAAACTGGAGGAACAATTAAATCTATAATTCTCCGACATCACAGGCTCTTGGAAATGTGTTAATCCAAGCAATGTATTCATATTATTCAAACTCAAGCTTGACAAACACAACCCTTCTTATTCAAATATTAGTCTCACATCCTCTTAATAAAATTTGCATGAATTCCTCTTCAGAATACTCAAAGCTGTGACTTCCCCGTCTTCGGATGACTCCTTAAAAGACAGAGATACATTTAATATCACACCAGTTTAACTTTGTGATGTGTGATGTGTGTGGTATTTGAAGCAACTAGTTATTTCTCAGCCTTTGTTGCAGGTCACAGTTGTGTTTCATCAAAGACTCCCAGCTGCAAGCCTCAGAGTCAAAGAGCCCGACATTTTGAGGCAGACTTCAAACAGATCATTTTTAGTCAATCATATAAGCTGTTTGTACTCGGGGGCGTTGTTCAAGCCAGGTTGAGAACCTTTGAAAATTATCTAGTGCATGCAGATGTGTTGTAACAGAAATAGAGATTACAGAGAAAGAGAAGTGGAAACAGAAAGGATCATCATCAGTGGTGTCAAAACAAAGTCAAACCTGGTGATAATGTGGCTGTTTGAAACCTGATATTCAGGTCAGTGAGTCTAGATGTGGGGTTAGGGGATTCAAACTGTATCTGTCTTTGCAGTATTTGATCAATTTGTCAAACAAAAAATTGGAAAACTGTTCATAAACTCAGTGTAACATTTAGTTGTTGTCGTCAGATGACTGTAAACTTGCTGCTTGTAATATGATGATGATATCACAAAGTATGAGGCTGAATTGGACTTTCTGGGTCCATTCTTTCTTACTTTTACTTAAACCCTTATCAAGTCTTAGGTGATAAGGTTGTATAGGATGGCAGTAGCTCAGGAGGTAGCACCGTTGTCCAACAACTGGAAGGTTGGCAGTTCGATTCCCCCCTATCCTCAGTCTGTCCGTTGTGTCCTTGGGCAACTCACTTAACCCATCTTGCTCCCAGTGTGTGTCCTCCACTAGTGTATGATTGTAAGTTTTGTGTGGTGGTGGTTGGAGAGGCCATAGCTGTGACTACTAGAGTAGTTTACCACCACCAGGGTGTGACTGTGTGAGTGAATGAATAATGTGCCTTGAGGGTCTCTGATAAAGTGCTTTAAAATCTGATGCATTAGGTGTCAAATCTGGCATTGATTGTTTTAACTTAATTATATACCACAGGCTGTATTAAACTCTGACCAGAAGGACAGCTTCCACAAAGTGAAGCCAAAATGCCTTAGAGCTCCCCCTGGTGACTGGATGCAGTATAGGTCATAAACCAAAGCTCTAGACAGGACATGGAGCAAGCTAGAGAGCCGAAATACACACAAATTAATTGTTCTCACCTATGCTCTCTGTCATGACTGTTTGCGCTTGTTGTGATGATTTGTTCCTTTTTTAAAGCAGTTTTTTTTTGTAGCTATTTCATGCTAAACAAGCTGTGAAAGGATGTGTGAATGCAACATCATGATTGACAGCTCTGTTAACAAATGCAGACTCTTTTCTACCAGATGAGAGTGGAAAAGGGGGAGAGAAAACACTAGCACAAGAATAACTTTACCTTTCATAGTCATGATGTTTCATTGGTGAGTTAAATGTATGCCTTGGTGAGCAGTAGAGATGTTATGTCAGGTTCAGGGTCCACTATCCAGAACACGAGCTCAATCATTGTCCCTATCTATACTACACTAGATAATCCATACACACAAGTATTAACATGTTAGGCAACAAAAACTTAAACATACAATTGTAATCCTTCGTAAAAGCAGAGTACATAGCTGAAAATTCTTACCTGTGGAGTCTAGTAGCCAGTTTGTAGTCTGATCCAGTTACAAATCTTTGATATCTTGGCCTTTAACCAAAGCAAAGACAAGTAATGCCGCAGTTTCTTAGAAATCAAGGGGTCTTATCAACAGAGAGGGACCTCCAAAGTTATTTTTAATGCTTTCACAGAGACAGGGATTTGTTTTATTTTACTAGCTCTCACAGTTGTCTTGCACATTCACAGCTCTCTCTCATGTTCTTGTGTGGCTGATAATCGACTGAACGTGTCCTGTTACTTCTCTGCACTAACAGTGATAAGGAAGAGCTTAAACTAAAAGATTGAGCTTCACATTTTGGAAGTATAACGCCAACAGCCCAACTATGAGGGTGGATGATTTACCTGAATTTGAGGCAGAACTTAAAGGGAGATTTATGTTGTTCATTATATATGCGTTTAGTATCTTCTTTTTATGGCAAAGGAGCTACACAAGGCAGCAGACAGCTAAGGGAATTCCCTGAGGTGGGAATAAATGATAGCGCAGCATCTCCCCCTCACTGGTTTTACAACATAGCAGCTGTACTTAGCTGTAGGGTGCTATCTCACAGATAAGACTGCATCAGAAACAGCAGGGGTCTAACAATTAGGTGATCACAGAGATATGAGAATTACAAGACGAGCATAAAAGAGTTTGGAGACGGTTTGGAGAGATGGTGGAGGTTTTATTGGTGGGTGTGGATGTCCATTTGTCCATGATTAAAACTGATCTTTGTTTCACAACAACGCATATCCACAAACAGTGCACATTGCAAAGATAACACCCTACTTGTTTATGCCTGATTACAGGCGGCTGTCTTCTGGCTGTGACAGTAATTCAGATATACACACACGCTAACCGGACATACACATACACAGCGAGTGTCCCACCATCCCTGATAGCATATTGCCAAAATAAACAGCATCAGCCCTGTCAACACAGAGATCTCATACTGTGAGAGAGTGACTCAGATATACACCTGGTCCCCGCACACACCTACACTGATGTAAACACACACACATTCGCACAAACTATCAACACATCAGGCAATCAGAGATGTGCAGGAACACACACAGCGGGGAGAAGAGGATCAGTGGGGTTGTGATGATATAAACACAGATGCATACGCCTGCTCTCACCCCCTCTGTTACACACACACAGACACACACATTCGCACACACACACAGTCAGCCCTGACAGAGATGCAGACTTCTACTGACAGGCTAGAGGACAAGTGATTTCCTGGCAGCCGTCGCCTCCTTCCCTCTTAATCCGGGCTGTAGGGGGCAGGCAGAGCCGACATCTGAGACCAGTGTATGAGATCCTCTCATACCTGACCTTTAACACAGCAAGACCAGAGTAGGTAAAGGTCTACAGCTCCCCAGAGTCTTGCATAGGTTTGATACTTCACACAAGAGCCAGTAAGAGAGAGAGAGAGAGAAGAAAGGGAAGAAACAGTGCAGCGGTACAAATGGAGGGTCCTTGAAAAGAAACCTATCGCAAGGAAAAGTTGGTTTGTGCTTTTTCTTAAGATCACAAATTCAGATAGCTGTTTTTTCTCAATAGAGCTCTGTGCCCACGAGACAATATCAGCAAAAGACTGAAACAGTGAGACCCTTAGTGAGTGAAGATTAGCCTATCAACCGTGTACCCCTGGTTTGAATTTATCTTCATAAACACCAACAAGAAAGAAACAGGCTTTTAACGGGCCGGATCCATCCCAGTAGTTCTGTCCTATTTGAGACTCATTATGTGGTTAAAACAATCACTCCTTTTTTCTCCAAGGAGCAAAATCAGGTTTCCTAAAAGGGGGTAAAGGGTTTCCCCAGTTTCTAAAATCAGAATGAATATGAAATATGAAAGATAGACTTAATAGATAGTCTTGAATGAATGGCCTCAATGAAAGAGCCTTCAACACAAGTTATCATTCACTGTTGAAGCTCTTGTGAAGAGTTTCTTTGGTGTGAATAAAAGAGACTGAAATTCCTATTGATGCATTTTCATGATATTCAAAAGCAAACCAGACCATCAGTGACAAGATTAATGACTTTTACGTTGTCATTTTTAAGGCCTGAAATTGGGGCAAGGGGGTGGGTCTCGGCCAACCAGCTGAAGAAAAGCCTTATTTATTTTTTTATTTTTTTATTTTTTTATTTTTTCTACGATTACAACTTAAGACGCTCACATAAATGATACAGTTGACTGTAAGCAAATACTCATTTGTCCACAGGGGGCGCCAAATTCACACAAACAGAAAGTTTCTTGCGGGAGCTTGAACTGATTTACATTGAGTACGAATTCTTACAAAACAAAGAGGAATAAGTAAAAGTTGCATGAAAAAAAATCATCACTCTTTGAATGTGAACCTTTACCTGACAAGCTTATCGTCTAGAATTCCTGGTTGGAGATTTGAGTTTGCTGGCTAACTTCACAAAATACCTTAACCCAGACAAAGAATAGTAACCCCTGCAGACACATAGCTTTGATAACGACACTTTCGGTTCAGCCAGGTTTCTGTTACTCTTTCACAAACTCACATTTAAGTGGAGTGGATTTTCTTGTTGAACTCTGCTCTGGAGAGTCAAGTGTATTTATCAGTATTTCTTTGGACAGTACTTTTGCTGCCACCCACGGCTGATGTAGACATGAACTCAAATATTTCTATTCAGAGTCTACACCATGTCTCTGAACACGATTTTACTCAATTTTACAATTTTTACTCTCCAGGAAAAGGATTGCACTGACTGTAGTCTGGGAAAGTTGGCGTCAAGTAGCAGTAAGACATTTTTCATGTCCCACTAAAAGCCCACCCACAAACACGGCTCTCCACAGCCGGGAAAAGATAAATAAAGGGCCAGCTTTGACCCATGACACCTGCTACATGGGTCAGCCAGCAAAGGGTGCTACATCCAATGGAGCCAGAGTCAGCAGGGGTAGCTGGGCACCAAGCAGTTTAATCTCCAACAGATTCCCACCACCTGGCTCTAATGGCATCACACCAAAACCAGAAGCCCTTCAATCTGGCACCTCCTACTGTCATGTTGAAGCGGGTTCAACAGGAGCTCTGCTGGAAAAATAGATGGGTTGTTGAATGAAAGAGTCACAACATTTACGGCTGGAAGTGTATCATATTTTTTTAACCTCAATTTCTTTAAGATTTCCTACACACCATCCACTGTATTCCCCAATCAGTCCTGCTGTTGGCTGGATACAGTCAGAGTGAAGGGTGGCCTGCAGGCTACACTGCAGCTTAAGTGTATGTGAATACACAAATGTTTGCCTCAGGGGGGGATTTGCTCTCGGGTCTTTGAATACCAGTTTGCAGTCAGGCTTTTCAAATTGACACAATTCTAAGATTTCCCTTTAGCAATAAAGCATGTGGCTTCCAGTTAAATCTCCCATCTGTTGCACGAGGAGGACTTAGCGTTTTGGCTTGGCTGTCCTCTTCTTTGTTGGCTATGTGAGATACAGAGCTGTTTTATGTCCCTGAATGAAAATGAGGTCAACTGTTTCGGGTTCAACTCGACACAGAAGTTGATCAAGAACAAATATATATGCTTTTTCTAGTTTTAACAAACAAAGAGGAATCGTGTTTGGGGTCGGGATTACATTACAACAAGAACGTGTCACGAAATTTCCTCTAAATCCTTCACTTGTCTTACAAAAACAACGACATGCACTCCAATCCACTGATGTCGTCATTGATGCTTCCGTCTGCTGGAGAACCTTAAAACCATAAAAATTTAATCATAGAACGAGGCAGCAGTGCCGATGAGAAGTCCACACAAGAGAGGGAGAGTTTAGTGCTCTGAAATGAGCCTTCTCACTTCATCGTGGACATCTAAACTTCCCTCTAAAGTCCAGAGATTGTTTTGTCAAAGCAGCAGCCGTTTCCTTAAATGTTTTAATAAGCTTGTCATATTATGTTACACATTTAGTTTTCAGATGTCATATGAAACACACGTCTGCTGATACCATCCTGGCTGTTGAACTGTTCTCACCTTCTACTTAATAATATTCCCACATTGATGACATTTGAGCCGCTTGGTTGCTAATGCTGATGTGACAGACTGCCCTGTGTTCACGCTCCTGCCTCTGAAACATCTGTCTCTGAAGAGGCTGCCTTAGAGCAGTTGTTGAAATCTGGATTTGCCGTATGTGAAGTATGTGCAAAAATTTCGAATATCGGGTTATATCGGCCTGCATCTAAAATCTCCGATATCAGCACTCAGATACAGGCAGTCCATTCCAGACTCCGCTCCAGCACCTCTATCTAGCAGCACCCTGATCCAGCATGTAGAGCCCAAGGAATCACAACAACAGTGTGTACCAAAGTACCAAGGAGTAGGAGTGATGTCGGTCCTGTGGCAGTATTTTTCATTGAAGTCCAAAAAGACTTTGTCATGCAAAAGTTTGTGCTAATATCGGATCAATATTGGTATCAGACAATACTGTAGGATACAATAGCAGTATCATATTGGATGTAAAAAAAAAAAAAAAAAAAGTTGTATGGGGACACCCCTTGCAATAAAGTAAGAATAATGTACATTAGTGACCAAAATTTAACAAGCTTTTTGTGAAATCAAGAGCAATCAATTTTTCTCACTAACCAGTTGTCTTAAATATTTGACTCTGATAAAAACTCCCGAACAATGGTAGTTCATAAATATGCACTAAAGTCAAATTCTAACCAGAGGAGGCTCTCTCAGTTGGACCAAGTGGGAAAACATCCTTCAACATGACTGCTCTCAACAGGGACAAAAACACGAGTGAAGCAGACAAATATCTGCAGGACTTCAGAGCAGTTTCTTCTAAACAGAGACCCTCACAGTTTATCAGAGACACGATAATCTAAGCATCAACACAGAGACAGAAATCAGCTTTCCTGACATTAGCCCATGTGTAGTAGATTTACGAGCCAGGAAAGTACACAAAGCGGTAGTTTATTGAGTTATTTTGAACAATAACACATTGATTTTTTTACCTTGCCTCCCATTTAGTCTAATTTGGCAATCACACTCAGCACACTTTAACAATGATTCACAAGATTTCAGCAGTGCAGGCAGGCAGTTAGGTCTTGTACTTTCACTTTATGAAAATACGCTGACAAAACTGAGTTATTGTTCTTTAAAATTATTGATTTTATTCAATCTGTGATAAATACCCACAGACTTATTTTTTTTAGCTTTTACTAAAAGAAAAAGGCCTCAAACCGACTTTGCAGAATGTTGAGACAGAGCCTTCAAATGTAATCCACTGTCTTTAGACTGTGATTATACTTTTACTGTCAATTTAGAGTGTTTCATTTACCTGAGGTGAACTGGCAAAAAAGAGAGAAGGGAGACAGGAAGAGGTCAGATTACCGTCATCACTAGCTGAAAGCAGAGACCCTGTGATGTGATACTTACAGTATATGTTACTGTAACTGCACAACTTTGGTCTGGGGCTTAATCAACACATTATTATCATAGAGGATCTAAACGGCTCACAGAAAACATCACCAGGTAAGTGAGTGAAAGGGATGGTGTTTTTCAGCCTATTAAAAGCTGAAACTTTGAAAATAACCTTGATTCGGTAAGGTTAACCTTGCTAAGGGTTTCGTGCTGCCACTCCGACATCTCACCATTCCAACGCAGCTCACATGTGGAGTCCGTCATTTAATCCTGAGCGTAGCTGGGCGAGAGCTGTCGGAATGACGGGATGTTTGATAGCATAGTAACATACCGCCACTCCGACAATTAGAGACCAATGTCGGAATGGCGGGATGTCAGAATGGCGGTTGCTAAGTTAGCATAATATTCTTAGCAAGTTAAAAGATAGACACTAAAACCTCTGACTTAAGATTTAAAACAAATTTTAACTTTTCACTTTAGACTGTATCGTCTCTTCACTGCATTTTACACTGCTGCAGAAAAGGGGATAACTTGCAGTACTTACTGAAACCTTAATTTTCTTTACTGGACCAAGTATTTTTGTTGCTAACAGAGAAGATTCACTTCTCCTTGTCGTGGCCTATACAGAATATCTCCTGTTATTGTTGTCATTTTGCTGGCAGGTAATTTTAGCACAGTATTTTTAAACCACTTGCACATCTATTAGCCCGCCAGATCACAAGAAGAAGTGCTGAACACAGTCAAGCAGGCAGACAACATGAGTTAACAGAGTTAAATACCTTCTACTGTATTTGCCAGGCTGCTGCAAAAAAAGAAATGAACTCTAAACACACACACTGCTAGCAAAATGGTGCACCTATTCACCATTGAGGAGAAGCTAATTTTAGCTTAATATCCATATTCTAACACACATACAATACTACTGAGGACTTGTTTACTTACTCAGGGTATGATAGACTGATATATCATTAAACCACAGCCATCTGTGGTTCAGCTCTAAAATGATCAATTCTAACATCTTTTTTTCCTCCAGTTTGAAAGCTGAGGGGAGCAGTCTTCATTAAAATTAGTGCCATTAAGCATATTAGACTCAATTGAGGCGATTTAATTGGAGATAGGTGCAGAAACAGGAGAGGCAGTTATCACTTTCAGCAGCTACACTCCGAATGAATAACACAAACTGCTGTCTGATCCACTCACGCTTCTGTTTGCCCACTCTCCTCCATTTCCTCATTTGGGTGACTAATAATAGTCCACACACTTCCATGAATCATAGTTATTAAGCAGATTGAGAGTGAGAAAAAAAAAATTCTCACCTAAGTCTCCTGGCCGCTTATTTTTCACAGTCTCATTGAGCAGAGAGAAAATTTAAGGGCTCGCACAAAGAACTCGCTCAGTAGACCAACAAAACATGACTCAACATTACAACACCGCTCGGCAAATGAAGAGCTTATATTTGCGCTGTTCTCATCCTCCTCTTGAAAACAGAAGGGCAGAGCAAGAGATAAACCAGATTGCAGTAGATGAAACAAGAAAGAAAGAAGCCAAGAAGCAGCAAAAGAGAAAGAGAGAGAGAGAGACAGGGACAGAGAGAGAGAGGAGGAATAGTTAGTAGGTGGGGACCTTGAAGAGCTTTTGTTTTTTGAACATGATGAGTTAGTGAGGCAGCACTTGGCAGCAGCTTCAAAGCGACAAACTTTAATCAATCTTTACAGCTTGTCCAACAGACTCACACACAAAAAAAGAACGTACGCGTAGAAGCGAGCGAGCGAGCGGATGATAACACACGCTCTACAGTAGACCTTTATGGTGAAAGGGAAAAAGTTTGGCCTCTCGTCTGCGTGGCAAGCTTGAAATAAGAGAGAGTCACGCTTGATACAAAGACTCTGCGTGTGTGTGCGTGCGAGTGTTTGTTAGTGTGTGGCAAATGCTGTTTCTTTAATGAGCTCGGTTTACACACTTCGTTAATTGGCTGGCACAGCAAAGGAGCGTCCAAGATCTACAGACCAGTCTACTAACACACACACACACACACACTCTCAAACAAACACACACACACACATATGTCCACATCTCCATTTCACTGTGCTTATTTATTCATGTATTAGTTAGTTTGTTCCACTAGGTTCACTTGCAGGCTGCTGTAGTAATTGCCACTATATTCTCTGCATTGATTTCCCCTCCGACTGCAACGCTCTTTCTCACACATGCACGCACACACACTCAACCGTGCACACTCTGACTCCCTACAAGAGCCTTTTTCTTTGCAAATCTGCCTTTGTGTGAAACAAAACAAGTGCAAATTGTATTCTCACTCAATTTATCTATCCATTTATCCTTTTACCTGCATTTCCCCCCAATATGGACTCATTTATATGAGCAAAAAGACAGGTGAGACAGCAAGAATTCTAATTAAAGTACCAGGGAGGGGGAGAGCGAGCCAAGCTACTTTTGTTCTGCACACCCCTCATCACACTGGCTGTAAAAATAGCATCAACCCCACAATCCTGGGTGATGTTCAGTCTGCCTGCAGCTCTGGGCTTGTTTCTGGTGAGCAATAGGAGATACAGTGGAGAGATTTTGCTGCTGCTGCTGCACAGAAAGCACACTCAGTCTGCACAGGCATTCTGAATGTGAAAGTCCATTCAGGCTGGACTGTGAATATGTGTGAGAGAGCCATGCTAAATATGATTACAGATGGAAGCGGTGTATGTGTGTGTGTGTGTTTGTTTGTGTGTATTTGTGTGTGTATGTGAGGGGTGGGTGGGGGGGGTGGATATGTAGGCAGGCAGGACAGGAGGTCTGCAGGGAGAGATAACTGCTCAAATCTGTCCTCTCCTTCTCACTCTCACCCTTCTGCTCAGACCTCTGAAAGCTTACCCCTAGGCTCGCCCTGCACGCACACACACACACACACACACACACCCACACACACACACACACACACACACACACACACACACACACACACACACACACACAGAATCCTCATATCAACTCTATCCCTAACTCCCATTTCACTCCTCACAGTTTTTCCAAGTCCATCACGGCTGTTTTTCATTTCAGGGAGATGGACACAGAGAGACAAGAAACAGAGGGATGGACAACAAGTGCATTAGCACAAGCCAGTCCAGGCGGGGTTTTCCATCTATTAATGCTGTGTAGGTTCACACATGCATGCGCATGTTTGTGCATATGCACTCACTTGCACCAGCAAGCAAACACACATTCAGAAAGGGAGTTGGACAGAAGTCGTTAAATATTTAAACAGGATGCTTCAAAGTTGAGACTGCATTAGAAAAGCACAGAGAGACAGTGGGTTCCCTTAAAAAATGCTTCAAATCTAATACACTCTGCAGGTGATAATACTGTAGTAGACTCAAAGGGAGTGCACTCAGTATTTTGTTCACAAACCTTTATTTTTTTAAGATGTGCAAACTTTCTAGCTTTCCTGTTTGCTCATTTTGCAGCTGTTCCTCCTTCACCCTCCTCTCTCCTCTACCTCCCCTCAAACGATTCCCCACCTCATGGGTTTTCTCTCCACCGTGCCTCATTGCATTACTGTTTCCCCTCTTTTCCAAATACCTTTGAGGGAGCGAAGGACCAGGCTATGTCAGGGAGATTCTCTTGATCCCCATCCAACAATACTAGGAAGGTAAAACTGTGAACAAATCTTATCTTAAAGCAGAAAAGCCTCCATTTCCCCCCTCTCTCACACAAACACACATGCGCGCACACACCTCTGCTTTGGACTGACAACCAGAGGGCAGCACTGGCATCATCGTGTGTGTGTGGCTAGAATTTTGGTCTGCCGCACATTTGTACCACGGTCAGCTCCCTCTTTGAATCCTGCTGCACTGTTCAGCACTACGGACAGCTCTCTGCCGCAGAGGGTGCAGTCTGGGTGACACAGGACAGCAGGTTTTAAAGGAGGGGTCTGGAGGCCTTCAGGGACCTCATTAGTGTAGCCAGGGTTATGAAGGCAAATAGTCAGCTAATTCCTCACAGTTCAGTCTGAGGCTTATTCCTGCTGCATTCAACATCCGTGGTTAAACCTCATCTGATGTTTTCACCTTTTACAGAGACCATCACCTGCTCCATTAACCTTTCCATTTAAGAAAATCCAAGACGCATAAATGAAAGTCTACATGAAAGATTTGTAAGGAAAGGGTTTTGTATGGCTTTAAATAAATGTACATTCATGCACGTTTGAAACAACAACATGCAGAGTAAAATCTAAAGAGTTCAACATTGAATGGTTACTTTTACTGAGGGACCTCATAAAAAAAACAAGATCTGGGATGTATATTGTCAGCCACATGCACAATTTTAATTTATCATTTTGTTGCATTGATATAAATGTAATACAACTTGAGCTGAGGGATGTAGCATCAACTTAAGTGCAAAACAAATCTGGATCAATTCAGTCACATTTTTAACTAGTGATGGCAGACACTGTGAGTACAGTATAATTATTTCTTTTCAGCTTTTTTCTCTAAACCATAAACAGCATCATGCATATCTTACTAATTTAAAATTGTTTTAATCTCTCTTTCTTAATTTCCAATGTATATCCTTGCATCTGTAAAGCACTTGGAATTGCCTTGTGTATGAATGGTGGTTCTAGAGACATGCTGATGGGGTCACATAGTCTTCAAGAAAACTATGAACGTTGATATGAACGTCGATGGCAATCAATCCTAAAGACCGGCTTACAGCTGTTATCATTTCAAATATGTGTTTTGGCAATAGCTATTAAATGTACAGATTAGCGTCAGTTTAAATAGAATAGCTACATAAATCCTAAACACAAGAGAGGTGAGAGAAACGCACTTTTATTCCTTGGCCTTTAATACATTTTAGTGTTATTTTGTTTGTTTTCATCTTAGCACTTGCCGTGAGCCTGCTTATTTATACATTTATCTATTAATTGCATTTATGTATTTTTGCTCGCTCTATCTTGTACTTTGCTTGTTTTATTTGTTTTTATGTCACAATCTACAGCACTTTGGCTACCCCTGTGGTTCTTTATAATGTGCTATAGAAATGTAAATAAATAAAGATAATTAAAGTTAAGCATTAAAAGGCCTGTGATAAGTTAAAGTTGGATTTATGTTTAAGTAACCACCAAATAAATGACTATACTCAACAAAAACATAAAATAGTCATAGCTCAGTTGTCTAGAGCAGAGCTGGTTGGTTGTTGGCACATAGCTTTCTGGCTAGGTCTCATACATAGTGTCCTTGTGTGCTTGGTAGGATTTCTGATTTCAAGACACAGAACTCAAGTTCAGAGAGTGTGGTATGAGATGGATCAAGATAATGCAGTTCCAGTCTCTGAATAGCTCATATGCTTTGTTTCTCTCTGGTATACATGCTGGGTTTCTCATTCACAAATATCACATCCAGGAGTCTTTATCATTCGTCAAAGTTGGTTTGTTTACATAGTAATTACTACCTAAGAGTAATAGCTAATCCCATGCAGCCTGAGTAACTACTGTGCTTCCATGGTCATATTGTGTATGCACCATAGACTGTATATAAAATGGACGCCATCTGCCTCCTCGCTGGGTGAAGCCACTGCAAGAACAGCACCCTCTGGAGATGGGCTGCAGTATAGGTCATAAATCCCACCTCCTCCAGCGATCCTTATGGAGTTGGGGACAAACTTTAGAAATTAATTACACAGAATATAATTTTTCTCCCCACTGGTTGAGATATTGACATGTAGTTACTGTAAGACTGGTTTGTGCTCAAGTCCTCTTTTTTCTGTGCAGCTCAATTTTTTAAAAGCTATTAGGGGTTCATGTTTTCTATGATTGACACTTGATGCCCATGGGTGTACGGAGATTGCTTAGCTCAACCAGGGGTACGCTGTTTGAGCTGAGCATCATCACAGCGACTCTCAGCGACTCTCTAACCAAATGTGTACAACACTACCGTGCAAGTGTTGGTTCCAGGAAGTGGAGAAAATCCTGGAAATTCCAATTCCAAGAGAAACTGAAATGAATGTGAATTGTTGCCTGTAATGCAGCAGAGCCACATTATGTCCTCATTATTAAACAGTAATGGAGACAGGTAGTCTTTGGCTTTTGCCTACAAGAGCAAAAAGTCAAAGTGTAGAAAACATATTGACATAAAATAATTAACAATGTAACTCCTTGTAATCCAAACCCCCTCGATCCATGGGCATCACAAATGAAGCTCCTCTTTGTGTCCCCTCTGCCACAGCTGCAGCCTGGGAGAGGACACAGGGGTGGCTCAGCCTCATCACATAAAGGCAGGCGGAATGCTAATAAAGTTGGATTCAATCAAATTGAAAGCAGTCTTTTGGTAATTCATGGCTTTAAAATTAGAATTCTTGTTCGGCATTCAGAGCCCGTCCCCATCTCTCCCACACAGCCTGAGTCTTATCCTGACTCAAACTGAGGAATGCTGTGTTATCTACTGACATGATGGACGGACGAGAGAGGTGGTTGTTTCTACTCAAACATTACTTAAGCGTTAATACTTACGTAAATTCAATGCTAAATAACCTTCAAGTGATTTTGAGTGAAAGCCTTGTTTCGCACTGTGATGTAATCTTTTGTAATGACTCGACTCAGCTGATGTTTATGTTCACAACAGTTGATATCATCATTAGTCCTGTTTCTTTTTCCTTCATGCCGTTTGTTGATGAAGTCATATTTTCTGGAGGCACTGACAGTCTTTCTCCGACTGGCCTTGGGGGCCAAGTAACACATTCCTGTAGCGAACAACTGCAGCTGTTCACAAGAATCTTTAGAACTTCGTTATCCATCTACTAAATGTGTTTTTTTTTCCTGCAGAACTGTGCAGATCAGCCCTGAATGTACAAAACAACAAATAGCAAATAGCTAGGCATAGAAGAGCCTTAAACCAGCAGTTTATCTGTACACTAACGCTGCAGATGAATACCTCAGACTGAGCAAAATGCTGCTGGTACTTATTTATTATGTGCGCACATGTGCATGCCTCCAGTTCTTCCCCTTGTGTGTGCCCTCAAAGAGCTGTGGCTAATGGCAGTGTCACAATATTAGTCATATTAGGAGCGGATTAGTAAGAGAAACCGTCTTAAGGATGTGATCCCTGGGAGGGGGTGCAGCATACTGCTTGTATTACTGTCAACCATGTCTCGCACACATACTGTGAGCCTTGCAGCCTCGTCTGCTTTCCTCAATAGGATCTGCAGAGAAACATGACACACTGAAGCGCACCACCTACCGTAGCTCATTCCCTTCTTTTGCTCTGTTTTTTTTTATCTCATCTATTGGCGTGCTGGTGTGAAACGTGTCTGGTAGAATAACAGAGATGCTGCAGCTGTGTTGGAAGATTGAGGAGTGCGGATTTGGAGTAGCAGCTCTTTGCTCTTGAGCTTTACAAAGTGTTTACTGGGCCGACTTTGTCATTCATGGATAAAGCTGAAGTGACAAACTTTTCTCTGACTCAAGTGAACAACTTAATTCATGGCGTGTTTCTGAAAATGTCAGGCACTTTGTCAGATGTTTTTAAGTATTCTGACAGTTCTTTAAGCAAAGTTTTAGTTTGAAGCTGTGGATCAGTCTTTTCTGGCCAGCATTTAGGCATAAAAGACACTAGATCAAAGTGTCTTTTTCACTCATTGTTAGTTCTTTCAAGTCCAGCTACAGGGGCAGATCTACCCCCCCTAATAGTTCCTCCCCTCCTAAAAATTAGTGGCTGATTGAAAGTTTTCAATAGCAACACTTGAATTTATGAGCTGGACAGATTTTGAATGCTACAGTAAACTAGCTTGCATTGGACAGAACTGGTTTTAACTCCCTTACACTGAAAGTCTGATTCAGGAACTCATAGGAGCAGAAGGATTTAAAAAAAAACTTTAAATTTTTAATACCCACCCTAACTTAAACTTTCATAGCTTCCCTATAATTTGAAACATCAGCCATGAATTTTAGGTGTCAGCTGCATATTATAGCTCACAGGTAAAGTGACTTGCTTTCGCAGTTTCGGTGGCATTTCTGACTATCTTGTGATCAAGTCTGCTCACATTTCTGCCACCCTTTTTACCACAGCAAAGCTATTTCTCTCTATCAGCTCTTGAGAAGCAAGAGAGAGGATGGAGAAATGACATCTAAGTGTCAATTAATATCTTTTCTTTTGCACACATATCTATTTGGAGAAATGAATAGGACTTGATTATACAGTAGTAGTCAGGTACAGCCAATCTAACCTGAGATTTAAACCTTGTTACAGCAGTCTCTTTTGCCCTAATCACAACATGTGTACCTGTAAACAGCCAAAACCTTAAGATCTGCTAAGAGATGATATTACTTGCCCAAAGATTGTCACTTACATGCAAACATCTGATTATAAAGATTCATACAAGTGAACAGATATAGAGCACTGCACCTTAAGACCTATGAAAAACTGATGGTCAAGATCAGCGGCAGAATAAAGAAGTAATAATCTGTTGTATTGTTTAATCTGCTGGTGCCGTTTCAATATCATGTTGGATATTTTATCAAGGTGAAAACATCAAAGAACTTTGAGCTGAATATGAAAACCAGGTCTAGTCAGTATATTTTTAAGAAACAGGAACTGAATTACACTCAGCTTAAATACTGAATCTCAATGTTGAACTTAGGCATAAACATCTCTCAAAAGTCCATGGCTTGTTTTTTTTTTCTCTCAGACTTCTTCTGCAGTTTTGAAAAGAAATGACATAAGTAGCCAAGTTAAAGCAGTGAAGTATGTGCTCAAACACACCATAACTATCCACAAAACTGCAGTAACCACTGCTGTGTTTGTTCTCCAGCTCAAAAATACTGATCCACTGTATATAAAGCTTCATACTAAATTCATAATTGCATAATTAGATCTAATTGCATGTGCTCACGGCTTGCCTGACAACCTAATGAGGCAGCCATAAAGTTGCGACTGGTTCCACTTATATAACATAATCAAAGACTGCAAGATAAAAGAGCGCACACAGATAAACACAAGCAGGCAGGGTTGCACTTCAACGTAGAGAAGGAGCAGAAGAAGAAATTATTCAAAGGAAGAAAAGACAAGAGTCTCTTGTTAGACTCTGACAACAGTGGCTTAGTTCATCAGTGACTGAGAGCATCTCGGTGGTTCACATGTCAAAGCCTGAGGGGCGTCATTTGCTCCCCACTATCGCCAGAGGAATGACCAAGGCGAGACTTACACGCCTCAGGGGAACAGGTACTGGACACACTCACTTATACACACAAACACAAACACACACAAGGTCAGACTAATTATGCCGCCCTAATGACCACAGTGATCGCTGTCTCGCCGTAGTTGATGACGAGATCCACTGCAGAGCTGCAGGGTTGTATATGCGGTTTCCCTCTGACTCCTGGCAAACAGCTCCTCTTAGCCGTCACCCATAATGAGTCAACCCCTGTCACACTACCAAAGCTACAGAGTCTGTGTTTATAACCTCAGCTGAAAGTGATATCACATCTCAGCCCACACACTAGTGGACAGTCCTGTCACTGCAGACTCATTAGCAGAAGCTATAGCCGCACTGAAATCCACAAATCAAACTGCTGCTTTAATAAGCCGCAACCTGGAAGAGCCAGGTGGTTGTTAGAGTAGCACCTATGGACTTAGTTAACAAGCGAAGGAGGAATTTCGTTAATATTTTCAGCAGGATCCATTACGGTCTAATACAAATACTGTCAATAAAAGCACAATGAGCCTTCAGGTTTAACAGTTCAGACATCAATCAAGCTGCTGCTTTCAAGGCACACTTTTGCTTTGTAGTCACAGTAAAACTGGATTTACACACCTCCCAATTTATAACTCTTAGGAGTTTATATTGACCATCTTCAAGGTCGAAAAATCAAAGTGTAGAGCAGGGGGATACAACCAAGTTAACAGATTCACATCCGGCCAGCGTCCGTGTGGAGTAAGTGTATCTAGCGAGTACAAATATCACCTGTCCTGAGGAGACAGTCGAGTCAAGTCATTTTTTATTTACATGGTCCAAAGTCACAACTCACCATTTGCCTCAAGGGGTTTTTGTACAGCACACGACACGCTCTATATTTAGAGCTCTAATTCAGGTGAAGGAACCCTAAAAAAATCACATACAGGAAAAGGGTAAAAACTGTAAGGTAGAGAAAAAGTATGAGAAACAAGAGTTTAAAGACCTCTCAACATTACATTATATTCAATTCATTGTCTTTTTTTAAGTGATAGGTTTTGCCTTTTATAAATCTTGTACTATGCACAATGCTCAATTTCTTTTTTTGTAAGATAAATTTCTTTACTTCCAGATTAAGCAAACTGACAGGTGTTGAGTGTAAGAATACAGATGTAAACCTAATTTAAGATCTCTTACCCGTTGTTGAATCATCTTATCTCTACATGAATTAATAGCTTTTCTAAGCAGAGCTACACTCAAGATGACTAAGAGTAATGGTATCTCAGAGCTGATAAGCTGTAACTTTCTGGTCTAAACTGTATTACAAGAACATGACAGCAATATACAATTAAAAATAAAGGCTGAGTAATTGAGCTGAATGAAACAGTTTGAAGCAGCAACAGGTTGAATGTGATGGTAAATTAAAGTCAGGATCACTACTAAATGTAGGGCTGGGCGATAAACTGAAAATTTATCAATACCGAAATTTACGACAATAACCAACGTCATTTTGCCCATGTCGATATATTTGGTGTAAAAAACTAAAAATAAATAAAAGTTAGTTTTGGATCTGTGTAGTTAGGCCATGGTCTCATGTCTCTTTAAGACGATGTCCTACGTCGGAAACCTGACTCCACCCCATCCAGTCCATAACAAAGAGGGAAAGACAGGTGAGGAGCTTGTGGAGTAGTTATCATCCATTTAGAATTATCGAGGTGAACTGCTCAATATATTGTGATATTGATTTGAGGCCATATCACCCAGCCCTAGATAAATATGACAAGTCCACATAGTGAAAAAGGAGAACAGACTAAACACAAACTAAACAAATCAGACAGATAAATAACTTTGTTTTCAAGAGTGAAAGTATGGTTTTTAGAGCGCAGCAGTGAGAGCGCACAGTGGAAAGTTTGGTCAACAGAGATGGTCATTAAGAGTGTAAATGAAGGGAAACATGTAATGACAGGACCTCAGAGCCACTGATGAGCGTGATGGATGGAGATCCACTGAAATATGAGGCAGTTCATCACTCACCTCGCACACACACATACACACACACACACACAATATGATGGTGCATTTTCACAAACACAATCACACCCTCACTCATGCACTCTCTCTTTCTCCCCCTTATTAACCTTCTACAGAAGCACTCACTCTGCTTTGCACATGCTTTCAGCATTGCATCGCTAGCACTGCAGAATGGCCTTGAACACTCATGTACACACACACACTCACACAATCACACACACAGAGCATCACTCACCATTGCCCTATCACCAAGCCTCATTAGTCAGACAGCATCTCCACGTTCTCCTGCCTGCTCTGTCTCTCTGTCACAGATGATTATCATTATTTAATATTTATTACCAATTATTTTCAGGACACTGATCAATCTTTAGCACCCAGAGCATCAACACTAATGAAAACATTTATCACTGGATGAAATGATATCTTAAAATTTCTTATTTTGTTGAGAATGACAAAGCTGTAACTGGCAAAGCTTAGTGTTAATGATGATCAGTGACTTTGCAGCTTCTCATATTTTTTTTATGGTGAATGTTTTTGGAGTATTCAAAAAAATACAGTCTCCCTCCATATTTAAGATTTATAGGGCTTATAACTACGTCTACAAAATCACAAACACTGCAACAAACTTGTTCAAAACTCAAATATCAATTTATCAATTCATAATAAAGACAAGAACATTCTCAGATTAAGCAGCTGTGACCAGCCCTTTGTGGCATTTATGCTTGATGATTAAACTGAATGATTACTAAGAAATCTCTTTAAAACTGAGTTCAAAAAGTGTCCTTCGCTATTTATCCATGACCAGTCATCTAGTCCATGAATTGCTGCAAAAATCCTTCTAATGTCTCAAAAAATGGTCCAAAACAAGAATGCATTCGATGAGAAGCATGAAAACATAGAAACATGAAACAAACTTTTTTTGAACTTTGGTACATAAATGAGCTCATTATTTCACAGACTCTTTACTGTTTTAACCCCATCTACCATCTCATGTATACAAAAGTTTTGCATTAAGTATAGGGGAGAGTGGGGTAAGATGAGCCATTTTTCATACTTCGGATCACTACATCAAGTCAATCATAGTTTCGTCTGTAACTAGTATATCTGCATATATTTCAAGATGTTGTGCATCCCTGCAAACCAACAGATTGAGTGTAAACATAACTGTCTTGATAATATAGCATGCCAAAACAAAGTGGTCTCCTATGGTCAACTTACCTCGTGTATGGGGTAAGTTGACCATAGGAGCGGGGTAAGTTGAGCAGTATCCCTACTACCCCTCCCCACTCTCCACCCCAGCCCTCACTCAACTTCTCTCTCCCTAAATAACTGTCACTTTTTCACATTCATGTGTATTTTTATCTATTATATGCTATTTAACTGGTACAATCATTCTTTTTATTATTATTCCATATATCTGCTAAAAAGCTGTTTTGTAAAAATCCATTTTAACATGAGAATGCCTTTAAGTGGTTCAGAACATTCACAGCTGTATTTTTGAAAAGAAAAATTAACACATTTCAACAATCTGAACTGAAACTCTGATCCTCTCATCCGACTCCTTCACTTTCTCAGTTGAGCCACTGATTCAACTTACCCTTGAACTACTATTATGACTTTATTAGTCCTCTGAGCTAAAATGGTGGACTTTTATGCTCAGTATTTGACCTCATGTTGTAGCTCATAGATCACAATTGATGTATAAAATACATTTAAAATGATCCTTTCTTTGTCTAAACACAATTCGAATAAAACTTATGACAGACTAAATTCACTTTCGAGTGTGAAAAATGTTCACCCATGTGCTTCTAACCTTCACAAACTCCATGAATTGATCTCCTAAATATTTGGTCACATGATCAATTTCTTTTACCATTTCCAAGCAACAGGGGGTGGCTCAACTTACCCTTTGGCTCAACTTACCCCACTCTCCCCTATGCACTTAAAAATGAAGGGGTTAAATGTGAAGCTTTCTTATGCCTTCAGTCCAAACTGTAATTTCTCCCATTTTACTGGTAAACTTACCTCCTTTGATAATCTATACGAAAAAAATCAATATAAATGATTCCGTTTGGGTGTTCTGACCTCCATTAGTAGTACAGTAAGTAACATCAACTAGTGCTTCAGTCAGCTTTGAGGGTCTGTGTCCACTAATGGCAGGACTTATTTTGCACTGGTAGTGTCTATTGTCATTACATAACCAAGCAGCTAAGTGTTTCCAGCAGACATCCTGATCCCAAAAGTGCCCTTAGTATTTGCTGTTTTATGTCCCTGCAGCCTCCACTTGCATCCCTAACACCACCAAGTCAAAATCTTGAGTTCTTGCTAATGCTAATTCACATTTTCCACACATTTTTGGATGTTTTCTTCTTAAAATTTAATTGAATAAAAAGTGAAACACACAGAGCAATTTAAAACAGATCTAATAATAAACAAACACTACAAAGGGAAGCAGAAGTGTGGTGGGACAATTGGTAACCTATGGCAACAATAACCTCTATCAAATTGAGATGGCACTCTCAGTGAATTTTTTTTTTTTAAAAAAGGACACTTGGTGAAAACTCAGCAGCAGTTTCTTAACATCATTTTGTATTTTTTAATGTCTTTAAGCTAATAGATGCATGCAACTGCAGCCAAAAGTCTGCTGTTTAGTGTCACCGTTCAACTCCAACTCCTTTCTTTTTGCTTAAGTAACTGGTGAGAATAATTCAGTGCAACAAAAAGGAACTAATAGCTGGAAGATATTCACTGTTAACCACGAAACCCCAAAAGTACAGTATGTCGTAGCGGACCAGTTTCTAGATCACTGGTGATTCTACACACCGCCCTGACTCTGACAAAGCTGCCACTGAAAGTTATGCTTCTTGTTTTACCTTCAATGCTCTCTCTACCCCCTCCCTCTGGTCCTAACACTTTCCCCTTCCCATTGTCACGGGGAGCGGTGCGAAGGGCACTTAGGTGTTAGGCACTTTTTCCCAGCCTGTGTATACCTGGGTAATAGAGGCAGTAATGGAGTTTGTTCAGACTTTGGTAATCCTGGAGCTGTGAGCGCAGCATCTGCCGCTGTTTCTGTCTGACGCTGTTTTGTTCCACAGTGGGGACTGATGTTGTTGTAGCTGTCACCGTTACTGTCCCACACGAGCCGTTCAGGAAGCAAAGCAAAGTGTGTATGTTTTTGTGGTTGTGTACTGCAAAAAGAAGTGTGTCAAGAAAGAGTGTGTGGGGGGAAAGCATGAATACCGAGAAATTGAGGTTGTGTTGAAAGTTGCATCTGGTTGGAGGAGGGCAAGTGTGTGTGTGTGTGTAAGTGTGTATGTGTGTAGAGAGAAAGAGAGAGTGAGAATCTAAAAAATATATGTGTTTGGGTGTTATAGCTCACCTTTGGGAGGTGGGATAAGAACAGGGCTAGCGGCTAGGAATGAATTTACAGGGCCCGATCTCCCAGAAACAATTTCTTTATGTGGGTTACACACATTTAGAGTGGCCACTCGTCCCCCCTGGGCCTCAGCTCACCACATCCAGCTACTTGAGATGGCCAATGAAATACAGAACACCTTTTATAGTACACATGATTTTTATTTATTTCTGTTTATCCCCTGTAGCTTTCCTCTTTTTCTCCTTTCACAGTCTCTCACTCTCTCTTTGCGTCTGTTCGTCTCATTCTTGTTTCTTCCCTTTTTTCATTCCCACCTGTTCCCTGCTCATCAAGCGCAGCTACAGGAGGTGGCAAATGAAAAAGGGATCACTCTTTATAGGAAACATACTGTACTTTTCATTTCTTCCTGGCTCCTCTCTTTGTCTTATTCTGTCTCAATTTCTTTTTCTCTCTTTTCTCTCCGTCTTTCTCTCTCCTTTTATGGACAGAAACTTTGACTTTATTCCCAGTGCCCTGAGGGCTTATGGGTAGAAGAGAGGGATAAAGGGAGTGAGCGAGATAATAGCAGGAAAGGTGCATTTAGGAAAACATTAAGAAGTTATTGGGGAAAGGAAACGGGCTGTATTTTTGACTTTGACAGTGTGTATGTGTTTACTTTGTGCTTTTAGGAGGCGCAACTACATTTTCCAGGCTGATAAAGTCCTCTGGCCTGCAGTATCCTCCAGTGCAATAAGTAATGTGGTTAGTATGCTCTGCATGCGTCTGTGTTTATGTATGTGTGTGATTGCAGCTATCAAATTTGTTAAGGCATGAGGTAACAGAGGGAAAACATTTTTAAAAGTGTCATTTGAGCTCATTCCTTTTTTTGCAAAGCAGGGTATGATCGCCCACATTGCTGTTCATAAACAGCCATTAATTTTCCTCACACACTGGGGCGTCCATGTGGCGGAGGGATTAAGATGTTAACCATGACCTTTGTTGCATCATCTCTCTCTCTTTGCTTTATTTGCTGTCATGGCTGAATAAAGGCATAGGCGGAAAAAAAAAGCAGAAACACTCACTCATCTTTATACGCCTTTATATCTACATGCACTGAGGTCTGGTGTCATTCCTGTCCCACAAATATAAAGGGGTCAGTTCCTGCACTGTGGCCAAAGACCGCACAATGACATTTCCACAAGTTGATCAATGACACACACACATACACGTGCACATTTGTACTACTTAACTTGGGAAGAGCATTCTTAGTTTGACCCAAAACCACAGTGAGGAATAATGTAAAGTTGCTGTGATACGGTTCCCTTGTTGATAAAGTGGTGCCCTCTGTATCTTGGCTGACCTTTTTCATATTAGTGAGTTAATTTTAGCACACATGAATGTAAGTATGTGGTAATGAGCTCAATAGCCAAATTTCATTCTTCATCCTATAAAACATTAGGGGTGTCCTGATAAGATATTGATATCGGATATCAGTCCTATATCAGCAAAAAAAAAAGAATATTGGGTTACATCGGCCTGCATTTAAAATCTTCAATATCAGCACTCCGATACAAGCAGTCCATTCTAGACTCCGCTCCAGCACCTCTATATAGCAGTGCCCTGATCCAGCAAGCTGAGCCCACAAAATCACAACAACAGTGTGTACTAAGGTGCTAACAAAGTAGCAAGGAGTAAGAGTGATGTTGGCTGTGTGGCAGTATTTTTCATTAAACTCCGAAAAAGATATTGCAGCTGAGTGAAAAACTTGTCATGCACAATTCTGTGCCAATATCGGATCAATATCAGTATTGGTCAATATCAATATCAAAAAGTTGTATTGGGACACCCTTAAAAAGCACACTTACAGAATACATCAGAGGACAACACACTACGTAGGCTAACTCACTAATAGTGCGACAGAAAGCTGGACATTTTTGTTAGATTAAAAATGATATACAACAAATGGATCAAGGTGCATTCTGGTCATTTTCATGTATATTTGAGTGGTTTGTTTTCAATTGATGTTTGAGGTTTTAGGGTCAGGCACATCTCAAACTCTCTGATTTGACCAAAAAAAAACTAGCTTTCTTCTACAAATCAAAGTTGTTGTTTTTCAGAATTCTGCAGATTGAGTTGTCAGACACATAACCCCCCAGGAGCCGTTTCAGGGATTGGGAATTACCATTTGAAAACCGTCAGCCTTGTTGCTGACAGTTTTATTTGCTTTTGTAGGTCACAAAGAGGCATCAGTATTAATTTCAGTCTGTTATACAATCAAACACTTCTCACAGATTTAAGAAGCCTTTATTTTATTCATAATGTTCATGATTTTTTTTACTTTGCCTTGGTATTTCTCTTCTCTTTTCTAGAGAGTTATGTGGTTATATTTAACTTGCAAAATCATATGTAGTTCACTTTCTATCCACACACAGAATATCATTGAATGTAAACGTGATAATGTTATTGGTTTAATTACTATTTTGATATTATATTACTTTAATCCTCTACTACAGTTGCAGTTTTATGGATTGTCAGTATATTTGTCCTACAGAATCAGACATGTCTCAACCTGTATCTAAAACCCTAAACCATTACTCTAAAAATGTTAAATCCAGAGTTTGAAACCTCTTAATGCTATAATTACAAAGTGACACCTCAGTCCTCTCCATTAATATCTCCTTTTTACTTTTGTAGCACACCTTATATTGAAAGAGGTAAATGTGATTTAGGAATGTAAATAATGCAGTGACAGAATGTTCAAGCCCAGCACAGGAGTCAGTATAAGAACAATATTTTGACAAGTTTAAAGTATCCGATCATCTAAACACTGTTGCCTCCTCTATTGTCTAATGAGTGCAGAAAACTGCAAGTGTTTCCTCAATAAACGGCTGTTGTTACTACATTTCATGATGTTATGCATCAGCCGGTGGCCATATTAAGAATATATTTCACAACAAAATTCCAGGAGTGTCTTCAGCTTCAGAGGCTGTGCACTTGATCTCTTTTCATATTTGTCTGATTCTCACCATAAAGCCTGCAACACTCAGTCTATACCTCACTCCTCGATACTCATCATCTCCCCGCATCCTTTTCTCCTGTCAGTCATAACTCACTGTCAGCTCTCTTCCTCCTGCTTTTGTAACTCCCTGCCTCTGTTTTCCTGTCTCCTACAGAAGCAGGTGAAAACAGGTAAGAAAGGTAAGGAGAGGCCTTTCAGAAACATAGGCTCACCATCTTTGCCATAAATCACTGTGTATGCAAACAGGGTTTCTATGCCTAAAGCAGGGGGCTTTACCTTTTGAGTTTACCGTCTGTGTTCATATTCCAAGGGCTTAAATCCAGGCTTTATGGCACTTAACTTCTTAGGCCTCTGCTCTGATTCCAAACTGATGCACCATGTTGCCACTGTCACCAATAAAGGTCATCTCATGAATAAACATCTACTTTCCATCAGGTGATATGTGGTGCTCTGCAGGAGACACCCAAGACTGGTTTCAGAAAGGTTTCCATCTAAGCCTCCACACGAATGTTTGCACCGTTGAATTCAACTGTTTAAAATTTAAGGACCGTCTCTTTTCTGTCCCATTCTCGTGAAATAACGTGACAACACACTTATCTTGTTGCGCCAAAGGACACACAACAGCTCGTGCAATAAATCAGCAAGGGGTAAAACCTCTGGATGTCAACGTGTAACAATCACTCCGCTTAAAATAGCGCACTTTACCCGGCACCATATGCCCATTTACGCACAGCTTAGACCTGCGTGTCCCTGTGTGTGTGTGTGTGCGTGCGTGCGTGGGTGTGAGAGAGAGGGAGAGGGAGAGAGAGAGAGGCAGGCCTATATATGCTGTGCAACACCTGAAACAACCGCAATCATTTGTCTCTGCTATAAAATCTCATCTGTGTTGATGACACTGGCACCAGAACATGATGGTTCGTTACCAAAAGCCATTTTACGCATGTAACTCTCATGCCTTCATGAATCCAATCCCGTGTCAATTCTCCAGCATTGTAATGTGTTATCCATTCTACAAGTATATTTCTAAATTATGAGATAATATTTGATTTTTAACAGACGTCCATATGTGAAGATGGTGCAACCACTTCACTTTCTATTACGCACACTTTTTAAACACTTCAACAAAAAGCATATCGAGTTAACCGGATGCACCAGGCTGTGCTGTGTATGTGTTAAGTCAATCCAGAGATCCATACCTGTTGGTGCAGTGTGCTCTTGTTCTGTTAGCCCAGCAGGTGAACCTCGCTCCTCATAGCCACTCCGCTTTTCGACACGGAGGAGAGACTCGCATCCCCTCTCCTCGAAACCATAAAACGACCCCTTTCAGGTTCGGCTGCAGCGGAAAAGTTATACCATACCATCCACCTCCGCAGCCGGGCTTCAGGGAGATCCGCGGCCAGGAGCAGGTGTGACCTCCTTGGTTAGAACCTTCGCGCTGCCCCAGTGGTTACTCCGGAGAGGAAAGGTCCGCTGAAAGTTCCGCTCCTCTCCTCCTCTTGTGCAGAGCGACTGAGGCAGGGAACTTAGTTATTAAGCCATAAAAATAAGAAGGCAATATCCAACTTTAACCCTTCCGTGCTTCTCTTCGTTACCCGTAAAAAAACCTTTTATCCTCTTTGGAAGGAGGAGAAGAGAAAGTGGCCCCGCGTTGGTGGGACAGAGGTGCGATGCGGTCGGGGAGTCACGCAGACTGTTGTTGCGCTCCTGTCTGTCCGCCTGGAAGATGGAGAGCGCTGCTGGACTGTTAGCTGTGAAGTGGAGCAGCGCCCCCTAGTGGTCTGAGGGAGGACCAACTGGATGTAGAAGTGCATGCAATAAACGTAAATGACGCTGTGCTGTAATGTGAAGGAGGACATATGGGCTGCGCAGGGACCTGTTGGATATGTGACACTAGGCATTTTTTTCTGCATCAGCTGGCAGAGCAAAGACATGGACGAATGCTCCTCCTGCGCACACACATACACAGACACATGCGCGCACGCACACACACACATACACACAGAGACGCATACATCAGCAAAGGCTCTCAGGGGACTGGATGCTGGACAAAGTCTGAAATGTTTGTGTCATTTCAAGAAGGACAAAACAATATTGGTACTCCCCTCCCTTCTCCACCTCCTCCTCCTTCTCCTCTTCAACTCTCCCTCACCCTCTCTCTCTTTTCTCTCTCTTTCTCACCCTCTCTCTCTCTCTCTCCCTCTGAAGTTCAAATTAAATTGAACCCGCTTTAGCTGAGCTGTGGGCATTTCCCAGTGGACCACACCAACCGAAGTGGAGGGTGATCGACACCATGCCACGATCAAACTGACCTGTGTGCCTGTGTGAGTCTGTGTATAACTGTGTGTGTGGTCTCCGTGTCTCCCACTGCCTTAAATGACCCGAGCTGCCCAAAGAAGTTTACTCACAACAAATGACTTTGTCCAGTCTCAGTCACTCTGACCAGTGGAGTTCATTTGAGGAGGCAGTCTCAGTGGCTCTGGGGTACAACCGTGTATGTGTGTGTTTGACTGTGCTTGTGTGTGTTTCGAGAGAGTGTGCATCTCCTGCCTGCAAAAGAAACAGATAGACAGTAATAGCTTTTAGGGCCACAGAATTCAGGGAGCTGAGAAATTTGCTTGTAAAACACGACACAAATATCAGTGACACAAAGGGCTGCCGAGGTTCTAGTTGTGTGTGTGTTTGTGTGTTTGTGTAGCAAGAGTAGAAGTCTGCATCAAGCGCTGGAGTTTGTGTTTGTGATGTAATCGAGGTGATGATGTATGGTTGCACACATGCCTGACAGGGTAATTGATCCATAGTGGGGGTGTGATTGTGCGCGTGTGCATGAGAAGGGACCCGGTGCCACTCATACATCATGTCAGCCAGTGAGCTAATCTGTTACTGTGACAAACAGAGCAGATTACAGGTCCCTCCACTCCTTTCCTAACTTCTTCTCCACACTCTTATTTTACACTTCTTTTTTCTTCTTCCCCTGTCCTGTTTTTTTACCTCTCTGTCTGTGATTCTTCTTGCATTATCTTCTTCATTCTCCCTCTCTCCTTTGTTTCTATCTCTGTCTTCTTCCGAAAGTAACCCTGGTGAATCATGGGTAACCCAGCCATGGGATTTGTTCCCTGCACCGCTTTCTGGCAGCACAGTTAGACTCAGCATGTGGACTGTAAGATAACAACAGAGACACACATGCATGCAAGATCTCAGGGCTGCTTGGAAGCCCTCAAACGTCAACCTTATACCTCTGGGACCTTTGGCATTTACACATATACTTCTGCACCCACGCACGCAAACATACATGCATGCACACACTCCAATTGGTGGCCTCCCAATGATTCAGTAAGGGATTTAGCATGTGCCAATCAGAGACATTTGTGCATTTCTGTCACAGAATAGATAGTCAATTCCCACAGAGAGGGAGGCTTTGCAGACCACATGACAGCTTTGGAGAGGCATTATGTGTGTCAATGTGTGCACACACAAAAAAAAAAAACAGTTTGTATTAGAGCAGCTGGAAATAGTGTAATCACATTTATTTGTCACATGTTTCCTTCAGTCGCTGATGTGAATGGTAATCAGGCTCAATACAAAAATGAAGAACTGGACTTGGAGATGATACCTGTAAACATATAAAGAATCTTATTGACGCCCTGAGACAGTTTACAGTAACCAGAGGAGTCAATGAGTGTAGACAAAGAGCTAAGTGACAACACGAGCATACAAAACCTCAGGAAAGGGGTTTATTTCATGATTTATAGCAAGAATAACATTTACTCTGCTGATGAATCTCATGAAAGAGCAGAAACAGTAACGTTTGTCTCAATGCTGTATGACTTTCTCAGACTCTCATTAATAACACAGTAGTTCGATATCAATCAATAAAAACATTGTTGTATATGAATCATATGTTTTTATTTACTGGCTCTGAGAGCTCTTTTCATAACAGCTTTTCTCTATCTAAAAATACATTTCTGTCATAACAATAATCAAAGTTGAAGCAGCTTTAAAGTCAGGAAATGTGCTCTTATTTGTTTTACTATTTTTATATGACGTTGATTTTGCTCGAATATCCCGTTCTGTAATATTTACTTAATCTCCGGGTTTGTGGGTCAATCTTGTGGCTCTGAGCCCTTAGCCTGCTGACTTCTACTGAAAAGGGAATCCATTTAAAGGCACTGTGAGGAGTGTTTTTAATGTTGTGTTGAATCTAGTGACACTTTTTGGACAAAATCAGTGATGTTTTTCTCACGGTTGAAAATTGTGTGTACCATGAATACCATTACCACGTTGAAACACTGTGGTTCTTACCAATTTTTGCATTTGCCGTAGGTGCAAATGAAAGGAATGCTGATCTCTTTTTTTAAATGTTACTATTATTTGTTTAAGACAACTCTGCAGGATGCCGTGCAAGGTATTTTTTTTACAGTTATTTACTGTAACTTAAAGAAAAAACTTGTAAACTGATTTAATACCATACATGTTGACCAGTTGTACCAGTTTAACTTTACCTGCCACAGCTCTGGTGTTAGTATGTAATATTAGATAATACTCAGCCCAGTATATTTTATAGATTTACCAGACCAAAGGAGGACTACTCACACGTGCACATTTCGGTAGGTAGCACCCTCAGGTCAGTTCTGTTCAACACAGATGAAAGTTCTTTCTGTTTCAAAGTCAAAATCAATTGATATTGTGTTTTTTCCCCTCAACATGCAATAATTTAAGAACGTATCATTCTTAAAATGTCACATTTAATCAAATTCTACTGCAAGATGATGGTCAAAAAAGTAAAAAGGCACAAACGCCAAAATAATCTGAGCAGCACACAAGGTTTCAAGAAGGTCCGAAAAGGTCATTAAATAACATGAAAAGGGGACAAAACTAGTTGTTGTAGTGATGCAGACTGAATCAGGGGAGCATACAGTTACTGTGGACTAAGGTTTTCAGTGTATATTTAGTGTACTGCTGCTTGCTTGAAAATGTATAAGAGGGGTGGACTGAAAATAAGCCACAGAGCACGTGTTAACTGCAGTGTGGGAGCATTCAAACAATGGAGTAAGCTACACGAGATCAGGCTCAGCTCTGCAGGCCTTTCCTGAGATCTGTTGCTGTATGAAAATTATAGATCACCGTTAACTGTGGCCACCAACTGTTACCATCTATTCAAAGTGGCATCATAACACCTGTCCGGTACAATGCTGTATAACATTTATATTTCATGTAGAATCATCAAAGTAAAGATGAAAGCCTTTTACGCGGCTCTATGTGCGCACATGTGTTGCCAGATGACTCTAGTTACCAATGCCGTGTGGTACAGAGTGCTGAGTGCTTCATTTTATTTCACACACACGTACACATGCACTCGCACACAAAAACACACACACATTGTCTTCTTTGCTGTGTTGGCAGGCAGTAATACAAGCATTAGCATATGAAAGACAGCAGCTGGAAGGTGTAACTGTCACTATTGTTGTTGCTTGTTGTGTTATCCATTTGGATGGCAGCTCCTGTGTTCTTACTAACCCGGCGCTCACCGGCATTCACTGTAGAGCTCCAGTATGTGTCTCTCTGTGTATCTCCTTCTGTTTGTCAGTCATGCTTCCTTATTTTTTGTGGGGGACCTCATGTATGACTAATCACATCCTTGTTGGATTATCAGAAGCATTCAGTGCGCAGCCACAGCTCTCACAGATTTGGTGTAAACTTACATTTTTATGATGCTTTCTGTTGTTTTTCTGCAAACAGAATTCCAGGAAATCATTCCTTCAAAAGTTTTGACTTCAAAAGTGCCTCATTGGAAGAGTGTGAGTTACTTGGTTCAGAAAAAAGCTACAGTAGATGATTTCTCACAGACTGTAAGTTGAGCTGAAAGACAGATCTGGCCTCAGCGAAGAACATTTTATCTCACATAGCAGCAGGGTGCAACCCACCAACTCAGCTCTCTCTCTCTATCTCTCCTCTTGTCTGCCTCTCCCTTTCTCTCACTCAAACATGTGAATGTTCAAACGGGCTAATTCCTTCAAAGCTGGATGAGCATGAAAGACCAGTTTTTTCGCCCTCATTGCTAATTGATGGCCTTTCGTTGCGGCATGAAAGCCAGATGAGACCTGCTTGAGACTCATTAGCGGTAACCACGCTACAGTTATCTCCACTAAAACTACATTACAAACGTCTTAAACACACCTAACTCTGGTTTCTGTTCAGTTCTCTCTCTTTTTTTGGCTGACAGTACTTTAAATACGCTGAGTGATCCCAGTGGAAGGAGATCCCATTCATGTAGTCCATCTGATTTTACAACACACTTTAAATAGATAAAATAGGGCTGCAATTTGCCAAACTTTGATGTAAAATCCATCCAGTTACCAGAAAAAGATCTCATTTGGTGGTGAAGTACTCTTGAAAAGAATTATGTCCACTATTCTGAACTCACAGAGACGTTTATGTGTCATTATCACTGTCTGTCTGTCTGTCTTTCTTTTGTATATAGTATCACAATTTATCACACCAAACTACAAGCTTGTTTTTGTTTGTGCACCCTTAGCATCGAGGAAGAGCATGAATATGGGCTTATAAATGAACGCAGGAGAAGTTTTATTTCTCAGGTTAAATAAAATAACTTTTTGAAGGCAGCAGTAGTTGTTTTCTTTGCTGCCATTGGAGTTGCCGAACACCCCATACCCATTATAGCTGTAAAAGACTCACCCTAATGGCACACATGTTAGGATGAACCTCAATTTTCACATCCAGCAGACACAGTAATATGAGCATTTATACGGAGTCGTCTTCCTTTTTTTTCTTTAAATCTGAGTCCAACATTCACCCCCTTTCTTTATTTATATCTGACTCCTTAGCTGCTTACTGACATGAGACGACAAAGGGACTAAAATATATGAAGCGGACTATAAAAGGGGGAGTTTGTCATAAGAAGCAACAGTCATTTGATTTGATTTTTGCACTGATATCTTCATGAAAGGAGTTTCAAACACATTTGATCATTTAACTAGATACTGTCATTCGTACCATGTTGTTTTATCATCAACACTTTGCTGTGTTGCTTTTGATTTAAATAGTATTTACTGTATGTAAAGCAGAAGAACAGGGAAAACCTTATCAGCACACCTAGCAAATCCACTATGATGTAACTTAACACTGACAGAGAGGATCCATTACTTTACTGTAAACCTTACCAATCAGTAGCATCATCATTATTACAGGTAAGGTGTACCAGGTCAAGTAGTTCATTACTCCAATTATTTCTTATCAATTAATTAATTAATTAATTAATTAATCAATCCATTTATTTATTATTTTTGTTTGTTATGTTTTTTGTAACCTATTTATGTTTATTATTTATTCTTTGTACTATTCTTAGCGCCCTCATAAAGGAGGAGAAGAATAAGAAAAAGGAGGAAAACTGGAAGGAAAAAGGGAGGAGAGGGAAAGATAAAAAAAAGAAAAAAGAAAAAAAATATATATATATATATATGTACATATATACATGTCTTACTTGCCTTGTTCTTTTCTCTTTATTTTGTATTATGACCGAAATAAAATCTATAATCTTATCTATCTATCTATAAGTTAAGGAACAATGTCAAATGTAAGTATTCAAGACTTTCATCATCTTTATCTTGAACTACCAATACTTCATTTCAACTGACATGCTACTAAACTTCATCATTCTTGGTTTACTTTTATCAAGATGCAGTCTAAAGTAATCTCATCAAACTAATCTTATGAGGACATTGAAGAGAAAATGCCATAAGTGTTGTTTAGAAATGAGGTGACAGCTATTTTGTCACCCACAGGCAGCTTTGGAACAAGAGCAGGAGCGTCAGTGATGATGCCTAAACCGATCAGATATCCGTGAGAGATGGGAGTCAGTCCTACCAAACATGGAGGATGATATACACACCAGCTGGCATGCTCTCCCAGTGCAACAAGAGAGCGACTCTGGTTTCCATGGCTTTTTAAAATATTCAGCGGTCAAGTGGTGAAGATGATGGCTCAGACTCACAGGGCCAGTGTAAACAGAGAAGCTTCATTTAAAAATGCACAATATAATGAGAAATATAGTCAGGACTTGTTTTTTTTAAATAAAGTGTCCTGA